TAACTACTCTTCTTTTATTTGACCAAGGTGTGTGTATCGTGACCGGGGGTGGACCGATGCTTGAGGAAGTTTGATTGCTGAATATGACCTTTCCAATCATTCGTTATGTTTGTGCTCGTTATAGTATTAACATATGGCTGCTCATTTACCGACAAAAACGGCCCTTACATAGTAGCTCAATACTTTGTTGACTGTATTTTTATTTTTGAACAATTTATAATATCTCGTCTGTTTTACAACCATCATTGAAAAAAAGGAGAGAAGGGTAATTTTGGTGTGGGGGGCTCCCAAAGGGGCGAACATGGAATTTACTCAATTTAGCTAGGTTGGTTTGGTAGAGAGAAAACATGGGAAGCCCAAAAATGGCAAAGAAAAAAACAATGATGAATAAGGCCGCAAACCTATATGGGAAAGGGAAAGTTCAATTTAATTCAACCACTCCTTGCCTTGGTTCATATTTATTTATGGCTACCAACTAATGTTGCACTTTGGCCTTTTGCTCATTAATTTGAATTTGATTGATTGATGATTTCCAATATGACAAGTTTGATTGTTTTTTCTCCATGATGATTTTACCTTAGATGATTTGGTTATCAAGTACATATTGTGATAATGAATTTGTGGCTAATGAATCAGTTACCAATCCACCTTGTACATTCACTTTTGTCGAATTTTTCACTGAAATTTTTAGATTGATAGCGAAAATATTAGTGGTAACTGCTAACTGGTAAAGATGTGTGTAGTCCATAAGGGGTTATAGCCTCTCATCAAAGATTATTTTATCCAATATTGAGAAACCATCAAACGTAGTAGGATTGAATATAACCCTGCTCGTGTAACAAATTGCAACTACGATTGAATATACATTCATGGATACCAAATTTGTTTTAGTATTGGATATCGATAAAATGGGTCTCCATAATCGTTTAATTCGTTATAAGTCGAACACAAAATCTAGTAAAATTCGATCCGCCTCCTCCCAAAAAAACGTGTGACAACTGACAATATGCAATAACCAAGTAAATCAAGAAAACTCTTTATCAAAGTGCGCCTCATTATGGATACTTTTGTGCATGTAGGCAAGGATGCTTCTATCATCAAACGATCATGATGATGTAAATAAATTTGCAAAAATGGAAAATAAAGAGGCTCGGCTATAAGCTGTTTGCTTATAATATACGAAAAAACGAATGCATTGGATCAAATTAATTTGGGTTAGGAGGAAAAATTATGAAATTGTATAGGCGATTATGTCATAAACGTTTGTGCTAAGATATTCTATAACTAAAACTTTAGTTTAACGATGATTCAACTATTTTATATCGCTAAAACATCTACCAATTCGAGACAAGTCACATCCTTAATTCAAGTTTATAAAAAACCGAAGAGTCGACTTTTATGGCCAAATTAATTGATTAATCCAGGCTGGTTGATTTGTATTTATTTGGAAAAGAAAGCAAACGGGACAAGGACATAACTATATATTCTATTAGACAAATAGGGTGTAATGTAGCCTCACATTATTATTACTTCATACTTGTCGAGTTTGGTCTAGTAATTGATTATGCTGCCTGATCTACTCCGATGTCGACATTTATTTATAAATTTAATTAAACCAAACATAGAGATTCAATCTAGAGAATTCGTGTCAGCGAAACAACAAAAAATTATACTAAGTGTATGTCGAAGTTGTAATCGATACAATCAACGATCGATTTAAGATGAGGCCGTATATGGAATCGTTTTTATGAATTATATATAACTATGGCTAAGTCTCATTTCATAGTCGGGAGTTGTAAATTTAATATTGTAGTACTTTTTCAAAATTGAACCAAAATGTTGGAGGAGATCAAGGTGTTGATAGTCTTTATCGTACAACTTTTCAGTGCTTTCTTAGTATATAGATTACTCGGTAATGATGAACTGACTGTATTTTGTAAAACGAGAATTATGCAGAATTTGCATATTAGGTTCAACTTCAATGATCGAATTATCACTATACCAATTACCAAAGCATAAAAATTAATATTTTCATAATTAATATATGCATTGAAAAATACAGATTACCTAGAATGCAAAATTTGAGGTCTTCCCCAATAAAAGAAAAACAGCTACTTTGATGTCGAAATAACATGTGCCTAAATTTTTTAAAAAAAATAGTGAGTATTTTTCACAAGAAAATAAGATTAGTTAAGTGGGTATGGGGTCACATATGGGATTTGGCCATTTGGGTTAGCACTTCGTCTTGCTCTCCACACTCTAAGATCCCAAATTTGTTTAATTAATGGGTGCTTAATTAATTAATAAGTTCCATTAACTACAAAATTAAGTTATTAGTGTTAGGGCTCAAATACTTGAGGTGGCATAAACTAGTAATAGCTTTATTATTATGGTCCAATTATGCGGGATTAGAAGCCAGGGCCAAACTCCTTTATCATAATTAGATGCATGATTTTTGTTCATTGCTGTATTTGTGCTGTACTGTTCCAAAGTCATTTGCGCTATATTAGAGGAATCAATACTTTGATAGAGCTAGCACCAGACAAAATTAGTCAGTTATCCCTAATTAATAGGGATTAGCCATAGGGAGTATCAACCCCCTAAATCTGAATCTTCAAACTTCATCTAATTAATCATCAAGTGCAACATAATTAAGTAGATAGCTAGGGCTTCTTTTGGAATATAAAAACTTAAATTGTCCTTGATTAGTTGTCACCATCATGTTGTGGGATAAGTATAGGAAGCTATAGAGAGATTCCTTAGCTAATATACATATAAAAAAATATAGGAAGAGAGAGATGTTTTTTTCTTCTTTTTGTGAAAACATGTGCAAGCATGACTAGCTCTTACTCGATAATCAAATGGAGGAAAAAATCCCAAACTACACACGTTATTAAAAAATATTTCCAAAATACATACGTTATAAAAAAAATTCCCAATCTACACATGTTTGGGCTTCACCGCGGCTGTCAACCGCAGTGAATAACATCACCGCGGCCGTCAAAAGCGATGAACGCTTCACCGCCACGATCGGAAACGGTGAATAATTATTCGCCATTCACCGCGGATGTTCCACGCGGTGATGGCCTAACCCAAATTAATAAGCTAATAGCCGCCGTAATAATCATCAGCTGAGGGCGAAGGGGCAGCTGTGGGCCCAGCTATAGTGCTGTAAGCGAAAGGCTTGACCGTGCGGATCCACCGGAAGTAGGCCGGACAGCTCACGTTGCCTCTCGTCGTCGTCGTTGTGTTGTAATTGCTGCTGGTGGCGGTGGTGCTCACCCGAGATGGGCATCGGAGAGCGAACTCCTCCTGCCGACTGCCACTGATGAAGGCGCTTACGGCGGAGGATTGCGAAGAAAGGAATTGCATGCAGAGGTGATCGGGGCCAATTATTACTTGCAAGCATCATCATATATATATATACAATCCAGTTAAGTTGCATCCGCCATCATCAAGTTAAATTGGTTGTTCAGAAAAGGCTGATGATTATTACGACCGCTGTTAGCTTATTAATTTGGGTTAGGCCATCACCGCGTGGAACACCCACGGTGAATGGCGAGTAAGTATTCCCCGTTTCCGATCGTGACGGTGAAGCGTTCATCGCTTTTGATGGCCACGGTGATGTTATTCACTGCGGTTGACAGCCGCGGTGAAGCCCAAACATGTGTAGATTGAGAATTTTTTTTATAACATATGCATTTTGGGAATATTTTTTAATAACGTGTGTAGTTTGGGATTTTTCCCTCAAATGGATCGTAAAATCATCAACGAATTTAAATGAAAACGAGCGCGGTTGATCGTAGGATCATATCCATCGAGATCGGAGAAAGACTAGTATTTGATATATATTAGTTGCATGCTAATTAAGCATTATGATGCATGTAGTATAGACATCTATTTGGTTAGTTGGGGAACATTGATGGTCAATGAGTATATTCTTGAGTGGTATAATTAACAAGCACGGACATTATCGCTCGAAAGGTTCGAGCCTATAATTTAGTGGGTTGAGAAATCAAATATTACAAAAAGTGAATAATCAACATGAATTTTCAGAGTCTTCGAATTCATCATCTTAAAAGTTACGATTTTGTTGTGGTATCATGTGTCAATTTAAAAGTATGTTGCCTTTAAAAATCCCAACTAAGAAATCGATCGATAGAAGGATTTTTGTTTATTAATTGGAGGCAATTGCAAATAGCACCCATATAGAATGTTGAGTTATGTGAGAACTTCGTCTCCACATGTTTTGATCTGGTTTTTTTCAGCACTGCCACCATCTAAAAGAAGAAACATAACTCCACAGCCTATAACGATGAATGTCACTAAAACCACACACATGGTTAACAGTTTTTAGTTGATGTAAAGGCTTTCAAAAATCTATCTAACACGTGGCATGTAGAGAGCATGGGAGAGAGAACCACACAATAGCCCAATCTAACAAGATTGGGCTATGGCCTAGTCTCGTTTTTTCTTAGCTTCAGATGCTTGAGCCCAATTTCCGATGGATCCAACAACTAAATCTATTTAGATAGAGAGAGTTCACATACTTTTGACTTTTGCGAGGCTCATTATCTTCTAGGCCCAAAATCACACATCTCGGAGTTGTTCCCAATCATACTGAGTTTTGGGAAAGCTTATGAGAGTGATACAAAATCCAACAATACGTAACAAGATCAGAAATTGGCACACACTGTAAACTATAGGACAATCAATGCCCTTGGCTAGAAAGGTATACACTTATTTCGCACTCGATAAATATGAGAAACACACTTCCTACTCGTAGGCAAGTAGTTGATGAAACCGCCGAACAATGGGTGTGTCCTGATGGATCAAGCCACGAGAAGTTGGACCACACATTGAGAATCAAGTTCCACTCGAACACATCGGTAACTGAGGTCTCACGATACTGGAGTCCTTCGACATCGCCTCTCAATTCCTCTCGAAGTATAGAGCAAAACTAAACTAATTACTTCAAGAAAAACAAGATAAGATGACACTCATTTCACTCCCACAAGGTTCGACTTTGTATCTTGGTTGCTAGGTAGCCAAGCAGTGTAAAAAGATACCATTTTTTTGTTATCTTTCTTTTCTTTACAAACAAACAAAAACAAAAAAACAACAGAACTAACTTTCATAACATTACACAACAAAACTAAATGATCAATCAACACCTATATTGGATTCCTTTTCCCTCACAGAACAAGCAAGCCACATTCAATTCTCAAACACCAGACACCAACCTTGTGTTGGCTCCCCTTTCCCACAACAAAAATGGTTATACACATGAACACTTCTCTCAATTCAATGGCCATGTGAATTGCTGGGACTTCAGGAAAAAACCGCATCAAATCTTGATTTTGGCTGGTGCTTACCCCATAGCAATGGAAACTAACCTCCTGCTGCTGCTTCTTCTTCCACCATCCAACACTAAGATGGCTGCTCCACGCGGCTTTTCAACCCGAATCTCAAGCACTTGCTCTGCTTGGACTCCATAGCTGGTTCAGCACTGGCTTGCTTTGTTGGCTTCGTTATGGCGATCTTCTCCATCGCGTTGACAAACTTCCTCAAGTGCTTGATGAACTCAGGGTATGTCTCGAGGTTGCAGTGGCCACCACCCTTGACCCATAGAGGGTCGTACTTTTCCTTTGCGAGCTCCCAAAGGCGCTTCCCGTGAGACCAATCGACAATCTCGTCGCTCGTGCCCTGAAAATTCGATGGGAGTGTAGATAGAAGATGTCATCGATGATATATAGATACCTCAAGAACATAGGGAAGGAAACAAATGCTCAGAAGCAACGTGATCCTATTCCTTTGTATGGAAGCATATCATTTTACATAAGCAATCACTGAACTTTAGGGTCATTAACGGATCGAACAGTAAACTTTATGTCAGTTGACAAGGTGTTAGATGAACATAATGACTATAATATTAGTAATAAGTTCAATGACTAGTTAAAAACAAAGTTCAATGACCATTTATGAATTGACCTTTCTGAATTATGTGCATATGAATCCAAACATTGTGAAGGGGATCCCAAGGAATCAAGCTTTCAAAAAGCCATCGACAAAACAAACAACGAAATTGACTGGCAAACAAAGTGAGCTCAAACAATCTTCACAGTTGGAAACATAGTAAAAAACAGAGAAAATGACTCACATGAATGACAAGAACTGGACAGCTGACATGTCGAATCTTGTCTATGTTCTGCAGAAACAATGTCCAAAAAGACACAACCTTCATGAGTCCCCCACTCCAAACCAAGAATAACATTCGAAGGTCCTCCTCCGAAAACAATCACAGAACAACAATCAATCAAACAAAACCAGCAGGCTTTGCTCACCTTGAATATGTCGAATGGAAGCGTCACCTTGACAGGGTACAGTACCCGGATACCTGAAAGGATCGCGCTGTGAAGCACTATTCCTCTCAAGTTATGCAACCGAGAACCCAAATGAAGCGTCGGACCGCTGCCAACAGACTGTCCGTAGAGTATCAGTTCCTCTTGCTTCACCCCATATTCATCCTTCAAGCAGTTGTACACTGCCTCGATGTCATAGTATGTGTTCAACTCAGATGGCTATACACAATGCAGCAGAACAACTCTAATCAGAAACCGAATTGGTCCCCAATCAAGAATCAACAGAACATAAACTTGAGTGCTTTTTGAAATGGGTTTGAGAATTTTTTTTTTTTTGGGGCTCTCTTTACCTTTCCAGAAGATGCTCCATACCCTGAATAGTCATAGCTGCATAGAGAAACAACAGAGAACAAAGGTCGTCACAATAAAGCTCCAATCTTTGAACAACAAGGAATACAATCAAGCATCCCAAAACCCAAAACCAGAAACAACTCTAATTTCGACAAGAATTCATCGAAAAGCCAGAAACTTTCATCAAATCCAGTCTTGAACATCTCCCAATCAACAGTAATGGTTGATTTCAAGTTCAAAGTACGGTGAATTTGCACAAATGAAAACAGAACATTAAAACAAAAGCCAGAGTTTCTAACCACATGATGTTGACTCGGAGATGAGCCCTGAGCTCGATGAAGAGCTCATGCATTTGGCCGAGGTCGGCGGCGTTGCCATGGGAATAGAGAAGGGTGAATCTGGCAAAAGGGTGCTTCCAGAACATGGCCACAACCTTGTTCCCAGCTTTGGTATCCAACGTATGGACATCCATGTTCTTGTCCGCCGTGACACCTGGCACCACCAGCCTCCCTTCTTCCTCCTCCAGCACGTCGTACGTCGGCGGGTCCGGCGGGAAGAAGGCGAATTTCGCCGCCACGTTCGACGTCACATTCCCCATTTCTCTTTCTCCAACAAACCCAGAGGGAGGGAAAAAACCAAAAACCGAAATTCAACTCAAAGCTGGAACCTTTCCTCCTTCTTCTTGGAACCCAGTTGAAAATTTATGGCGGGGATGACAATGAAATGTTTAATTAATGGCGAAGAGGTGCAAGGAGGGAACTTTTCACTTTTGATTAATTTAATGCATTTGAGAGAGGGAAAGAGAGATTTGTGAAGTTGGGGCTTTCAATTTCTCATGGGTTGATGTGAAGGGATCCGATCTAAGAGGGAGAGCTGCCGGCAGTGGTGGTGGAGGTGGCTGCGGCGGAGATAACGGTGGTGCTGCTGGCGGCGGTGGCGGAAGGAAGAAGGAGAAGGGGACAGAAACCCAGAAGAGGAAGAACAGATTGGATCATAATTAGAGGACATAACAAAGGGGGAGAAAGAAGAAGAAGAAGGGAAACAAGGGAGAGACAATCTATAAATTATACTCTTCCCTTTTCCTTTTGGTCCTTGGGAAGAAGGATGATGAATGATGACTGGATCTTTGATCTCTCCCAAGGAAGAGTTTTTATTAATTTAAATTAGCTCTTCTCTTTATTTAATTTTTCCCTTCTTTGCCCCCTTTGCTATTTTTGATAATAATCCAGCTATCTCCTGTTCTTTTTGACCCTTTTGACCTTTGATTTAGTAATGTTTCTAGTGTTTAGTGTTGCTTAGTCTTTGATGGACTTCATCTTTCAAAAAGTATGATGGATGTTTAGTGCTTTCTTCACTTTTTTTAATCTGTATTGATTGAATTGATAAATTAGATCAAATAATTAACGGATCATTAATCTAGTGGTATAAGCAACAAAATATTGACTTTAAAGTGGTGATTGATTTAAATCTCACGAATTTGCAGTCCATTATTTATCTTTCTCTATAAGAGAGGAGTATTGTTGTAGATATATCCTTTGTTTACCTAAATGATTATTTATTACAAATATATATATTTTTTCATATTCTTCCGTGTCTATACTAATTGCCTAATTACTTTCTTTGCAAAAATTGGTTATCTGTGTCGAGTTACTAAATCTCTTTTACGCTTGCATGCACTGCATCATATGTTTCCGTCATATTACACGTTTATTTCATATGTATCACAAGAGTCAATGCAATCAACACAAATACAAAACTGAACGGTTGTTTCAAAAGAAGACAAATTCATTGGGAACTTCCTCTCGTTGTATCGGTTTGTAGAGATTGCTTTGATTCCTACTCCGTTTTAATGCAATAAAATGGGAACTGATTCAACTAGAAAAAAAAAGACAAATTCATTACTTAACACTCAATAAGCAAGCAAAATCATTTCATATTATAACAAGAGGACTCCTAATTAGTTAATGAGTTTAATACTTAATGCCACTCTCCAATGTCAATTCTTCCCATAATTGGAAGCCAATGGGGGTTAATGATTAATGTTAAACACAATCAGAAGGGCAGATTAGTCCTGTTAAAAGTGGAGAGGAATCCCCTCCCATCCCACCTTTATCCAAAACCCACCCAATCTTTTCCTAAAACCATGTGCCATATTTGATAATCAAGTGTGTCTCTTTTATCATATGTAGGAAATGCCATGCCACAGTGAAGTACAGAATCTGCAGATACCAAAGTGACCCAAATGGATGAATAATGGATGGCTGAGATCTGGTCAAAGGCTGCATATTAGATAGAGAAAGTGTGTTTGTGAGAGAGAGATTGGGTCAAGATTGTCAGGGCCAGACATTCTCTCATCATTTCTTGCTCAGCTGAAAGAAATATATGTTTTTAAAAAAATCAGTTTAAATATGTAAGTAATCAAAATTGTAGGAGGCAAAGCTTGTGCCAACCTAAATCCAAGGTTGACGCTTTTCTTCTTTACGTCGAAGAAATAGGGCTGACCAAGAAATTGGTACTGTAGCATAGTATGAATGGAATCTGGTTGTTTGTTGCTTGTTTTGATCAAATAACACTCAAAGTATTTTGATTATTTAGTGGTTCAATAGATTATGTACATCTCAATTCGGCATGTATTGTTATTATTCAATGATTACTCTTGAGCGAGCGAGAATACGAGTAATTCATATCTACGAAGATGATTATTCACGAAATATTCATAACAGTTAATTAAGACGCATGTTTTAGGAATGTTTTAGGCAATGGGCAGTCCCTCTTAACATGAACTTACTAATGAAAAGGGCGAAAGATAGTGGATGGAAAGAAAAGGCAAGAGCTTGCCTTGTAATACTAGATAGAAAGGGATGAGCACTATGTAGTTTTGGAGAAAGCTTAGGCAACTAGGAATTCCTTTAGTTTGGAATGGACAACATGGGTAGGCTATGAACAGGATTAGTCCACTACCCTCCTAATATGGGGACCAATTGGCCAATGAGTTAGGGTTTAGGAATTGAAAGAGAGGTAGTGGGAGCCAACCTATATGGTCCTCCAACACCAACCAACCATAATAGTATTGAAAATGAAATGTTGGGTTGTCACAATAAATGAACTAGATACCCAAATTCTTATCACCAATTTATCAATGGGTTCTATTTCGATTGAAAATCACATAAAAGATTCACAGATTCACGGAATACAAAACTCGAATCACATAACAATTCATCACTTACCTACACAAGGTGCCATTTGTCTCCCACACATTTTTCATGCAAGTGCATTGGGAGAGTGTATGATGTAATGCTTTTTGTTTGGAAAAGAAATGTCATAATAGCTTTTGTTGTAGGACTTGATTTGACTACAAGGATAACATGGACCGGGTCAAAAAAATGAAAAAGGAGTGCCCCCTACTTAAGGGAATGCTTGGAAATATGGGGCTCTTCAAAAGACACAAGAAAGTTATGCTCTTTACTCTTTAGTGTGAAAAAGAAAACATAGTTGGCATAGCATCATGGTGGAATCCCCAATTCCTTTAGGAGCCCATGGATCTCTATCACTTCTTTCACAAAACGTAGATGATTTCGTATTTGTATTCGCTGAAATATAGTTGACCTTCATAAGATATGATTTAATTTCAATTTTATATTCTTAATCTCATAATTTCGAGTATACAACTATTGATTCACATTACAACTCGATGCTTCGATGATCTTGTAAAACAAGTCCATTGAAGAAAATGCTTCACTCTCGAGTCCCGAATACTTAATTAGTAATAATAAATTAATAATGACAAAGACAACAAATATTTTTTAAGACTTTTGAAAGTTATGAACTCTTATACAATCATATCTTGATGTTTTGCCACGAAACGATTCGAGTATATTCTATCCTCCACAAAGTTCGAATAAATAGTTGTTTAGGTTATAAATATTAAAAAATTTAGCTTAGATCCACCAAGTTTTAGTGTATAACCCTATAAAATTTTATCACCTTATCAATATCTCTTTCTAATTCGTTCTCTCCCAAGCTTTTGTAAACACTATCACACAATCAATCTTGCTCATTTCTTAGTAGGCTAGTTTCAGTGTTCTTGCACTATCACCTCCATCATCAAATCGTAACGTGCAACCCACCAATGTATGTTTTCAACTAAAGAGACAATGGCGATAATTGACAGCTCACCTTATAACTACTCCAGGTCTCACAATATACCTTACGACAAACAGCAACAGGGACCCAAGGTCTTGGTTTTAATGGTGGATAATACAAGTCAAGCAGATAAGTATACATACAAAGGAATGACCAACAATGGAAGCTCATGCTTTTGGAAATTTACCCTAATGGCTTGCCGTCGAACAACACTAGCTCCTCTGCCACAGCCGCGCCACCATCTTTCAGAACTGAGACCCAAGTCTCTGCAATTCTCGCCACTCGACCATCCACGATTTCGACTAAGGTGAAGGCTCGCAGCGTGCCTTCACTTTGCTGGGCAGCTCCTTGTTCGTGGCTCACAGTCACAGGTTTCACTCTAGGCACGATGGCCCCATTCAGGTAGATGGTCTCGTCATCTCCAACTACGATCATTTTGCGAAGACCAGCGCGATATGCCAGCTCTTTGTGCATGTGACCGAAGACGATCAAAGGGATGCTTAAGTTCGAGGAGTCTTTTAAGCGGGACAGGGCTTGTGCTAGATCTGCAGGCGGGATAAGAAAGGATGATGGATGCTTTGTGAGCTTTTTCGCGGGACCAGAACATGCCCAGTTGCCCACCCTCAGCCAAAGGCGCATTCTTTGCAGTGTTTCAACAGAATAGACATGAATATGAGATTATTTACCTGGATCACCATGATCACCACCACCAACCGACCAATCTTTCCCACAAATGTCGTTTAAATTAGAGCCGAGACCTGAAAACACAAGAAGAAATCAAACATTGATTAACAAAAGACCAGGGCTTAAAATTACGAGAAATGATCCCAGCCAGATAGAATCACCTGTAGGTCCATTATGTGCAAGAAGAATGACCAAATTGTCTTCTGGAGTACCCAAAGTAGCGTTGTATATTCTCCTGGCGCTTCCTTCCATGTCATGGACGCCATATCTGCAACCAGTTAAATGAATCAAAATAAAGTTGAAATAGTCCATAAAGTACGAGTAAATGAAGGAACAAGAGAAAGCGAAACTCCTTGGTTAGGACCTTGCAGACAAAAGCTTTCTCCGATACAGATGTTCTCCGCCACAAGAAAATGGACGTCCACCAACGACACTGATCTTCAGTTCTGAAAAATCCAGACGACTATACCCTACATGCTCATCGCCAAGGCTGATTGCAACCAAGGGAATGTACTGAAAGGTCATTTAGCAACTGATAGACAGAGCAGTTCGAAAGCAAATGAAAATGCTCATCAACCAATCTGGAAACACGTGAGAGAACACACTGAGCTCACCTTTCCAGCTGAAGTTGGATGCGATCTTTTGTCCTGAGAAACGGAAGGGAAAATGACAGCAAATCAAACATCTATGAAGTACATGATTGCCAGCTGCAAGCTTTACTATTAGCTAAACTTACTTTGCAGAGAACTTTGGGGTAGTCCAGGAATCATGATTCCCCAATATAGCGGCTTTGGGGAACTGAAGATCTGCGATACTCTGGACGAGTTCAACGTTCTCATTCCCGAAATCACCTGATTATTATCCAAGGAAAGAATAAGGAATAAAATTTCATGACAAATAGAACAAAGAACCACAGATTGTTTGTTTTATAATGATCTTCCAAACTAATTCACACAAACTGATACTGATTCCAAACCAAGTTAAGTGATACATTTGACCTATCTGGGCAAAGAGGGAAAGGATAGCTTGCCTGTGAATAGCACCAGATCCGGCTGCACTGCGATGCAAACCAAAGTATTAGATCCGAAATTGGTATTTCAAGCAAAAAAAATCATGATCAATCCTGATGAGCATACAACAAACTGGATGCTACTAAAGATTAGGTCAAATTCTGAAAAATTCTAGCCATGTAGCTCACGAAAATGCAGCTAAACCACAACCCAGCCGTGGGACTAGCTTCGAATTGGATCCAAACTACAGCTAGATTCAAAAAGGATTCAGCAAGTTCCATATCCACATAAAACAATCAAGCAGCGGATAGTGAACGAGAATTAAGGTTCCATTCGCGTCTAGCCAATAAACCAGAAGCTAAGATGGATCAAGTTGGGAACTTTTTGTGGATAACATAAGAGATAAGAATTACCCGTAAGAATTGAAGCGCCCTCGTATCTTCCTCCAGATTCCATTGATCATGCTACACGAAAATGATCCCAAATAAGAAGAAGAACAACCGCAAATCAAAATTAGGGTTTCAAAAAACGGAGAAGCAAGTGAAGAAGAGATGAGTTCTGAAGAAATTGGGAGAAAACTCACCACGTCTCCGACGACGGCGATTCGAGTGGAGGCCATGGAAGAGCAAGCGGCGATCTGGTGGGCGGCGCGGAAGAGGACTTAAGGGACGAGGGAGAAACGTGAGTAGCAGAGAGGGGAGAGAGCGTTGACGAGTGGAGAAATGCGCGTGAGGTGAGGTCATCATAAACGTCTTCTTGCTGGGTTTCGCGCGCATTCATAACAGAAAAGATATTACGGCGTTGCGCTCCCCGTTAAGTGAACAGCGAGAAAGGAAGCCGCCAAATGACTTTCCGATTCTCGGCTCGAATGAGCAAAAACCAGTTATGAAGAAGTAAGGTAATGACGACAAACTTACTAACTAGTAACTAATAACTACATTCTGAGCTGAAGTCCACCAAATTTTTGTAGATAAGTTGAGCGCATCAAAATACGGCTCCAAACAAATATGAAGACCAACCATTTCGGTCAATCGTCTGCAACTTTTTTGGACTTTGATCTAGAGTCAGTTTGCTTGTTAGGAACAACTAGGATATACTGATACTACGGTCCGAGACTCATCTCCAGTTGGAGTTGTCAAACACTATAAGTCGAACCTACAATGTCCGAGACTCATCTCCAGTTGGAGTTGTCAAACACTATAAGTCGAACCTACAATGTGCGAAGACTCGTTCCCCCGTTGTGCAAGTGACAACTCCAAACCCGTGTAGGTATCATTGTTCACGTCTACATACATGTTATAGATTCGTTTATGCCATTAGGCGATTTCTAGACCGATGATCCAAACATCCCTTCACAACATAAAGGGGAGTAGAATGGATTGGGGTGAACTAATGCTTGGAGAGAAAAAAAAAAATGCAAAATATGGGTAGTTGAGAACAAACATGACAATCTGACTATTTCCATTAAACAACTCGGACGGAACACAAGAGAGCATCCAAGCAAGTGTAGAAAAGCAGTAGACAAAAATCTGTGATACAAGCCTGATGAGTTTGAATTTTTGCTTTCAGCTCTGCATACTTTAGGTAGAGTGCAGTTAAAACATACAAGCAAAGACTCAGTCGAGGCTAATTCATCTTACTGATCAAGTCGTTAATCTTATCCTCACGATTTCCAGAGTCACCGCCATCCTTGAACAATGCTTTCTTGCCTTGCAGCCCATCTTTCGGCTTGTTGAGCGAAAATGGTCCCAAGAAGGTATTGATCTCCTTGAAGTGTGGTCCGACGGTTGTGATCTCGTGCACCAAATCTTCCAAACATAGAATACCGTACTCGCCTAATGCCTGCCATTAGAGGATGTCGCTGTTGAGAACCAATTGAAATGAGTCATGCAGCTGGAGGTTTCAAACGGTTTTTGGAATACCTGTTCAATGATATTGTTGTCTATCAGGGCGACTCTCTGGTTATCCTTCTTTCCATGACCCTTCTTGTATATCAGATCAGTGACAGTTTTAACACTTGGATACCTTCATAAACGAATCAAAATACTGTAAGACAACCAACTGAAAGACAGACAGATTAACAAAACAAGCAGCCAGGCAGGCAAAGGATAAAATAGAAAGACTCGCTGCAGCAGAAAACTTCCTTGGCCAACAAAAGAAAAGATAAAGACTTTCAAGCATACGTTTTAGTTGCCCTAGGATCTGTAGAGCAGCAAATAAGATTTTCGTAGTACGCATAGAAGAGTACAACCCCCTTACCCATATGTAATATACGGCTCCACCCTTTTGAGCATCTCTAACACTCCTTCACTCGCCTTCATGAAAGCACCATCGAAGACTTTGCTCAGCTTGAGCCTGTAAAGGATCTTCCTAACTTTGGGGTGCATGTCATTCTTTCTGAAATCACACTAAAAACACATGAGTATCTGCAAATGGAGGACACCGTGGCAACATTCAAAGAAAACTAATCTTAATGCATTCGACGACAACATACCCTTGTATCCGCACCACAAACAAAAGCTTTGACTTGGGCACTGCAGATTTGCTTGTCTTTGGCCTCTTAGTCCTCTGCTTCATTCGTATGAGATCCAATTCCTGCAGAGAAGTTCCATCATTTCCATTAAAATCCTAATTCATTCTTTACAATCCGAAAAGGACTTCAAACCATCAAAAGGGTAACCCAGATTTCCTTCTTAGAGAAGCAAAGCAAACAGCTTTTGGCTTACCCTGTCTCTGTACTCCTTGACAAAGTGCTCAGGCCGCTTGATATCATGAACTTTCCTCTTCTTCTCAGCACGAGCCCCGAGCTCCAGCTGATTCTTCCTCGTGAGAGCTATGGATTCCTCCTTGTGCTTCCTCTTCTTCAACACAATCTCCGGTATGTAAGCCAGTGGCTTCTGCTCTTCTTCCACCGACGCCATCCCGCAGCAACTCGCTCTTTCGCTTCCTTACACCTAGTCCAAACAATATAATCGTCAGTTGCTTCTCCTTCTTCTCCATCAATTTCACTGAAGCTAATTAGTTACTATCGGTACAAAATTTCAAGGCGCGCAGAACTTGAACTCGTTTTGTTCTCCAATCAAAGACGATAACGAGGAATAAGATGATTATTACCTGTGGTATCGAAGCTTGCCCGGCGGCGGGAGTCGGTGGCGTTGTAGAGAGAGATACGGAAGCAAGGCTGTTGTTTGTTCGACTTCGAACCCTTCAACAAAGCCCTAAAACCCTCAGGGGAAGGTGATGGCAATTGGCAAGCTGCAGAGGCCAGAGGGGCAAAGCGGTTAGCTTTCAACAGAGAATCAACTGGCCATAGTCGATGGAAAGGGCTTTCTTGCTTGGGCCTCAAGCCCAACTTACCAGATTACAATCAACTTGATTCATCCTACTTTACCATTTTTTTTTTTTTTTAAAGGTGGCATGTATTCTCAAAATAATCAAGTGTTTGGTGTTACAGAGCTATCGGCTAAAAGTTTGAGTATCAAAATAAGTGGAGGACGATCAAACCAAATTTCCGATTCTTCTGGTTGACACCTTACTTTCGCCATTGTGTGGGCACTCTCATTTCCCTGCCTCCCCCAAAATCGCCACTGAACATTTCCTTCCGCCAGAGCTATCTCTCGAATTTCCTCACAAATTCCTTCAATCTCCCAAAGCGTTGCTTCCTTTCGGACTTGACCAGTTTTAAGGTGGGTAATAATCGCACGGTAAGGGCAAAATAGAGCGAGTTGGGTATTCTTCTCCATCCCATTCTTGACATGTTTTGCTTAAATTTCATGTAAACAAATATGGAAATTGTTGGGGTTCAAACTTACATTCCCACAAAAAATCCTATTCCAAAAGGAGAAGGAAGAAAGATAAAAGGAAGAACTAACAACAGCTAACTCGATTCAGGTTCCATATTAGTGCCATCCGCCACACCTACCTGCTCGTGAAAGTAACCATCACCAAGTTATCAAAATACAACTTCCTCCATCAAAGAGTACTTTTGCAAGCACAATTTCACTTTGGTCTTTGCACAGAAACATGACACTTCTACTCTTTACAGTCATACTCGTCCATGACTTCGTAGTGCAGCAGCAACAAGAAATACATCTTAAAAGGAGAACCTAGACACCTCCTCATCTTCATCCTCGTCAATGACATCAGCATCCTCATCATACTCCTCGTCGCTAAACGTCTCCAGATCTTCCTCATCCTCTTCTTCTTCATCTTCCCTCCCAACCATTGAACTGCCAGCATTATCCTTCAAACCGGTACTGAGGACCACAGTTTCACCTCTTGTTTTCTGCATATCTTTCCTCAGTTTCTCCATGTTCTCCCTCCGCCGTTCTTCCTCCAGGCGCTCCTTCTCTGCCCGCCTCTTATCAAGATCAGCCCTAAAGGACCAATGTTCAAGGGTTAAAAACAAAAGCAGAAACAAGAAGGCAACAGCAAAGTGTTCTTCAGTCAAAAGCTTAAGACGAAAGAATACTTGTAAGTCTCCATGTACTCCTCAGCACTTGATTCAATAGCCTTGAAGAAGGCGTCCATCCCGGCACCAGAAACAGCAGAAACCCCAACTGATTTCAGGTTATTGTAGAATTCATCAAGGACTAGGGCTAGACTTCCGGTCAATGTAGAAGTGTAAGAATGATCTGAGCTTAGTGCTGCTTGAAAGGCATCAAAATCTTCCATCCACTGCATTTATGGGCATAGAGTAAAAAATAGAGAAAGATTCAGAATGGATGAAACACCTAAGGGAATAAATTAAAAAATGAAGTCTGTCTATACCCATGTTTATTCAGAAAAGCATCGTACCTCTAAAGCAAATTGGTGTTGAGAAACGTCATTCTTGTTGAATGTCAATACAAGAGGTAACCGAGTCTTATAAAGTATGCTACAGGCATAAAGCATATTACTCATGAAAGTAACAGGGCTTGTTGCTCGAGGCGTGTCAACTACATAAGCAATCACAGTTGGAAATGTTGAAGCGAAAGCCTCTGTGATGATAGCCCCAGAAGCTGACCAAGTAAAGATCTCAATCTGACCAGGTGTATCAACTAGGACATAATCAAGCTGATCTGCTCTCCTCTCTATCATAGAAACAACCTGAAAATTGGAGCAAATACTGGAACTTTGAGACTCATCCAGAGATACATAACTACAAGACGAGACTGTAGGCACGTGATCACACAACAATGAACCAGTGATTTCTACACACAAACAACAGCAAAGATCATAGCTTTACAACAATAATGCAACAATTTATTAAACCTTTTACCTCATCAAACTTAGTGGCGAACAGATTGAGCGACGTTAGAATGCCACCATTCGGTCCGAGATTGAACTGCTTCATCACTTCCTTGTACTTAACCGTATCCCTAATATCGATATTTGCACCATACGGGAGTGTCATCACAGCAGGGTCGAGATTCAAGACATAGCCTCGGATGTTTGAAGCTTGAGTGTGGCTAACCAATCTATGAAGCAAAGTTGTTTTGCCACTACCTGCACAACCATGAACAACAGGACAACAGTTCTCAACCTGGCATTCAAAAGTTTCTAGGTCCAGTTCCCACACAAGTAAGCATAGAGAGGGACAGGGACTTTACCAGCCATTCCTATGACAATGATGACCACAGGCTTCTTCTTGAAACTCGACGAAGAAGACCCAGCGTCAATCTTCAGATTGTCCATTGATTGGGCGAGCTCCTCCTTGCCTTCCCCAATAACCTAAAACCAAAACCATTTCGAACATCAGTCAATGAAAGGAGACAAACCAGACTTTCTGAAATACAACTAACTCATCAATTCTCCATTCGTTTCCACAGTAGAATCACAGCACAAACGAAGCAGAAAAGAAAGACATCTTCAGTTCTCCCCCGGAGTCAGAATACCTTGGCGTCCACTTCTATCGACGAATTGTTATCAGATGGTTTTGCGTCGACGTCCATTGTTGAGCTTTCAAACAAGGCTTTGGGGATGAGAAACTCGCCAAGTAAAAAGAAAAGAAGAAGAAGAAGACGACGAAAAGAACAGCTGCTCCTTTGCCGGAGAGACCACGGTGAAACGAGGTGGCGTCGAGTAGTGGGACCGGGAGAGGATTAGCCGGCAAGGGTTCCGACGGGCTGAATGAACAAAATGTGGGAGTTGAAAGCAAGTCCGTATAAATAGATGGAAACGGGGATCAAAATGGAGGGTTTTAAGAGATTAAGTGCTAAAAAGGGAAGAAGGGGAAACTTAGATAAAATAGGCGCGAAATAGTGCATTATCCTAAAAAACAGAATTCTCTCTTTTCTGATTTCTCTCGCCGCCGTCGCGATTCAGTAGACGTTGTTGGCCGCTGCCGCCGCCGAATTGCACATTGCCGCTCCGTCTCAGCCGCTACTATTAACGTCGAGGAGAAACCAAAGCCGTCTCAGTTGGAGGGGTGACCGTTGATTTTGTTGAAGTTCGCTTGGAATCAGAAGAGGTAAAAACTAAGAACTGCCACTGAGTCATTTTGTCGAACACGTCGTATGCATGTTTCCTGCCTGTAATCGCCAGGGTTTCTGTGAATTTTTGTTTTCTGGGCTACTCTTTTGAGACAGTTTATGAGGGAAAACATGGTTCTGTGAAACAGTGAAGGGAAATATGGAAGGGTTGGAGTGGGAAGACGCGTCAGGAGAATTGAGCGACGAGGAGATTTACTTGGAAGACGATGATGACAACGAAGACCTTCTCAACCTGAGTGGTCATTCAAAGAAGCTTCAGTTCAGGTAACAATAAGTTCTTCAGGGCCTGATCTGCTTATGAAAAGTTATGATTCTTATGCTTCAACTCTGCTCGAAAATTATGTCTCCAGGAGTGATGCTTCAAAGGCCATATGGAACGAGGAGATAGGAATGGCCGAGGTGATTGAAAAGAAAGGGAAAATGTGGATTACCGTGGGTATTGTGCGAGGTGGCAAGACATATTGCTCAATTGAGGAGACTATGTAATGAAGTTCACAGCTTTTCCCCCCTACTAATGTACCATTTGGATGATCCTATTTTGTTGAAATTTGAACCTGTCTTGCTGTTTTCTCTGCAGATTTTTGGCTGAAGTTGGGGCATTACATCTCCTGGACACCAACAATGTTCAATTCTCCTTGCAGCGCATGTACGAGAAGATTTCAGAAGAGAAGAATGGTTGCGGCTGGGAGCTTTTCGAGGTTTATAGGCACTTGAAGTCTCTTGGTTACATCGTTGGCCGCCATGGTGTTCCTTGGACCATGAAGGGTTTAAAGAGTGAGAACAACTCCAGTGCTTCTCAAACCAATCTAGACAACAACAACAATGCGGTGGAAGGTGGATCGAAAGATGTATGTTCGATCACTGAATTGCTCGGTAGTTTGCAGATTGGTGGGATGAAACCTGTCTTTGATGTTTACCTTCCAAACAGCAAGTTCAGGAAGTCTTCACCTGGTCAACCCAACTTCCTCCTCTGCTTAATCAGGTTACTTCCAGCTTTCATCAATGGTGGTCTTGTGACTGTCATATCCAATTCATCTAACAGCTAGATCCTAATCTCTCACTTGGATGCATTACATGTTTTCTCAGGGACAACATGCCGCCGTCTAGAGTTAAGATCGAAGCCCTGGAGAGTCTGTGCGACGGAATTCCTGTAAAGTGTTGCCATGTAGAGCACGGCCGGGTAAGCTTTTTCACCATGAAGAAGGCCGAGCTTCCAGTACTTCCTTGAATCCGTACCTCGACTTGAAGCTTTTTGACTGAACTGTAAGTTCACACGCAAACCTTAGAAATTTATGTATTGACTATTGACTTGTACAATAGTCATTTAAGATTCTGTTGGGTTTTCTTGGCGTGGATGATATTAAATTATATGTAAAGCATTTTCTCCTGCCGCCATAGATGACTTGTACACTAATCTACATGTCTGAGTATTCACCATGGTTTCTACTGCTGTAGTGAATGAAACTGGTATTTTTTTCAATCACATCCCTGTCCTGTTAGGTGAATCTGGCTATTATTCTGACGTTGGGGTGATCAATGCGTACTAACTCTGTTGACATATCAGTAATCTAACGATGTCAGCATGCTATGATCACCAGACGATATTAGTATGCTAAGGCACTTGCCGTCAATGTCATATAAGCATACAATTGTGTCTACTTCTCCAGTCTCCTTCAAGTTCATTTCAGACACCAGACGTGTTTCCTCAAATTTGCCTGATGAATCTGTGTGTGAACAGTGCAAAACATGGAGAGTGAGCAAGTCAACATCACCAAATTTCCTCTGCCGGATTCTATACGTCTCTACTCTCTCTCTCTCTTCGTTTCAATTCCTCGAAATCACATAAAGATATCTCCTTTATTCATCCATCATATCTGAGATTCTGGGTATCGTAGTTTTTCGTTAAATTCATAGTTCACTGAGAAGAGAACAAGTAAGAAATGGCAGAAGAACACTTCCCGCCATAAACACCAGAGAGCTCCATCCATGGCTGCTGGGAAGGATTTTAATACCTTCACGCATCTCTGTTTCACAATCTTCTGGTTCTGCTTCATTCTGATCTTTCAGTTTCACTGCTCAACGGCCCAGCAGCAACCACGGTTTAAAGCGGCGTACTGGCTTTCCGGCAGCGACTACCCAATCGCCGACATAGACTCATCTCTCTTCACCCACCTCATCTGCGGATTCGTCACCATCAACTCCTCCACCTTCCAGCTCCCCCCCACACCATCGGATTTCCACAACTTCACTGCCATCGTCCGCCGTCGCAACCCCGCCGTCACGACCCTCCTCTCCGTGTGGAACGGCCAGCAACAGACCGCCCGAGCCATCGCCGGCGAGAACGTCGCCCCTGATTCCGTCCTCTCCGCCGCGGCTGCCACCCCTTCCCGCCGGAATTCCTTCATCGAGTCCACAATTCGAACCGCCAGACTCCATGGGTTCCAAGGAATTGACCTGTCATGGATCTGGCCCAACGGCACCGACGCGGGGGCGATCGGACCTTTACTGGACGAATTCAGATCCGCCATCGATTCCGAATCGGAAAGCTCAAAGAATTCGAAGCTGACCCTGACCATGGCGGTTCGTCGCTCCCCGAATTTCGGATCCCTCAGCTACCCAGTTCAATCCATGGCGAGGAATTTGGATTGGGCCAATATCTTTGCGTTCGATTACCACCTACCGACCAAAGAGAATTTCACGGCGAACCACGCCGCCATCTTCAACCCTTCCGGCGACCGAAATGCCTCAACAGATGCCGGAGTCAGAGAATGGATTCGGGTCGGGTTTCCGGCGACCAAACTGGTTCTGGGATTGCCGTACCATGGCTACGGCTGGAAGTTGGCGAATCCCGGGAATAACTCACTGGGAGCTCCGGCGACGGGACCAGATACGACGATCGCCGGCGATATGGGGTACAAGCTGATCAAGTCTATTATTCAGAACTATGGATTTGGAGCTAGAGCGACGTATAACTCGACTTACGTCGTGAATTACTTCGTTGTGGGTTCGACTTGGATCAATTACGACGGGGTGGAAGCTATTCGAGCGAAAGTTTCGTACGCCATGGAAATGAGACTCGCTGGTTTTATTGCGTTCCAGCTGAGCAATGACGATAACTGGGAGCTCTCTCGCGCAGGTATCAGTTGATGCTTGCCTTTACTTTCTTTCCTATTGAAAGTTCTGTATTCGAAATGGATTTGACTTTGGTTGCTTCTACTTTCAGCTCAATTGGTCGACATGGATGGAGGTGGAAACAGGCGGCATTTGCTGCTGAAAATCTTGCTCCCAATCGCTGCATTCATCATTCTATCCGCCATTGTTCTCTGCTACATTCGAAACAGAGTATTGAAGAAGCCCAAAGGTAAACAGGGAGGAAAACCCCCCTCATTTCTCCCCAACTTAAAACTTTCTGAAAGTGCCCACGGAGAACCTTCAAAAGTTCGGTCATTTGTTCTTCTTCTGCTACAGAATCCATGTTCCATGGCGACAACAGTTCAGAACAAGCCAAAGCCTTGCGCTCCTCGTCACCCGTCTTCTTTGGCAGCAGAGAGCCTCCAAATCTGCAGGCATTCACCTTCTCCGAAATCAAAGCTGCCACCAACAACTTCTCCACCGAAAACGTGCTAGGATCTGGCGGGTTTGGCCCTGTCTACAAGGTCAGTAAAATGAATTTCTGCCATATTCCTGAATCCCGTTTAGGTTTTCAGGATTCTGGTGAACCTTTTATTTTTTGTTTTTCACAGGGTGTGTTGCCTAGAGGGGAGGAAATAGCAGTGAAGAGGCTTTCAGAATCATCGACGCAGGGGATTGATGAGTTCAGGAACGAGGTTTCGCTCACTGCGAGGCTTCAGCATGTGAATCTGGTCAGGGTGGTGGGATTCTGCACCGAAATGGAAGAGAAGATGTTGGTCTATGAGTTCATGCCGAACAGAAGCTTGGACTTTTATTTATTCGGTCTCTGCTAAACCAAACTTCAAAACTGTTCAGTAAAAAAAGTTTCCAGCTTTCAGTTTTTCATTCTGAAAGATTCTTGACGATATGGTTCTTTTGGACAGATCCTGTGAGGAGGTTGAAGTTGGATTGGGACAAGAGGGTTGGGATCATTGAAGGAGTGACTCAAGGCCTCTTGTACCTCCAAGAGTACTCGAATTTCACTATAATTCACAGGGATTTAAAGGCTAGTAATATTTTGCTGGACGATGGGATGAAGCCAAAGATTTCTGATTTTGGGATGGCGAGACTGTTCAGGAAAGATATGGATGAGGCCGACACTAGCAGGATTGTCGGAACATAGTAAGTCATTTGCAAACATCCCCTCTTACTATGTCGGAACATAGTAAGTCATTTAAAGTACTTTGCATATTTGCTTGAGAAGATTTTTCTCTATGTTCTTACTCTAGATGCGTGGAATATCTGTTTGTCGTTCATTGCATATGCCTCTTAGCTTGAGAACTCCCTACAGTTGAAATGTTTGTTGATTGATATGTTTAATGTTTTTAGTGGATATGTTCCTCCCGAGTACTTGAAGCAAGGCATATACTCGATGAAATATGATGTTTATAGTTTTGGGGTTGTGCTCCTACAAATTATTAGTGGCAAAAGGACCCAACGTTACTATGGTATAAATGAAGATTTACATCTCTTAGAACATGTGAGTCCTTTTTCCCCTTTCAATTTCCTCATATGTGACAAGTTTTGAATAGGGCAAAAACTTGGAGAAAGCTAATCATGTCAACCCTCTTTTCTTTTCAGGCTTACGAATCTTGGAGAACTGGCGAAGGAATGGAATTCTTTGACTTAGCACTGGACGATTCTACATCGCATTGTAAGTTGATGACCTGTCTACAACTAGGATTGTTGTGCGTTCAAGAAAATCCGAACGATAGGCCGACAATGTTGGAAGTATTATCTATTATGAGAAATGGTGTTCAAGAGATGAGTATACCAAAAAGGCCTGCATTTTCAACCAAAAATGAAAGGATGGGGGAAACTGAATCGGGACAAACTTCTAGATCGCAACAAGGAGTATGTTCGTTTAATGATGATGATATCTCTCAAGCGGAGCCTCGTTGATTTGCATAATAGTTTTTTTTTTAGAAAGATACTAACAAGATTCTCTTGTAGACCATTTTTCGATTTATGCGTTTTATCCTTGTACAAGAGTCATGCTATTATTTTCTGTATAGTTTCAATCATATATGCTCAATTCATGCGTTGTACATATCCTAACTTTTTTACATATCTTTTCTGTCAATAATATTCGCCATTATAAAAAAAAATGAAAATTCTCTCATTAATAATTTTGTCCAAAAGAAAAGATAAAGGGTTCTACTCCTCTTATGTAATGTTCTTTCACATATTTTGTAAACTTTGGTCACATAAATCGTGTAAAGATGTAGAGGATATCAGTTGTTGAGTCAGGTACAATTATCAACATATACCACTTATTCTTGTCGCGGCACACACTTGACTTGGACTTCCGCTGGCCTGGCCTAAAAAGTCTTCCTCTACCATTGCGACTCTGCCTTCATAATCATATTCCTCATTTCCTCCCTCCATTCCCCTGTTTCGCCACTGACTTCTTCCTCCTACTTTCAAAGTCTTCCCAATATGCAATCGCCGGCAGCCTCTCGCCTTCTCTTCGCCTCCGTCGTGGCATCTCTCTTGGCTCTTGCTTGTCAAGCTCACCGACGGGAAGACGGCAGCTCGCTCATCACTCAACCGATTCCATCCAACCTCGACCTCAAGATCCCTCCATCAGGTAAGAAAACTTCCCTCACTAAACTTCAGCTCGCTTTCCAAATCAACTTCCCGTCAATCTAATTGAGGGGAAATCAACCGAACCCCAATTAACCAGCCACCAAAAAAGAAGAAAACAAAACAAAAAACAGAGCATCAGACAGTGAATTGATTCCACACCTGCTATTCTGCAGATTCAGCTCATTTGGGCGCTGCTGCTATACACCCGAGACGCGAGGAAATTGAGAAGCGAATCCAGGTGAAGAAATCAGGGATGAAGATCGTCAGGAACCCTCCCGATTCCAAGCTCGCCGACCTCGGCGTCCGCTCTTGGCCCAGGTGAGAGGATTTCCAGGAGCAAGTTGGAGTCTTTCCACGCTACAGAAGCAGGGGATTCCTTGGATTTGAAAACATCCTACATTCTGTTAGCCGCACAGACGATTACTCTGTTCCATCATTAACAGGGTCACTATGGAAACTAATGCAGATTTCCCACAATTTGTGCTTGCTGCAGGTGGGCGTTCGCTCCAAGCAAATTCCCATGGACATATTCCGCCAACGAGACATCCTACATTCTGGAGGGGAAGGCAAAGATTTACCCAGAAGGGTCTGATGAAGGCGTTGTGATCTCTGCGGGTGACTTGGCTGATTTCCCCAAAGGGATGAGCTGCACCTGGGAGGTTTCTGCTCCAATATACAAGCACTACAAGTTCAATGATTAGCTCTCCTCTAAACTGTTTCGAGAGGCTAAACTCCCCATGCTATTCACTCTGCAGTTGTGTAGAATAGAAACATCTTTCAGAGTACTCTGTTCAATGCACACAATGTAAAATATGTATATCTGATGGATGATCTTTGCTTCGGCCAAGTTTATCTGATCAGAACAAGGTTTTGGTGCTCAATTTAGTCTCAGGTTGTACGATCTCGTATAATCGACATGTGGGAAGAGAAAGGAACAAACTTTATATTGGTTTCACTGGGCGTATTCAAACCTGAAAGTCTTCCTCACTATCATTGTTGGCCCTTGCAAGTTGCAAGAGAAACTGCAATGGTATTTTTATTTTGGTTTGATTCCATCCTGAATAAAAGTGACAAAATATTCTTCCACATTCTCAACTAAAAAATTATCCGAGTTGGGAGTACAGGATTGTAGAAAAGAAGTGAGGAACAACAGAACACAGAGAAAGAATGTATCTTTTTCCGAGTCTGACACAAAAATGTATCTTCCTATTTATCTGTGTTAGTTATCAATGCTCCACTTGTCAGGGTTGAGGCGTTCTGGCAAAGACCTGCGAGTAGATCGACTGGGGTGATCGAGACAAGAAGATCGATGGTCATCTCACTGTTAACAGAACCTTAATACTCGGGAGTAGGGATTAGAAACTGTCTAAGTAGAAACTATCTGCTGCTGCTTTTCTCCTTCTTCCAGTCTACAAAATTGTCGAGGATCAATGGCCAAGCTTGGTTCTCGTCGTAGTTCGCCATATCTGGGAAGCTAATCTGTGGAGGAAGGCAAAAGATGAACAAGATTAGTAATAAGACCTCCTGGCATAACTCAATGCATTAGTTCCTGATGGGAGGAAGAAGTGTAAAACTTCAAGGGAGACGGTGTTACCTCCTTGCAAAACCGAAGGAAACCCATCCACTGATCCTTATTTATCACTTTGTAGTCTTTTTGGACCTTCAAGAAAGTTAAAGCACAGTTATATGCTGGACACTGTAAATAGTAAATTAAATCCAAACTCTAAGGTAAGAACCCAGTAAGTGCTCTATACCTACCTTTAGGTACTCAACTAATGAATCAACCTGGGAATGGAATTGAGATCCGAGGACAATTTTCAGCAATTCACAGGAGCTTTCGATATCTACTCCTTTTTGCTTCTCTTCTGAGACACATCAAGGGGAGAATTTAATACAGAGTAGAAACTGGAGTGACAAGAATTGCATCATTTAGTTATGACAGTATTGACTTCACCTGTTAGGCAGTACTTGAATGCGAATAAGTAGAAGTCCTCAAAATTTTCTGGCGACTCCGCCTTAACATCATTAATAACAAATAATCAGTAAGTAAGAAGACTCTAGGAGCAAGTACTGACCAATGAACTGACAAGATTTATCAACTATTTCACAAAAAAAGCTAGAGCACCTCTTTCTTCAGTTCTGAGAGTGCTTTCACTAGTTTCAATATGGTATTAGCCTTGAGAGCCTTCAGGCCTGCTTGCCACTCATCCTGATGAAGTAAGGAGAGGGACAAAACTACTGGTCAATTTAATCTAACTGTGAATTATCTAAATAATCTAAGCTCATTGTTGTTTCCTTTTTCAAAATTTTACCTTGGTAAAATATCCTTGCCGCTGAGCTTTCATTTTCCTGAAAAAGAAGCATGAAGATTTTAGTTCCAGACTACACATTATATTATAACAAACTTATCAAATGACTCCCGAAACAACAAAATACATACCAAGCAAGCATCAAGATTCTGACATCAGTGTATCCCACTTTCATGTCTGAACACAACGACTCAATTCCTTCGGGACTGTTTCAAACAACAGAAGACCATAAATGTATCACATCCTCTAAAATGCCTGCTTCAGTACACCAGCAGAACAATGGTTTTGCCACTACCGCAACAATAATTATAAAACCAATGCATAGTGCAATTGCTGTAAGAAATCAAAGGCTCCTCTGATATCCGTTCAAATCAAAAGATCCTCTGATATTCATTCGAAACAAAGGCTCCTCTGATATTGATTCAAATCAAAGGCTCCTCTGATATTGATTCAAATCAAAGGCTCCTCTAATATTCATTCTAACATAGTCAAACTCATATACAAAGCAGCCAATGCTTATTAAGAGAATCTTAACCAAACAAATTACAGTGCAAGCAAATGAGTTCAAACTGATTCCAGAAAAAATGTGAAAACAAGATGAACGAACAACTCACTCAATCTCGCCCAACGAGCGGTTTGCATACGTATCAAATAGGTTGTCGATCTGGTCACTCTCCTTTAACCTGGGTTTACTTGTTGCTGATTCAATATTAAAAGAACAGTAGCTAGGGGTCAGAATTCAGAAAGTTGCATTGCATCCCGCATGCAAATGAACTACATTGCTTTTGAACACCCATTATCAGACTAGCAGACTTCTAAATATCCACTTGTGCAAGCTTCCGTCCGTGATCTACCCACAGTCCTAATATTTAAGTAACAACCACCAAAAATGATAAATAATGTCTCCAAGAACTCCAAGATTCAACTCTTGAACAACCCTTTCGCCATAGCTCACCTGACCAACCTCCTACCTGCTCTATTTACAGAAGATGACGCCCATAGCAACTGGAAGAATGATGATTCTTCTTATATATATAAAAAAAAAGAATGATCATTATTCACAACCCTAGAATTAGAATTTGCCATCGAGTTAACTAAACAATTCAACACTCATTGAGTTCGCATCTTTTCTCACATTCCGTTTATCCATTCCCAAATGCCCAAAGCCTCCCCAGTCCAGAGCAGCAGTCACTCACTAAGCAAAAGATTCCACTACTGATCTACGGGCAAAAGATTCTTTGCCCCCGGATTCTTTTCAGTTCCAATTTCCCCGGCAACCAAGCAAGAAATTTCGGAGCGAAGAAAGCAATAACAGTATAAATTACCTTTGGCGGTGCGCTTCCGGGACTGATCGGGCGGCGGTGCTGCGACGGAGGAGGAGCTTGGCGGGGCCGCTTTCCTCTTCGACGCGCGAGGCATTCTGGTCGGCCGGATACACTGACCACCAAGGAAACTCAAAATCTCTAAAACCCACCCCACTGGAAAAATCAAAATTAAGAACGAAATCGAAAATTTATAATCTTTCTAGTTTTCTTTTCCCGGTAATTTCAGAGGGGAGAAAAAGGGACGAAGAACACCGAACAGAGAGTAGCTGAATGCAGTAGACGAAGGGACCCTTGCCTTTTTATAGGATGAAGGAAAAGGAGCCGAGCCTTCTCATTTTCCCATTCCGCGCCAGCGATGGATTTGCCCATGGGCCCGCCACAAGGCTGTAAACATCTGGTGCGGGCCTAACCTAGCCCAGCCCAACTTTAGGCCCACGAGTTATTCAGCCCAACCCGAGCTTCCGAGCGAGACAGCCGTGTATAAAACCCCGCGAAGCAGACTCGGTCTCTGCATTTTCTAGGGTTTTTCAAACCGCTGAGAATTTTTTTGTTGTGGGGTTTTCAACTTGCCGGGAAAATGGTGAGTTCTCAAGCTCTCGGCTCTGCTTCTCCGTCTAAACTTGGAAGAAAACCCCTCTTTGCTTGTGGATTTGGTATGGTGATGGTGGAATTTTCCTATGTTTGCAGCCGTCGCACAAGACGTTCATGATCAAGAAGAAGCTTGGGAAGAAGATGAGGCAGAACCGGCCGATTCCTCCTTGGTTCAGAATGAGGACCGGCAACACCATCAGGTGACTCTCTTTCTGCCGCTTCCTGTTTCTGATTTGTCCTTTTCTTCACGCGTTTCTTTGCTGATACGGGTTTTTTTTTCTGGGGTTTCAGGTATAATGCGAAGCGCAGGCACTGGCGCCGGACCAAGCTAGGGTTCTAAGCTGGGTGGGGGAATGGACAATGGTGGATTGCAGAATGATTTAACTCGGAAGCACTATCAGTTAGTTCTAATTATTTCGCTGTAGTTAAATTTTGGTAGCATATGTGAGGCATTTGAAGTTTTGGAACGTGTAGAGAGGAATTGGTATAACTTAGATGATGTATTCTGACTAGTTTCTGAAGCTTAATGGAAGGTCATGATGTTGATCAATCGCGTTCTATTTTTCCAGCATTGGTTTCGATCGCTGTAGTATTGTTATGCTACTCTGCTCTTTTGGCATTGTTTTCCTTTGATTTCTACCTTCTCCAAATTGCAAGTTTACTTCTTTTGTGTGGGAAGTGGGATTGGTTTTTAGTTGTTATGTGTGTCGGGATGGATGTGTTGTTTGAGTCGAGTAATGAAGGCAGATTCGTTGATGTTGGAGCTACGGTTCGGTCATGGCTATTTGATCAAATGAGAGTTGCGTTTATGCTTGTGTATTGGTGATCAGGTCATGGTGGAGGATTGTCGACTGTCGTAGCGAGGTTCCGAACGTTGCAAAAATTCTAGTGAACATGATGGTGTGTGTTATGCCAAAAAGGTCACCCTTGACACGAGGGGTGCACTGCGATATGTCTTGGAAAAAGGGTTCGAGATAGTTTCCTTAATACCTTTGATCACATTGCATTGAAAGTTTACCTGGTGGCATTGATAATCGTATAAATACACCTTATCATATCTCTCCATAATCTACTTTTCTTTCTAAGATTTTTAAACTTCAAGACCACTAAATATCATAATATTGATCTATAGATAGACAACTATACAAGTTTATTAAATTGTTTTAAACGTGACAATTGTAAATGATAAAGAAAATTACGAACACAAAAAAAAAGTGCCAAAAAAATCTCAACCACAACATCAAACAAACTTGATAGCGAAATATTCTTTCCTCTCCAACCAATGCTCCCTAACAATAGTTACTAATTTCATCACTTCGCCGCAAAATTTGGGGAGCCACAAAAAATGATCTAAACAATCTTAATCTCACACCTTTCGTTCTATCAAAGCCTGTTTTTTCTTACCTTTAAATATGTGAAAGTTTTCACCGAAATGTCTTGGCTTGCCTCCTTCAGAATAATAAACTCAATAATTTGATCATCCTCTCCAACCCTTCCTCGTTCCTTCTCATCTAATTCATGGGAGGAACGCATCTAGCTTTGACATTGTAAGTTTTTGAGAAGCCCGGCCCCCGCCTTTTCCCACTGGAAAAGCAACCGCGGGGCTCTCAAGAACAAAAAAAATATACAAGAATATTTTGGGAAAAAGACTGAAAATTAAGAAAAGAGAAAAGAAAAAGATTCTCTTAGTAGTTTTTTCCTCCATTTTCTCATTCTTTAGGCCGTGTGAATCACAAACATGGCCGAAATGTCTCTAGAAGAGATCAAGAATGGGAAGGTGGACCTTGAGAAAATACCTGTGGATGAGGTGTTCAAGCAGTTGAAATGTACAAGGAAAGGGTTGACGAGTGGGGAAAGCGAGAAGAGGCTCCAAATCTTTGGACCCAACAAGCTCGAGGAGAAGCACGAGAACAAGTTCCTCAAGTTTTTGGGGTTCATGTGGAACCCGCTCTCATGGGTCATGGAGTCTGCAGCTATCATGGCAATCGTACTAGCCAATGGAGGAGGCAAGCCCCCAGATTGGCAGGATTTCATCGGTATCGTCGTCCTGTTGATCATCAATTCCACCATTAGCTTCATCGAAGAAAACACTGCAGGCAATGCTGCTGCTGCTTTGATGGCCAATCTCGCTCCTCAAGCTAAGGTATGGTGTTACTACATGCACATGTTTGTAAAAAAAGATTCTGTCAAGAACAAGTTAACGATTGTGAACCGTTTTGTGTTTGAAGGTTCTGAGGGATGGGAAATGGCAAGAGGTGGAAGCAGCAGTGCTGGTTCCAGGAGATGTGATCAGCATCAAATTGGGCGATATCGTCCCAGCCGATGCACGTCTCTTGGAAGGGGATCCTCTGAAGATTGATCAAGCCGCCCTTACTGGAGAGTCTCTTCCTGTGACGAGGAGTCCTGGTGACGAAGTCTTCTCCGGATCAACTTGCAAGCAAGGTGAGATTGATGCTGTCGTGATTGCCACCGGTATACATACCTTCTTCGGCAAGGCAGCTCATCTTGTTGATAGCACCAACAATGTTGGCCACTTCCAACAGGTAACCATGGTTCTTATTCGAACTCCACAAAAACGATTGTAGTCCGAAACCCTGATCACAAAATGAGGCCCTTTAAACGCCTCGTGCTTCCCACCGTAGTAAAGCTTACTGCGACACTTTTTCTGTGACTCAGGTGTTGACATCTATCGGTAACTTCTGTATCATCTCGATTGGGGTGGGTGTGGTCATCGAGGTTGTCGTCATGTATGCCTTTCAACACAGAGAGTACAGAGCAGGAATTGACAACCTGCTGGTGCTTCTCATCGGAGGGATCCCGATCGCCATGCCCACTGTTTTGTCGGTGACAATGGCTATCGGGTCTCACCGGCTATCGGAGCAAGGCGCCATCACTAAGCGGATGACCGCCATTGAAGAAATGGCTGGCATGGACATACTCTGCAGTGACAAAACTGGGACACTCACCCTTAACAAGCTTACCGTCGACAAAAGCCTCATTGAGGTGTTCCCGGAGAGAATGGATGCCGACCACTTAATCTTGCTTGCTGCCAGAGCTTCCAGAGTCGAAAACCAGGACGCCATTGATGCCTCAATTGTTAATATGTTGAAGGATCCCAAAGAAGTAGGCAATCTGCATTCCCTTCACTTTTTCTTTATGTGGAAATCTAACGGATTTCAGCTGAATGTTTTCTTGGAATGTACGTTTTCTTTTCACAGGCAAGAGCAGGGATCACTGAAGTCCATTTCTTGCCATTCAACCCTGTCGAAAAGCGGACTGCAATCACTTACTACGACAACAATGGTGATTGGCACAGAGCAAGCAAAGGCGCACCTGAGCAAATCATTGAGCTCTGTGATCTCAAAGGGGAAGTCAGCAAGACAGCTCACAAGATCATTGCTAATTTTGCTGATCGTGGCCTTCGTTCCTTAGCTGTCGCCTATCAGACGATTCCAGACAAGAACAAGGATAGCGCGGGATCACCATGGGAATTCGTGGGGCTGCTGCCACTCTTTGATCCTCCAAGGCATGATAGCGCAGAAACAATCCGACGAGCACTTGAACTTGGTGTTAGTGTCAAGATGATCACCGGTGACCAGCTTGCTATTGGAATAGAGACCGGTCGACGCCTTGGCATGGGCACCAATATGTACCCTTCATCTGCCCTCCTCACCGACAACGATGAATCATCAATGACAATCGACGAGCTCATCGAGAAAGCCGATGGGTTCGCCGGAGTCTTCCCTGGTAAAATTCCAAATCAATCCAACTCACTCTTTACATTCCTGTCCCGCCCATTATAGCCTAGCATTTGCTTAAAAATTCTTCCTTCACTATCCTCAGAACACAAGTACGAGATCGTGAGGAGGCTCCAAGATAGACTACACATCGTCGGTATGACCGGAGATGGAGTTAACGATGCTCCAGCACTAAAGAAGGCCGACATAGGAATTGCTGTTGCTGACGCTACCGACGCAGCACGAAGCGCCTCGGACATCGTGTTGACAGAGCCAGGGCTGAGTGTCATAGTTAGTGCTGTCCTTACGAGCAGAGCCATATTCCAGAGGATGAAGAACTACACCATCTATGCTGTTTCCATCACAATCCGTATTGTGTTTGGATTTCTACTGGTTGCCTTGATATGGAAGTTCGACTTCTCCCCCTTCATGGTTCTCATCATAGCCATCCTCAACGACGGTACCATTATGACGATCTCGAAGGACAGAGTGAAGCCATCCCCGGTGCCCGATTCGTGGAAGCTCAATGAGATCTTCGCCACTGGGATTGTTCTTGGAGCTTATATGGCGATCGTGACTGTCTTATTCTTCTGGCTAGCTGAGGACACCGATTTCTTCTCTGTAAGTTTCAATCAAAGTTAAATCAGTTTGGGGAAACCAAGTGCAAACAGACAGTAAAGTTTGCTTCTTGTTGCAGGCCACATTTGGTGTAAAATCAATTAGAGGGAACCACGAAGAGCTTACAGCAGCACTCTACCTCCAAGTGAGCATTATCAGCCAGGCTCTCATCTTCGTCACCAGAACACGAGGCTGGTCCATCTCTTACTCCGAACGCCCCGGGATTTTGCTCGTCGTCGCCTTCTTCATAGCCCAATTGGTAAGCAGTATCAGTATGCATATTGCCGAGTTTTACCTCACTGAGGCAAAACATCAAACACCTTAAGTGCGCTAATCCTGCTCTCTTCTTTCTTTCTCTCACTGAAGCTGGCCACCATAATCGCCGTCTACGCGAAGTGGGATTTCGCCGGCATCAGCGGAATCGGCTGGGGCTGGGCCGGAGTCATCTGGCTGTTCACCGTCGTCACTTACATTCCCCTCGACGTCTTGAAATTCCTCATCCGCCTCGTTCTGACAGGCCACGCCTGGGAAAATCATCCCGATAACCAGGTTCGAAACGCGAAGAAGAAACCAAAAAAAAGAAAAAGGGGCTCAAATTCTGAAACCTCCCTAATCATGGAATCCCGTTTCAATTTCTTTCTTTTTTGCAGACGGGTATCACGACGAAGAAGGGCTACGGGAAGGACGAGCGCGAAGCTCAATGGGCGGAAGCGCAAAGAATCCTCCCCGGGCTTAAGGAAGTGGAAGCGGAGTCCCCCACCGCCGCCGCGGCCGATATGCACCGGTACAGCGACGCGGTGTAGGAGATTTTTGCCGGCGAAAGATGGCGGGAGATTTAAAATGGAGGGAAAACAAACGAAGGGAGATTTTGGATTGCTTCCTTGCGGAAATAAAAGGAGGAAACAGGGTTAATTTGAGGAGAGATCATCCCGAAGAATTATTAACTTCGGAATTTTTTAATTTTAATTTTTATGCTTTTTTGCTTTAATATTTGTTTAGTTATCATTTTGAAGAGTTTCCTCATTCATGAGGATGGTTGGGTAGATTCTTGTAGCCCATGCCTCGTGGGAAGAATGTAGATGTGGAACTTGGAAAAAAAATAACAATTAATTATAAAATTGATTTGTTTTTATCTTCTCAAAGAATGTAAAATGTAATACTTATTTTCTTATATAAATGGATTTTTTTGATTAATTTGATATTGATCCATGTTTAATTGTAAAGCAGAGTCCAATTCTCAGTTTATAGTATTTGGTTGTCATTTTATATCCATTTTCAATTTGATTCTATAATAATTCATCTTACAATCCGACTCATATCATATTAGAATCACTCATACTAATAATCTTGATTTTGTTTTAAACATCTCACGACTCAAATATAATTTTTGATATATCAAAATTCTGACGATTTCTATTTATTATTTATCTTTAGTCTTGCATCTTTTTTTTTAACAAATCTTTAATTTTGCATCTTCAAATTTCATTTTGCAAAATAAGATTAGCATTGATCAAATTAGTCTTGTGTTAGTAACAATCTTTATTTACAAACGACTTTATTTTAAACATCTCACGACTCAAATATAATTTTTTATATATCAAAATTTTGACGATTTTTATATATTATTTATCTTTAGTCTTGCATTTTTCCTTAAAAAAAATCTTTAATCTTGCATCTTCAAATTTCATTTTGCAAAATAAGATTAGCATTGATCAAATTAGTCTTGTGTTAGTAACAATCTTTATTTACAAACGGACATTATTAGACATTACTAGAATTTCGAGATCGAGGGGGCCGAAAATAATTAAAAAAAATTATGAAACCAATGTGGATTGAATCCATGTGCTTTATGAAATAAGTTAAGCTTGACTACCATTGGACCACATAACTATTACATGATAAAATTTACAGAAAAAGCTCTACTTATAAAATTTGTACTAAATATCCACGCAGACCTAGGAGCCAGGACCAATCCCGGGGGCCGGGGCCACCCTAGTTACAATGTAGCTCCGCCCCTGTGCTCGATTGTATCAGAAGAATAATTATCTTTTTGGGTTGCTGGTTGATACTGTTGTTACTAATGACTTGTAATTCACACGCTTTCTTGTTTATTGCCATATGATTACGATAAAAAATCCTTTTAAAACAAATCAGATTATCAAAATCACGTTACTTTATGCTATTATTACCAACGAAACCATCAAACAATCTCCCATAAGAAGAGCATAAAACAAACTTGGAATCCGAATAACTCTATAAAAACACCGGGCAGAAGAGAGGACATGAAGTAGGGTTTAAAGTAGCTAGTTTCTAGCGGAGCCTCCTGGCCTCCCTCTCAGTTTCAAGGAGAGTGATGACGTCGCCGACCCGAACAGGGCCTTTGACGTTCCTAGTGATCTGTCGCTTGGTGTTGTCAATGAATTCGACTCTCACTTGGGTCACCTGCCCTCGCGACCCTGTCCTCCCGATTACCTTAATCACCGTCGCGTTCTTCACTCCACCTGCCTCCATTCTCCCTCCTTCTTTATCACGAGACTCTTCCTCCCTCCTGCAAAAATTAATCTTGTAAGCAAATCAAATGCACAACCAATTCTAATATTTTCTATAACAATCACAAACATAAAGCGGGACGAAACCGGTTCTAACACAGATCAGTACTATTTTACTTATTATGACTACCCAACGAATCCATATAAACCTAATACTTACTATGAAACGTTGATCCATCGACTTAATCCAACATAAAGCATGGTAAACAACTCCAAACCTTAAATACCATAAGCTCGTACATAAATCCAGCCGATTGAGGAACAAAAAAAAAACATAGCTCCGAAACTAAATTATAACCATATCTCGTCGTAATGGCGATCATCGGCTGAGAAACAAACAATCCACTTATCTTACTTTCGTGATACAGAAAACTAACCAAAGAGTATAATGAGAAACAATGATTGCTGACACTAACCTTGATTAGGGTTCGGAGCGTTGTAGGGGTTTGAGAGACGTAGCTAGGTCGAGCAGTTTCGTCTCAAGTTTGATCTGTGAGCAAGGAATATGTTGATCTCTGGATCTATATATAGATATCCGTATAACCCTAACAATTGAATTATTATTTTATTAACATCAAGGTAACAAATCGTTATTAATTAGGTAACCGACTCGGTAAAAGGGGAGAGGGAATCCGCCAGTGAGGCACCGAATATTTGAAGAAAAATAAAATAGTAATTTCTGTTTTCTTTTTCCTTTTTTTGCGGAAAAATAAAATCTTTAAATATATTAAAAGGCTTTGAAAATAAAGCCCCCTCCACGCCAGCCTTAAACCAACGACCGCAACTTTCGGAACTGTAATTTTTTTCTTTAAATTTATTATTCCCGTTCTCCTCCAAAACGGCCTCCTTCCCTTAAAAAAACCTTCCACTAAAACGGCTTCTCAATTAAAGCTACTATCTATATATATATATTCCTGTCATGTTTAATAATACAATAAGATAATTTCCAATTAGAGTTCTTACTATAAAAGAACTCCGAGCAAAAACAATTTTGGGCAATTCATTTTCTCATTTATATTAATCCATCTATTGTTACTTTTAAAATATTTTAAATTTTCTAAGCTTTTTTAAATGTAATTTTAACTCATTTCTTAAAAACGTTTTTAAAAATAATTTGATTATTTGAACTAAGATGCACTTGCAAAGCTCGGCTACTTATAAATTTTATTTGACTTTTAATGTAAGTAGTTACAGATAGGCAAAAAAGGTAGAAGCGTTGTATTGTGTGGATCCGTTGTGATTCTACTTTGTTGTATCGGTCTTTCTAAACAATAAAAGCAACTGATTCAGTGAAGGGGAAAAAATTCTCAATCGAACTCTCAACACTTGGCCAATCCCCAAAATTTCACAGATAATATTAAACTAAAATTTTCCCTCGAAAATAGATGAACATGTGTTGTGTGTATGACAGGCTTAACTGCAAATCCATATTCATCAATTAAAAAATAGATGCCAGCTTAAAAGTATACATTGTTTAAGTAAAGACTAAAAATCATTGAATGAATGTAGACTGCTCAATTGATAAATAAACAATTTCTTAATTATGATTCATAAATCTGTATTGAGAGACCACAAATACGTTCTTGAAATGAATTGTGAAAACATAAATGATGTAAAAGGGTTTAAGCATAACAATGAATTACTTAATCGATAAGATAAAACGCGAAACTCACCCGGCCAACAGGCTGGGAACAAAGCTAGTAGTAATATAAATTCTTAACCGGTCAGTTACTCGGTTGGGAATTGGGATGGAAGAAGTTAAGAATTAATTATGTAAAAAAATTCGACCACTACTTGTGATACGGAATTAATTATGTAAAAAAGTAAGATCAAGGATGTGTACAGAAAGAGTAGTAGGTTCATTCTATACAGATGTTAGAGACTGCACCAAGTAGAGCTAAAAGGCTTTCTATCCAACCTATCATCCACAGCCTGTGGCCAGTGAGATGTTCTTCGTTACACGGTTTCATAACCATAAACATCATTTGAAGGTACTAACATATGCATCGACATGCAGTTTCTATCAATGGTGGACCGTGGATGCCAATTTTTCTTGTGTTGTTTGCCTCCAGCTACCATAGCCATTTCCTCGACAGTTTCAGTATCATCCTGACGGTCGGTCCTGACCATCTAGGGAATCATCGGTCTTTCTGTGTCTTGAAAATGGAGACCTGCAGTTCATTATGGAGCGAAGAGCGGTTCAAGCAGGAGGCAGGCAGGCTACAAGAATCATAGAATAGGAGTGAATCAGTGGAGATAGTAGCAAACAGGAAACATTCAAGGCAGGTACAAGTTGGGAGAAATGTAACCTGCTACAGAGAGAGCAGCAAAACCAAAGCAGAATCATGTCCATCTCAAGTAATCCAGACCACAAGCACCTAATATATCAACCTTTGTCTCGAACTGTCATCCATATTCCAAGCCACATAACTCAATCTAAGGAACCACCTGATTCATACAAAACATAACCCACAAAAACAGAATGCTTCTTCTGAAGCACACACCTAAGAGAACGAAGTTGCAGATGACGAGACATAAAAAGGAAAAGATCACTACTGTCAATTGTATAATAGATCGTATTTACTACTTTCAAATTTTACTTTCCACACTAGACAATACCTTTATCAACTTTACCTACTAAGCAATGCTTATCCGCAGATCTATCGGCGCAACACGATGCTGGCAACCTAAAAATGGAAAGAGACACTTACCTTCTTTATTGAATCATGTTAGCAATCTGTCATCTCTTCTCTTTGACGTTGTCTCTTACGTTAACATTGCACGAGAAAGACATAATACGCCGATTGTGCTTTATGTAAAACATAAACTGCAGACATCACATAGCAACAAGCACAAGAATTAGACAGATGTAGGCGGAGTTTGGCTGGGCTTCGGTTCAAGCCAGAAGAATCCATGGTGGCTTGAGTATTTGCCAAAACTCCTAATTTGTGGAAGGCCTTGGGTTGCGGTCTGCACCGCTGGTTTGCTTGGTCCTCAATATAATCACAAACATTCGGCTATGAATAAATTTGGACCGAAGAAACCGACCGAAAGTTGGTACTCCAATCTTTGACATGACAGAAGAAACCCAAATCCTTTACTCAACTCTCTAGCACCTGCCACTTAAGGACTGCATCTCAAGGAGAAATTGCACCATTCTCAACCCACTAATGGCTCTAAATGATTTCCCAGTCATATGGCTCCTTGTTCTCTTATTTCTTGCCCTTGTGGTTCTCATCCTCAGGAACAAGATCAACTCATTATCAGGAAGAAAGAACAGCAACCTGCAGCAACAGATCCCACCAGGTCCTCCTAAACTTCCAATACTTGGCAACTTGTATCAGCTTGGTGCTTTGCCGCACCAGTCACTCTGGCAACTTGCCAAGAAATACGGCCAAGTTATGCAGTTCCACTTCGGCCGGATACCTGCCGTGATTATCTCCTCCCCTGAAGCGGCCAAAGAAGTGCTGAAAGTTCATGACCTTGCCAGTTGCAGCCGGCCACCCCTGGCTGGAACTAGGAGACTGACATATAACTATCTGGACGTGGCTTTCTCACCTTATGGAGACAACTGGAGGTTCATGAGAAAAATGATTATACTCGAGCTCTTCAGCTTAAAGAGGGTGAAGGCGTTTCGGTTTGTTCGGGAGGAAGAAGTTGGCCTGCTGATCGACTCCATCTCTGAAACATCAGCAACTGCCTCCACCGTTGATCTCACTGAGAAGTGTTACTCTCTCACAGCAAACATAACTTTCAGGATGTCATTTGGGTTCAATTACCACGGGAGCGACTTCGACAAAGGCAGGTTTCATGAAGTGGTTCATGAAGCTGAGGTTGTTATGGGAACCATATCGGGGAAGGAGGGTTTCCCTCGACCAGTTGGTTGGATTGTTGACAAACTCAGTGGCCACGAAGCAAGGATTGAAAGAGTTTTTCATGAGCTCGACACTTTCTTCCAGCATGTCATTGATGAACACCTCAAGCCTGGAAGGGAAGGAACTGAAGAAGACATGATCGATATGCTGCTGGCAATCGAGAAAGAACAAACTCAACTACTCGGTAGCAAATCTCAGTTCAGAAGAGAGAACATCAAGGCCGTTTTGCTGGTAATCCTCCCCCAATATATACTTCATTTCCACCAAAATTTAACTCTTTTTCCACCTTCAGACACTAACTTTACTTGCCAATCAGAACCTGTTCATAGGTGGAACTGACACTGCTGCATTGACTGTGAGCTGGGCAATGGCAGAGCTGGTGGCAAATCCCAAATTGATGAAGAAAGCACAAGATGAAGTCAGGGACATAGTGGGAGAGAAAGGCAGGGTAACTGAAGATGAAATTGAAAACTTGGAATACTTGAAGCTGGTAATCAAAGAAACTCTGAGACTCCATCCACCAGCCCCTCTTCTGCTCCCAAGAGAAGCATCGTCCCACTTGAAAATCTGCGGATACGATGTTCCTCCCAAGACATTGATCCACGTCAATGCCTGGGGGATGGGACGGGATCCAAACTACTGGAAGAATGCTGATAAGTTCATCCCTGAAAGATTTGCAGGCAGCTCCCTGGATTTCAAAGGACATGATTTCGAGTACCTGCCATTTGGAGCTGGTCGCAGAATCTGTCCTGCAATGAACATGGGAATAATCACTGTGGAAATCGCACTGGCGAATCTGCTCAACTGCTTTGACTGGAAATTGCCAAATGGGATGAAGCCCGAAGATGTAACCATGGAAGAGAAGAGTGGCGTCAGTCTCACTTTGGCCAGAAAGGAGCCTCTCCTACTTGTCCCTGTCAACTGGCTCAACAAGTAAACCAGCAGAAGCACATCATCTGAACACTATGAATCCGTATCAGTGAAAATATCCATCCTACTACTACTTGTAACTAAATAAGACGCCAATAAGAACTAGAGGTTTGTTTTCCTGCTATTAGTGTGCAGCTCAAAAACATAAGAGAACCTTATATGGGAGCAACTTTGTCCTCCATAATGAATGCCGAAATGAAAGCCAAGAACACCGAGGACAAACCGAAAGTGGCAACAATGGGGAAGTGAATCAACATGTACAATATAATAATCGGCCATGAATATTGAACAGCAGAGAAATAGGAGCAGTGCAGCAGTAACAGTAAAAGCCACTTAATGATGATGCACATGAACTTACTGCATTTTGGGTTGGCAAACAAAGTCGGCAATTTGATCAATGGTGATAACGGGAAGTCATCAGAAAATATTTTTATACCTAATCAATCAGACTGAATCGGCCGGGATCTGATCACAATAGGCAATATGATGGATGCTGCTGAGGTGAACGGAAGCTGCTATCCTGAAATCCCAAAACCGCAAACTGGGTGAAGAGATTCGAACCAATAGAACAGAAGGGGCTGAATCGCCGCCTCTAAACTGGTCGATAAACCAGAATCTCCGGTGGAATTAGGTGAATCAGGCAGAATGTGACGAGGTGATTGGGCGAATTCGGCGGACTCATCGTCGGAGTGGCGATAGCGACAGTCGGCGGCGGAATTTAACCCTGCCGCGACGGAGCGGAATCCCCGCCGGAATTGCTGAGGAGGCCGATCGCCGGGCCGAGAGGGAGAAAAAGAATCCGACTTGCATACCGTAAAACGAAAAAGGAAAAAAAAATTCTCGCACGTGTGAAGGGAAACGTGTGCCACATTTCCCGCCAAGAGTTCCCGCCAACATAACCCGCCGTTCCCTCTATTACCCGCCCTTTCCAGTCCATTGCCTCCCTCCGCTCTCATTTCAGTCGGCGAAAACAAAACAACAGCAGAAAGAGTGATTTCTCGGTGAGCAATTGCAGTATCCTATTTCCCGGCGGCGAAGGTGAGAGATCATCTAGAGAGATGTCGGGATGGGACGAAGGAGCCGTCTACTACAGCGACCAAGCGCAGTTCCCGGAATCCGGCGCCGACGGTGGCGGTGGCGGAATCAGCCGCCACACTATCCTCCGGAAGTTGAAGGAGTTCATCAGAAACTTCGAGACCGACAAGAACGTTTTCCCGTACAGAGAGAGTCTGGTTCACAACTCCAAGTCTCTCCTCGTCCACCTCGAAGATCTGCTCGCCTTTGATGCCGAGCTTCCATCGCTCCTCCGTTCCTCTCCCGCCGATAACCTCCCTCTGGTACGCTCGAATTAGAGAAACGCGATTGAGAATCTGGGTCATTTCGCCCTTCGAATTTCTGTCCCGTACTGGTTTGATTTTAGGGATTTGTTTTGACCTAATTTTTTTCTGTAGTTCGAGACGGCGGCGGCGGAGGTGCTGCAGGGGTTGAGATTGAAGAAGCTAACCGATGATGGGGAAATGAAGGAGCCGGAGACCGGGGAGGTTCAGATACTACTGAGTTCGAAGGAAGATCCTGTTTCCATGAGAGCCCTAGGGGTTAGTTGAATGGATGAGAACTTAGGTTAATTTGTAGTTTGGTTCTGCAATGTTTAACTGAAAAGTTAATGTTGTTGGTTTTGCAGGCCGATTACATTTCCAAGCTGGTGAAGATATCTGGAATCACCATTGCTGCTTCACGAGTTAAGGCAAAAGCCACATATGTTAGTCTGGTGTGCAAGAACTGTCAGAGTACAAAGGAAGTTCCTTGTCGTCCAGGGCTTGGAGGTGCTGTAATGCCACGTTCTTGTGACCACGCTCCTCAGGTTTCTTGTCTCGATCTCTTCAAGCCATGTTCGTTGCATCTCTGGTTTTGTTCGCTGGGGTTTTAATTCATCTGTTGCATATGTGTGTAGCCTGGTGAAGAAGCGTGCCCCATTGATCCTTGGATAATAGTTCCTGACAAAAGTAGATATGTTGATCAGCAGACACTGAAATTGCAAGAGAATCCTGAGGTAATGTGATTGAATTAATTATCTCATGATGGTTTCTGGTAGTTTGTGTCTTACTTTTGTAATTGATGTTTTATAATGCTGATAATGAAGGATGTCCCCACTGGAGAGCTTCCCAGAAACATGCTACTTTCTTTGGATCGTCACTTAGTTCAAAGAATAGTACCAGGGACGAGGCTGACAATCATTGGAATCTACAGCATTTTTCAGGCAGCCAATTCATCAAATAAGTAAGACCCAAGCACATGTGGATGAGTGTCTTATATCTATTGTGTATTGGATATTTGAGATCTGTGGGCTAATGATTTGCTGGTGTGCAGCAATAGAGGAGCTGTTGCAGTGAGGCAGCCTTATATAAGGGTTGTGGGGATGGAAGAAGCCAATGAAGCCAGTAGTCGTGGTCATGCGTCCTTCACACAAGAAGAGGTATGTCGTAGAAATTTCAAGTACATTCGCATTATCAAATTTACCTATTGCTATAACTGTTCCATCTTTGTGCATAAGTAGTGTTAACCTTTCGCCTCTTGCTCTCATCTATGAGGTATGACTGTTAAGCCTAGAGGGTAATACTTTGCTGCTAGCTGGTTATCATTTGAGTATCTGAGGGTTAGGACAATGAAAAAACTGATTTGCTTGCTAAAATGATCAAAAAGGGACATCCTTTAGTTTGTCCTCATTTCATACCACGTGTTGTAGTGGTCTTCTCCTCGTTAAATGACCTATACATGCATCTTCTAAGTATTGTTCATTAGGGTATTCTATAATAATTCAATTGCTTCAAACATTTAAATCGACTGAAATCAATCATATAACCCACAGGAAGAAGAATTTAGAAGGTTTGCCTCCAGAACGGATGTTTACGAAGCCATATGCGCTAAGATTTCTCCATCTATATTTGGGGAAGAAAATGTGAAGAAAGCTGTGGCTTGCCTTCTATTTGGAGGTTCAAGGAAGGTATGGCCATTCAAACGTTTGTCTATTGATACTTATGCTGTTATGCAGCAGCTATCATTGTTGTAACCAATTGCTTCACTGATACAGAACCTGCCAGATGGGGTGAAGTTAAGAGGTGACATCAATGTGTTGCTACTGGGAGACCCGTCCACTGCTAAATCACAGGTTTGTTCTATTCTATACTTCTGACATTTTACTTTTTAAAATAACAGCAGAGGGATTATCATGACTGCTAGGATTAGCCTAACCAATTAGTCTTTCCTTTGTGATTGTTTTTGCATCTTGTAGTTTCTCAAGTTTGTTGAGAAGACGGCTCCTATCGCTGTTTATACTTCTGGGAAAGGGTCATCAGCTGCTGGTCTGACAGCTTCTGTGATACGGGATGGAAGCTCTGTAAGCTCTTAGACCTTTGAGTAGTGGAATTTTTTCCTTTCTATATCTGCAGTATTATGATCTGACTGTAATTTTGTAATATGTGAAATCAGCGTGAATTCTACCTTGAAGGAGGAGCCATGGTTCTAGCAGATGGAGGTGTTGTGTGCATAGATGAGTTTGACAAGATGAGGCCTGAAGACAGGTATCTCAAAATGACAACATCTCTTTTTTCCTTTAAATGATTCCTCCAGTTTCTAAATAATTTTTACGCTGCTGCTCAGGGTGTCTATTCACGAAGCAATGGAACAGCAAACGATATCCATAGCAAAAGCAGGAATTACAACTGTTCTTAATTCTAGAACTTCAGTACTTGCTGCTGCTAATCCTCCATCAGGACGGTATGATGATCTCAAGGTCAGTAAAACTTGTTCTTCCTCTGGCCTTCCATATAAATATTTGTGATTTTGTTCCAAACAACTAAGAAAAGTTTCTTTCTTGCAGACTACACAGGAAAACATTGATTTGCAAACAACGATTCTTTCTCGATTCGACTTGATCTTCATTGTGAAAGACAGAAGAGACATGAAGCGAGATAAGGTAGTTCTCAATAATTTAGCAGTCTGAATTAAATAAACCTTCACATCTTGTTGTAATTGGGAATAAGGCCATTGATTTTAGTTCTCTGTAACTTCTCAAAGAGGCTAAATAAGAAATGTTGCTGTTCAGTAGTAGTAATTCAGTTCATTCTCTTGCAGATCATTGCCAGCCATATTATAAAGGTTCATGCATCTGCTGATCAAACAGCCACAGACCACAAGGTTTCTAAAGAGGATAACTGGCTCAAGAGGTAAGTCTATCATATGATTAACAGATTTGGTGTTCATCAGTCTTCATTTCATCTTTCTGTCAAGGACTGGCTTCATTCCCAACTGCGTTTATCCTTTGCAGATACATACAGTTCTGTCGTTCAACTTGTCGCCCTCGTCTCTCCGAGTCAGCAGCCACTAGGCTCCAAAATGAATATGTTAGATTCAGACAGGTAGATTTACGCAACAAGGACACATAACACCAGCAGTCATAATTATGTTTTTTAAGATAGTAAAAACAGAACTAATGGTAAGTTGTTTGTCGTGGGTTTGATTTCAGGACATGAGAAGGCAAGCCAATGAAACAGGAGAAGCATCTGCTGTGCCCATTACAGTAAGACAACTGGAAGCAATCGTAAGGCTGAGCGAGTCTCTTGCAAAAATGAAACTGTATGTGTGAGATCGCTCGAAGCGCCATTTAGTCTCTCTTCAACACTTTAGAACTTCGACGTGTTTCTCATACATTTCCTTTTCTTGTGTTGGCAGGTCACAGATTGCAACGGAGGCTGACGTGGTTGAAGCAGTGAACCTGTTCAAGGTGTCCACCATAGAGGCAGCACAGTCCGGGATTAATCAGCATGTGACTTCTACACCTGAGATTCAGGTTGGTATCCCCTTGGGTCATTGATTCTCTACTTAATTTTTATTCTGCTGTTTTAAGTTGATGTATTTTTTAATAATGGATGTTGATGGTTTTCTTGATCCCCACTGAAACAGCAAGCTGAAGCTCAGATAAAGAGAAGGATCGGGATAGGTATGAGGATTTCGGAGAGGAAATTGATCGATGATCTCGGCAGGATGGGGATGAATGAATCCATTGTAAGTAAAGCCATATTTTCGCGTTTCTTTCTCAACTTGTTTGATGTTTCTGGATGAATCAAATTGACTTACTGGAGCTGTGGATGGATGGTTGGCCACAGGTGAGAAGAGCTCTAATAGCCATGAACCAGAGGGACGAAATCGAGTACAAGCATGAAAGACGCATCATAGTGCGAAAGCTATGATCTTAACAACCTGCAGATGCTTTTTGCTCACGAATCATGGATGTACAATGCGAATTCTCGCGTTCTTTCCTCGTATCAGGATATGCATGGCATCACTATATTAGGTACACTATCCAGCAGCATGTAATGAATCATCTTAGTTAGCTCTCTTCCTCTTTTATCTCTTGTTGTTAAACTAATAGGGCTAGTGCTCTGTCTAATTAAAAAGGTCAATGAATCCAGATCAAAGCAGAGTTCTTGTTGTCCGTAAAAACAATTAAGGCTATTTTAAGATTTTCGTAAGATATCAAATTGCAGCTATGTAGCCTTCTAAATTGTGATGTTGAACGAGTTCTTTTTAAACTGAAGGTACTATTGGAAATGGAGAAAGACTTTGACTAATAAAAATGGTGAGCAGAACCGAAGAGTCCTTTCTACTAGATTCCTTAGGCAACACATTTTCTCCCACTCAACTCAAGGCTTCAATTTTCACAAATCACAGCAATAGGCAGGCCCATGCAGCCCAGTTAAAAAAATGTGAAAAAAGAGATGGTCCAGTTTGGACAGCCCCTCAGGCTATGCGGGCCCAAGAGCCACCGGCCTGTAATCCTTCCACTGCCTAGAGAGGGAGGTGCTCGCTGCTCTGTGAAGCCAGCCTAGCGCATTACCCTCCACTCTAGAGACCACGACGCCTCGGTCTTCACCGAGACTCCGTGGCCCAACTCCGGGCTTGGAACGGGCAAGCCAGAAATCCGACAAACCGGAGCCCAACCTTTGAAGCAGGCCCAATGTCCCATCTCAATAATGCCTCCACTTGGATCACAAGCTCGCGTTACCAAGCTCGGCGAAGGGAAACGTCATCCTAGAGGAATATAAACGGCATTTTTATTTATAGTTTCAGTGATGTGGTACTGTTGTACAGTCTCAAGAGACTTTGAAAAGACAGGTGACTCTGGGGTCTTCATATCCCAACTTCCTCTGCTGCAGAGGTAGTGTGGTTTTGCATTTGCGAGACAAGCATTAGAGAATGCAGGGATTTACCGTGCTCGGTCACTGCTTTCGTTTCCCGTTATCACAGCAGAGAGAAGAAGGCCGGCGGTGGGTATTTGATTTCCCCCGGGAGCTGGAGTTCGCCGGATGGAAATCCTGTCCGAGTTGATACCTGCGAGACGCGATGGTGGGGGAGGACGAAGTGGATGCTGTAGTTTTCACGAGTGCTGTGGAAGGGGAAGGGTTGCTGAAAAGCTTGAGCGAGCTTGGATGTGGACTGGAAGACGGTGAGACGCAGGCGGCTGGGATGGTGGTGGCAGAACATGGTCCGGTGATGGCAAATGGAGCTAAGAGATTGGGGAGTGGATGTTGATGTGGCGAGTGGGAAGTTGGAGAGCTTTGAAGGCGTGTCGTCAATGCTCTGCACTCGCACTATAGAGGTTTGAGCTCTAGATGTTTGTGAAATTGCCTGAATGAACTTTTTTTTCTCCCTGAATGAAGAAGCTTTTCATTAGATTCAGACAGTACACTGCTCATCGTTCTGCTGGTTGATTTTTGTTTGAGATTCACTTGCTTGAGTTCATCTTTCAATTCCAGGAATCAAGCTATGAAAGTTCATCATTAATGTAGAAACTCTGATCATCCTTATAAAAAAGCAATTTGCATGGCTCACATGGATAAATAGACAATTCTCAGGATCGCTATTTTCGGTTTGACATACACAAACTGTGAGCTATTATGTTACATGGACACTAAGCAACATTTTTGCACAAATAGATACTCACCATCATTTAGTGAACTCGGGTATATAGCTATCATTACTGCTAATCTTCCTATATGGAAACATCTATAACTCAGTTTTCGACATCTGCTTTTCCCCCCATTCATTTGCTCTGTGGAATTGGCATTAATAAAAGCTTCAGTGCCTCTTCCATGGTCGGCCTCTCAGATGATCTACTTCTGGTGCAGAGTAGAGCAACTTCAAGAACTTGTTTAATCTCCCTTTTAGTTGAATCAGAAGTGCCAGATTCATTCTCACTACATATTTCTCTCAAGAGTACTTCTGTAGTCTTGTTCTGTGCACCCCATCCAGCTTTAGCAAGTCCACCATTGCTCAAGATCTCTAAAATTAGCTCTCCAAAGCTATATATATCTTCGTAGAGCTCCTCCTTAATGGCACCATTGACTTCACCTGTTAAGCATATAGAAGACAATTCAAGGGGACTCCTAAGATAACTCCTTTAACTTCTTTCTAATACAAAGTCAAATAATACTGCTGTTCTTGATTTTAATGGACAGTTCTACAAGAATCTTACATTCTTACTGTAATACTATGTCTGCTTGTCTGGTGTTTGTAGAGGACAAACAACAACTTTTTGGATTGTACTTGTGTGACTCAGCATATAATAGGTGAAAGCCACGGAGTGAATCCAAATTATTCTTGCATTGTATGACTTTTGATTGAAGGTCTGCTTTGTCTGACTTTTCATAAAATACCGTCCTAACATGGGATGTATGAAGCTTACCTGTTTCTTTCCTGGAAACTGTTGCCGGAAACTTGCCACTACTGATTTCTGCCAGGCACTTGAACCCGAATTCTGCTAAACGAGGCTCCATGTTTTCGTCGAAGACCACATTACTCGACTTCAGATCTCCATGAGGAATCGCAGGGTAGCAATCATGGTGAAGAAAGGAAAGCCCCCTAGCAATCCCAATGATGAGTTTGCACTTGGTTGCCCAATCTCTCTTCTCGGTCACCTTCTCAGCCAAACTCCCATTTGGCAAGTGATCACACAAAAGGTAAGCTAGGTGCTTGTTGTGGCACACTCCAAGCAGTCTTACCAAATTCTTGTGCCTCGCATTCCCAATTTGCATTATCAATTCCATGCTGGCATGCATTGTCTTCGCCTCCAGCTGGACCTTTTTAGCTGAAACTGTTATTCCTGTTGGCAGCACTGCTTGGCAAACTGAAGCGGATGATGGAGACAATTCCTTAAGAATATCACTTGCAGTGAATTGAGGGAGTCCAGCAAAGGGTATCATCTTCCATTCACCTTTGCCTTCTCTCCTGATGTAGAATACCCCTAATGCCAGGGCCAAAACTAATACAACCACAGCTGCAGACAATAACAGCACCCATGTAAGCTTCCTTGTTCCTCTACCACCAAATATCGTCATCGAACCTGAACATGGATGGAGAGGTGCTCCACATAGTTTTGGATTTCCTGCGTAAGCGCTGCTACCCATTGCTCTAAACATGTTGGTGGAAGGAATCGAACCAGAGATATCGTTGAAGGATACATTTAGAAGTACTAGAGTTGAAGAATCATCAAGCTTTTCCGGTATTTTCCCGCTCAAATTATTATGGGACAGATCCATTTGGACAAGAGCTCTACAGTTTGAAACACTTACAGGGATGCTTCCATGGAGCTTGTTCATTCCTAACTCGATGAAGGAAATGGACGTGCAGGACTCAAATGGTGGAAGAGCCCCTGAGATAGTACAATTTGAGGCAGATAAGTTTTGGAGAACCGGTGATGACCATATTTCCGTAGGCAATGTGCCTCCAAGGGCTGGATTGTCCGAAATGTTGAAGTACTCCAACTTAGGAGCTTGAGAAATATCCCTGGGAAATCCACCTGTGAAATTGTTCAACGAAAGATCCACATATGTAATCTCAGGAAGTTGGCTGAACTTCAGAGGAATTTCCCCTGAGAAGGCATTGTCTTCTAGCCTTAGACGAACGAGGGATGAGCAGTTGGAGATTGATGGTTCAAGGCTTCCTGTGAATTTGTTTGAGAAAAGGATCAACTTGAACAGAGCATTTCCAGCACAAATGCCTTCTGGAATTCCACCAACGAAATTGTTGGTTGAAACATCCACCCATTGGAGGTTTGAGTTCTTTCCCAAGTCCTCTGGAAGAGGACCTGAAAAGAAATTGTTCCATATGAGAAGAGTTTCCAGTGAAGGAAGCTTTGAGATCCCTTCTGGGACACTTCCATTCATGTCATTATACATGAGACTAAGCAGTTTCAAGTTCTTCAGCTCTGAAAAACTCTCAGGTATGGCCCCAGAAAGTTGGTTATCAGAAAGATCCAAGCTTGCTAGAGGCAAAATTCTGCTGAATTCCCATGGAATTGGTCCGCTGAGCTGGTTTCTGAAGAGGAACAACGACTCAAGCTTGGTTAGATTAGAGAGTTGACTTGGAATGGAGCCAGTCAGATTCGCCCCTGCTATATCCAGATACTGAAGCTCACTCATGTTACCGAACTCCCATGGAATACTCCCCTGGTAAGAATTGTATCCTATCTCCATATGCTTCACCGTTTTAAGCTTCCCGAGCTCTGCTGGGATTTCCCCATCAAGTGAGTTGCCCGCCAAGTGGATAAACTCGAGACTTTTGAATGAACCATACTCCGCCGGGATCGGTCCACTGAAATAACTTCCGGCGAGATTCAAAACCTTGAGATTCTGAAGCAGGGGGACTTCAACGGGCAGCTGCCCTGAAAAGCTGTTGCTGAATGCATCAAGCACAACCAGATTCTGGAGACGGGAAATCCCACTTGGAAACTGGCTGGAGAAATTGTTCCGGCTTATATCCAAGCTTTTTAGCCCCGTAAGGTTAAAGATTCCCGCTGGAAGCTGGCCGGAGAACGAGTTGTAACTGAGGTTGAGATCCACAAGGTCGGTGAAGATTCCAAACTGATTCCCTGACAATGCATTTCCTCCGAGATTCTTCGAAGACAGGTCCAAAGCCTCGACCTTTGTCGAGTTATCGTTGCATTTCACTCCTGACCATGAGCATGCATAGATTTTCTCAGGTGGGGTTTCTCCAGAAGGCTCTAACCAATCACTCAGGCTACCGTCGTTGTCTGTGAACTCAGATTTCAAGCTCAGGAGGGCTTCTGAGTGAGGATCAATACCAATAACGAGTGATGTGCAAAACAAGGAAGTGATGATGATGATGAAGAAGAAGAATTTCAAGTTGAGATGGTGGAAGATCTCCATGGGGACTCACAGTGGAGGGAAGGGAGAAAATCTGTCGGTTTATTGTAAGTTCTTCTTCGCATTCTCTGCTTTTATTATTTTGAGTCTATTCGTGCTGGATGAGAGATGCATGGGGACTAGAGAAAAAGAGAGAGTGCAGTGAAAGGGAATGACGTATGGGGATTAGTTGGGTTTTGAGAATATGATTGAGCTGCTTTTGGGAGCAAAGGAGGGTCCCTTATTAAGAAGAGTGGTTATTTAATCGGGGCTGGTGTTTGGCCGATATCTTTGAAGGGTCTTTTTCCTGCTTTTCACTGGAGAAATTATTTTCTTGCCACCTTTGGAAAATGTGGTTTAAATTTTAAAAGAACTAATAAATAACTACGGGGCAGGAACCTAATCCTCCATATCCATTGTTATTTTACTTCGGATGATAAAAGGGACGGCAATATTTCCTTTTTTTTAGCCCCCAGTGGTGACGGTTTTGGATTTAGTTGATGGGATTTCAGAGTTTGGAGGTGGTGGAATCTTTGTCTTGTAAGGATTGACATTCACCATGAAAATTGGAAGGTGGCGATAGGCATTCCAGCTGGAAGCTTATGGTATAGTTAGCCAAATCCTTAAACTGTGGATGAAAGTAGCTTCATGGTAGACTATCAAAAGAAGAATTTAGCTTTGTGTTGCTGTTTCACACACTATGCATTTTTATTGGGGAGGCGGTCAATGCAAGAAAAAGGCAACAAGAAAATTTGTCTGTCAGCTGTAGTATAGCCGTTGGATTTACTTTCAGAACCAAATGGTAAAAAGAATAGTGCTTGTGAACTCATAGATGGTAATGGTATCTTGAATAGTCAACTGCATACTATCGACCAATCCGGTAGTCTTATTACGTGTTTTTATCATGATTTAGAATGATGCTCTTCCAATTTCGTTATAAACCCTTGAATTGTTCCTCTCATCAGTTTGATTTCTGGTATAGTTTAAGAAAAATGAACATAGCCATGGAAGCTCTGGAATGGAAAGTGTTCAACGTTGGTTGTGGAATTTGGAGCTTTACCACTCTCTCTCTCTCTAATCTGATTCTACATTTCTACCCAACAGCAGACTGAAGCTGGGCAGGGAAGCAAGCAAGGAAATCAGGTACCTTTCCACATTTTGGACTATCTATTTGTACGTATTTGAGTCAAGAGCAAAATTCACATAACAGACAAAGGAGTGAAAAGATAGAGGAACAGAGTAAAGCCAAGAGATGCGTTAAATGAGCTCTCTTTTTCTTCCATCCTGCTAATCTATGATTAGCATCAGCTTTCTTTTTTACGTACTTAAACACCTTTTGTGCCAGGGAAGCAACTCAGAAGAAGAAGAAGAATTAACTGTGATTCAACAATAACGTCTATAATGCAGGCATTTTAACAGGGGAATTTGCCGAGTATAGTGGGCTTCAAGGGATAACGCTTTGGAGACGGGAGCAAAAAAGAAAAAGGTGATGAATTTGATTCCAGCACAAGCCTTTACCTTTTTTTATAAATCTGCTGTTCTTTTTAGGCAAAAAAGAGGGCATTTATGCTATCCTTTTATGATCTTTTGTTTGTTTACGGGTATGTGGAGTATTTGTTCGGTACACTTGCTAATTCACACACAACCGTATATCCATCTTCCCCAACTACTTTCTGAGTCCCAATAACAAGTTCCCCTTAAGAGTTTGTTCCACTAGGATAGGATCTCTAGGTTCGATAGGGTGAATCTACAGTAGGACCTCTTGAGATAAACCAGGAAGCTTAGCCATGTGCCTTGGGAAAAGGTTTGAAGCTTGGAGTCGTATTGACTTTGCTCTTGATCTAGTATTGAAGTGGCCATGTGTTAGGGTACTTAGTTTGAAACAAGAACTCAGTTGGTTTCTTTTTTTTCTTTTTCATTAGAGATAAATAAACTGCGATCTAGAACTAACATAAGTCAACGTAAAATCACTCGGACTCAAATCCACTATTTCAAGTGTCCTTTCTAATGTTCAAGTTTTATTCTTTTCATATGATAAACGATTCTCAAACCGCAAGTCAATAGAGCAGCAAGGACTCGACCTCATCTCGTCGAGCTTGAGCTTGAGATTGTACCGGCTTTACAAGTTTCTTTTTCACCATGATAGATTACTAGTTTATTACAAGAAGTCTTTTGGTATAGGCATGCATGCATTATAGCCGACAGTTCACTTACAATCCATCACTACATTGAATGTAAACGCTTCTCTGTGTTTTGCTAAGTTAGGTTTTCCCTTCCATAATTCATGCATGGGAAGAAGAGAAAAGGGGAGGCTCTCGAAATTTATGTGCTCGGAACTCACATGATAGCATCACGAGGGAGAAAGAGAGTCTCACTGCAAGAGTTTCAGAGAGAGCTCGTGATGAAATGAATGCTGCTGCAAAGAAAAGAAAGAAAAGAGAGGGATGTTGTCCATATTCTGGTAAGTTGTCATTACTCATTAGTACTACTACTTGGTTACTGTCCAAAGACATTATTACTTTGGTTACCACCATTAATGATTTGAATTGAATTGAATTGAAGGGGGTCAGATAGGAAGAAACTACAGAGGGAGAGGAGTGTGCTATTAAATGTGTGCCAAGCTTTATAGAAGAAAAAAGAGGTGAGCATAAAGCAGTTTCTCACTCTGTTGCTTCTGAATTCTGATGCCACAAAACTAATGAGGATTCTTCAATTCAAGCATAGTTAGTAAAATACGGTACGGGAAAGTTACGTAAAAGATACGTACGGGAATTATACTTCATCTTTAAGCTAAAATTACGTTTAATAGTACGTTAATAGTCATAAATATATAAAATTAATCATTTTAAAAATAAATAAATATATAAATAATAGTAAAGTTAACAATTTAATTCGTAAAATACGGATAATAAACGTGTTATTCGGGTTTTATACGTGTTTAGTACGGGAACCATGAAATGAACGGGGGAAAATGAAACGGCTTGACAATAATACGGATACGGAAGTTTTAAACGGATAAAGTACGTACGGGTACATATACGTGTATTAAACGGAGTATTTACTAACTATGAATTCAAGGTGGGCATCTTTACGTTACTGTGGATTTGTGGTAATGATCTTGGCAGGAGTTACTGTTAGTGTAGAACCATTTTTTTTTTCTTCTTCTCATTTCTACTTAAAGTTACAGCAAGATGAGAAGCAAAAGCGTCTTTGATAAAACACAAATTGCCCATTATTTCGTGGCTTGAGATTGAGTCTCTAGTAAATTGGGTACTCGGGGGTATCATACAACGCTTTGTACTACAGAACTCAAGTATTGTTTTTCCCCCTTCCTCGCACAGATTGTCCCAGCGTTTTGATTTGTGAAGGCTTAAGAGATTTGAGTCTCTAGTTATTTGGTTCGAGATATCAAATAAGTCTTTCTAATGCGAAAATTTGAGTATTGTTTTTTCCTCCTCGTACAGATTATGTCGCAAATAGTTGTCATGTGACTGTCGACACCAATTAAGAGCTGCTATGATCTACAAAATTGAAGTCGACAAGTAGAAGGATAGGCGGAGCGCAAGAGATTATTGAAAATTCATTGTGACTAGACTACGAATCTACTCTTGCTACGAAAGAGTATGGAAAATTTTGCATCTTGTAAAGACTTGTTGTAAGGAGGAATTTTGCTTTACAAGTAATACAAAAAAAAAAAAAGATCCTTCGAGTTTGGAAAGAAGTATAGTGTGTGGATAAAGAAAAGAGAGGGGGCGTGTGGTCTTGGAAGGGATGAAAGCAAAGAAACCTCTCGAGTTTTCATCTTTTGAGGTCGAAAAAGAGTGAGGCTTCTTCACAATGTAATTCACTACAACACTATTAGTAACACTCTCAAAGATTCCCTCTCAATTCTATCCCCTTTTTCTTTTCCCAAAACAGTCAAAAAAAGTGAGTGATCATGGACCAATTTGGACAGTAGGGTCTTGAATTTTTTGACCCTTTATATTGTTGATGGAGTCCCTATTACTCCTAATTATAATCCAAACACCTTTAATCAAATCCAATCTATTAATTAGCAAACACAGCATGCAACAACTAAAGGTAAAACCCTACCACCACCATTCATTCATCCACACTAATTCACTAATCTCCTAATTAACTCTCATCACCTCTTCTTTATAGTCTGGTATTGCCTTGACAGAGTAGGGCAAAGGCTAAAGAGCTTGGTTATCAAACCACTAATATTGCGGACAGGTACAACCAGGTTCAATCGGTATTGAACAAAAACCGGCTAGGAACCGCCGGTATGAAGAGATACTCAAAAAACGGTAAAAAGTAACATAATTTCTTATTTTGTTTGTAATGTGGTATTTTATTTGAATATGGATGAAAATTACAAATAGATTGTCTCAATATAAATTATGTAAATGCACAATTCATTTTGTGTTAATTGTTTCTTCCTCATGTTTTGTCAAATCCGACATAAAACGCCATATAGACTGGTTGTACCTCGATTGGACCTATATCATTTGCTAAACCGGAATAATATAAACCAGTTTGACAACCTTGGTAAAGAGAGAATGGACAAGACACCACTTCACAGTCCTCAAATGACGACTTCGTCCCTAGACCTCGAATCGTATTTATGGTTTCGAATGGCAAAGAGAAAAGGGTTACTTTCGAGGATGCACAAGGGTAGTACAAATCAATCAAACAAAGAACAAAAAAACATTCCTAAATTGAATTGAACTTGATGTGACTGAGGTGGTGCAGAAACTAATGTGTGAATGAAACAAACTTATTCCCCTTTTCTATCCCACTATCTCCACCTTTCTTTCTTAAATGGCAAGCCAAAGGGCTGGCCAAGGACACAGTAGATTGTGAATCAAAGCAATAAAGCAGAATACTTTTTTGCATGGACATGTAGTTTCAATCAAGAAAGTTTAAGACATAATTGGAGCTGGTTTCCACAAAATAATCTCCCTCTGCAACCAATGGGCATGTTGTTCAATACTAATTGAAAAAACAAAAACAGAGTACTCATTGAGAATACATGATCAGCTGAAATAAGAACCCAGGTTGGTCTAGTAACCGGCTCTATGCAATGACATTTGGTTACTTGCAGTTGTGTTTTTCTGTCTACGAGATTCTTAGTAACAAGGAATGCTATATGCATATGTTGCTCATGAATTGATTGATTTTTTCCTGAAGATTAGATGTCAATTTTTTCCCCCGGTACACAAGAAGGTACAACACATTTGGGAAAGTGAGCTCTTAACTAGGCAGGCTGTACAAACTAAACAATCAAAGGGGTTGATGACAGATTGAAAACATCAAACCTCCAAAGGCTCGGCAGTTTCAGGCTTCAGTTTGTTCAGCCTCACGGTACCTAGGAGGAACTCTGGCAGCTCGGCCTCTTCCTTCCCCTGCAAAATCATTATTGTTTGCGTTCCCAGATCAGTACATAGAAGAGACGAGAGCATTGAACCGTACAATTCAGCTGGACCCCGAAAATCGCATAAGGACTCTGACCTCAACGAGAATGGCAAGATCAACAACTAAGCTTGTAACATATCCGAGAACAAGACCAATGACACTTCTTGCAACCGATGATGACCCAATATCCACATCGATCTACAGATTTATTAGAAAATGATTAGGAACCCAAAACATAAACAATAATTTGTATCTCATATCAAGCAATACTACAATGTTGAGACGAATATATGCTTGATGGATGGAACTCTCTCTGACGCATAAATAGTGATCATATGGGTTGCTCAAGATTTACCTCAAGAAAATTGTCTTGTCTGAGGTACTTGCATGTTACAGCTTTGCCCAATAGGCAAGCTTTTGTTCCAACAGCACGTTTCACCATCCAATAACCCTGAAAGACGTCAGGTTCAGAGGAAGTACCATATCATAAAAACCCATGCAAAATAGATGAAGCCTGCCTAAGTTTTGGGCAATTGTTCACTTATACTACCTCAATGATACTGGGAATCAACTTGAATCTCGAATCTCTAAACATATCTGTCCCGTCAATAAACTTCCCCAACAAGGATTCCTTGTTCACTGGCCTATCTGCAGCATAGTAGAGTACCAAACTGTAGTTGGGTTTTGCTGGAATCTGAAGTAGGAAAATGGAGCTCAATTAATCTTGTTTGAAATTTCCATGATCCATAAGCAGCTTACAAAATACAATAATGCATGGATTCCATCACAATGTATTGAGAATGTTGGGGTGACAACAGTTTCAAGAGCTAAATTTAGATTATTAAGCATAAATAGCAGAAAATCATATCCCCACTTTGGAAACATGAGCCACGACGGTTTATGCTGCAGTGAATACGCAGCACACTTTAAGATGATTTTGGATATTAAGAACATGTTAAATGGGGGTTTAAATGATCACACGGTTAGCGTTCTAATACAAATTAGTTCCAGTTATTAAATTCAACTTGGGCAATCTTTTCCAGTTTCCAGTTCACTGTTATGATAAGTATAACTGGTCTCTGTATGCTACTGCTTCTTACAAAGAAATAATAATAAAAAAACATTCCATGGCAGTACACCAGAAAGGATTTGCGTGTAGTACCTGCAGATTAATGACCAGAACAAAAGGAAGCTTCTTCCCAGCTGCTGTCTGTAATGGTAAAGGTGAGGTCAGTGGATAAATGACTTCCAGGCTAAAAGAGGATACTTGAGGCATGCACAATCTAAGATCTCAAACCTAACGGAAACCATAACACTAGTAGGTTATAAGGAGTTCTTTCCAACTAGGAGGGATCATCTTATCATGGAAGAGAGCAAGGGAGAACCTACCTGCAATAAACATTTGGGATGCAATGCAACCCCATCTGCGGCTCTATCAACTTTTAACCAATCAACTGCTACTAACTGGAGAAGGGGATCTCCACCCACCACCTGAATTATTGTTACAACTAGTGTAAGCATAGAAAAACAAACTAGTCGCCAAGCATGAGAAGTGTGCAGCAGCACCATCAATGGTGATGATAATGTGGGTGTCATATAAAACAAGTTTTAGAACTGAAATTCTAAACACTGACCTTAGAATTATCTTTGAGATAAGTCTTCCCTCTGATCTTAAATCCTGATCCATTTGGAGAAGTCCAACAGTTGGAATCTTTTTCATCCTTCCCTTTGTGAAGAGAACCACTGAATTCACTTGGTTCGATAATGATCGGAGGTACATTAGGATCTAAAGTTTCCTCTGTACCTGGAGCTGTAAAAAAAAAATTTGCTAAATTGCATACAGAAAAGAAGAGGAAAACTAATGCTCACAAGGACACCTAGGATTGGGCCTATTTTGTGTAACCGTGTGGACTCTGACATAAAAAAGACACTAAAAAATAATATATGCCTCAATCGTAATTTAACTCTCCCTTAATGCTAAACCAAAGGTAGTTAACTTGAAAAGGTCTACTATCTTAAGAAAACCAAAGCAAGTCTCCATGAAGCGGGATAAGATAGGATGCAATCAAGTAAACAAATTTTCTGAGATTACGAGGTAATTTAGAAAACTTCACAGAATTGAGTGAAAGGTTCCCATAGTACCTGCATTTCTCTTCAAAGCTAAGCTTGCAATAGCCCATGAAACATTTTTCAGTTTCACCCTCCCATCCTGTTCAAAAGACGACCATAGTTAGGACTGAGAGTTATTTGATTTTATATTTGGGCCTGCAATCCTCCAACAACAGTACTGAAAGATGTTACAGAAAAAGCATGAAGAGAAAACCTTCTTCGAGTTTGATTTTTTGCTACCACCCTCCTCTTCATCTGAGGATGACGATGATTCCCCAGCAATTGCGTCATAAAACTCATCATTGACTTCTGCATCATCATAGTCAATGGGGCTCATGGAGGCATCAGTAAATTTTGAACGAACTACCGTTGTAGAAGATTCCACTCTCAAAGCAGGACTTGCTCCTATATATTCTTTCAAACCTGATAAAAGTTAATCGGAAAAGTTAACTACCAGTGAAGCTTTGCAAATGATTTCATAAACAAGTTGCAGCATTGACTTTCATGATAAGTATATAACTCTTATTTGAAAAAATCAAGCAGCATATTGATTATGAAGGTTTACACTTATAACAGTAAACAGTAGACAAGAAGGAAGTTTACCATGTAAATTGCCGTCTTTAAGTAGTGTTTAAAACAGGGGAAACATGAAAAGAACAACTTTCCTATTTGCATGGAAATTAACCCATCAAGAGATATATTGTTAACGACAGGAGAAAAAAGATAAGAATGGTCACAACCCCTAATGGGATTGTCATTTTCACAACCCCCTTCTGGTAGCGTACCCCACTACCCCTCCATCTGGTAGTAGTATCACTCTATCTGGTAGCACTACCAGAGGGGGTTGTGAAAATGACAACCTCTTAGGGGTTGTGACGGGATCTCATCACGAATCCACAGCAATGTCACTGAAAGACAGTTCATCCCAAGAAATAACTTCCCGAAAAATGACGATCACATTAGCAAAGCATTTGCAGTTTTATATTCATGTACACTCAACATAAGAATAGTTTTGGGGGGCTCGGAGACAAAACAAGTTGCATTATGAGCTGGAAAATATTCTGACAGGTTTCCAGAAAATCAATTCCAAACATGGGCGATATTCGAGATAAATTTAACTGAAAACATGTTTGAGATACAAGCCTTTGTAAACAAGGATGAAGAGAAAGAAACAAGGTAACCAACCTGCCACCTGACTCAACAAGGCATAAGAAATAGTTTTTTCAAACTTGGCACAGCTGTTCTGTTTCCATTTGCACCAGCCAGCTTGATTTATCTCTAACATTTGGCTAATGAGACATCTTGCTGTGTTAGAACCCATTTGTGCACTCAGATTTCTTATCTCCCAAGTTGAAGCTAAAAAAGTGGCAACCAACATAGGAAAAGGAAAGAAAGCTAGTTAATGAAGAGGTATTTGGTTTAATTATATCAATAATAAGCAGATCGTCAGACCCAATATGAGATTAAACTGTGAACAAGAATCAACAAGCTGAAAAGGAAGAGACAAAATGCAAGCAATTCGCCCATACTCATTATTGTACATGTGTTCATAATAAACCTTAGAACTAGAAATCAATTCACCAGGCTTACAACATGACAATATGTTTTTCATGCTGTAACTTCTTCAAAACTTATAAACATGAACTGGTTTTCTAGGTAAATATGGCATCTAAAATTCCCTTGTCTGCTCGTCCTGGGTCAATATGGATTGTGTGGTAGTGAACAGTAAAGAATAAGCGGAAGTACTCATTTGAATATAAAGAGTCTACTTAGAAAATAAGCCTTCTTACGGTTTATCTTTGTCCGTCGATATCCAGATCGTGGCGGTCGCTTCTTATGTACAGCAGGAAATTGCAGGATTGCTGCAGGAAAGCAATACCAAACGAAAGCCAACCAGTTAGGTTAGACATACTCGCACCATTGACCAAAGACAGATTGTCATAAAGGAGCATGGTAATATGAAATATTATCTTACTGTATGTCCCATCTTGCCCACGAAACCACTGCCTAGAGAAAACAAAATCTCTGTTGGATTTCCACCTGCAAAACACAGATGAAAGTGGAATTAGCTTTGAAAAAGCTGTCAATTTTTTAGTACTACATAAGACTGATAGATTTCAGACGAAGATTATTCACAAGTAAAATTATTGAGTTTATGTTCCAACTAAAGGAGCCCAAACAGGGACCAATACAGCAAAATAACCACAGCAACAACATTATTAAGAGACAAATGGCAGTGGCAGCAAATCTTTGCTCAGAAAGTGATTCTGTGATTGATGACCAATATAAGATGGTAGAGACAGACAGTACTTGTATCTAGAACCAATCTCGCGACCCAGTTCCCTCTTGGTTGAATAAATCAAAGAACAGAAGAAAATCAATATTCAATACCCAAAACTGTAATCTACTTGCCGAAACTGTAGACTTAAGAAGAAAGTGTTTGATACCATGCCAGCCAAATTACCGTGTAAGATATTTTGGATCGTACGTGCCATAAAGAACATCATAGTGTCCATCATAGGTATCTAAAAGCTCCAAGTCCCCTGTCAATGAGTCCCATCTGTAAAGAATTATTAGACTTCTGAACCCTGTAACCAGAATCTTTAGAATGCAGATCAACAACTTACTCATATCTTTGTTGTTGATCAATGTTTAGGAATACATCAAAAACAGTATCAGCACTTGCATCAACAACCCCAACCGCTTTCACGAGAGTACCTTTATCACTCTAGTACGACAAAAGAAAAATTACATAAGGTGAATAACAAATCAAAATATATTTCACTCAATTTCTCAAGTGTTTTGTACAATCATCTTGTATTCTCAGAAAAAACAGGTACTCGTACTACAACACCAAACCTAGGAGCCTATATAATGCAATGACGTATACCTTGGGATTAGACACATCCTCAAAAATTCGAACGCCTGAAACAAAAGTGAAGATGAGTAATCAAACAATGCAGGTAATTATCTAGTCTTGATATGCTATGCTCTACTTAAGGAAGACTCCTGAACTATTTGGACCATTTAGATGCATAGAAAGCAGAGAAATACCATTTACTGTTCGAACACATCTCCACTGGTATACTTCAATAACATCTTCACTCTCAGCTTCAAAAAATCCATCTGACTTGACATTACCAACCAAATTTGAGGCCTGCCGCAACAATGTTTCCGGACCTTCAATAACAAATCACAATGTTTCTGGAACTTCAATGGTCTTGAGAAAGAAATTGAAATTTTAAGTAAATTAGGCTTTCTTACTTCTGTGGATGGTGGCACTATTCAAGCAAAACATTAGTTTCTCTCGTCATAAGTTGATCCAGACTATTTAACACCATATGAAACAAAGAAAAATTGTCCACTTTTGTAATATAAAGTGCTCAACCAATTTTAGAACTGAACACACAATTGCATACAAAACTAAAGTCTAGTGTCTTTAAGAAATGCAGAATTTCTCCACTTTTGGTAATATAAAGTGCTCAACCAATTTTAAAACTGAACACACAATTTCATACAAAACTAAAGTCTAGTGTCTTTAAGAAATCCATAATTTCCCCCATGAAATTTCAACTTTCAGGAAACACCATCAGCTTGGGGCTAGTCCCTTCTCCGCAAGCTCAATGTGGCTATTACAACCTTCAGATAAAGCTTTTAGTGCTTTAATTTCTCACTCTTTATATGTTACTCAACAGCAAGAAGACAAGAGCCATCAATCCTTACCTTGCCCTATCCTGATAAGCCTTTTTAATCCATGTGCATAACGCCTCATTTTGGGTCGATGACCTTCTAGATTGATTCTTGCACAACAAGAGAATTGACAAGTTTCAGAAAATAATAATTTGTTAAGTTCCTATAGTTATGAAAGAAGACAAATGTAACTCTTTGTTGCCTATATAAGATAGCAAATATGCATAACACATGTGCATTTGTGCTTGAGACTGTAATCATACTCGTTTTCAATACTTAGCCTGCTTCTTGAACTCCGACCAGTTGAAAGCTCAATTTCAGCCTGTCATTAAAACATTTGAAAAAGGATAAGCATGGCAATGTTGGGAGAATTTTTTTAACAGTATGCCAAATAATCTGCTTAAACAACAAGTGCTAAACATTCCAAGCAAAGAACTAGACACTCCATAATCAACAAGTGCCATGATAATGATTTCCTTTTGAAAAACAAGATATGAAAAATGAAAAGGCTGCACAAATATAGCTATCAAATGTTCCAAGAAGACCCTAGAGCAAAGTGAAGATGACAGCATTATTATTTATTAATATAGTCCGAGTAAAAATCCCCGTACCTGTTGCTTTGCATGATCAAACGCCTCCATCCATTTTCGAGCTTCTCCAGCTGTAGCACAAGCAATCTTTAATCAAAACAAGCAGTTAGTCATAAGCAGGTCTTAGAATACGAAACAGGAAAAACTCAAAAGAAAGTAAGCTACATCTATCAAGACCTACGGATTTGAGAACAGATAGGGTTTCTTTTATGAATGATTCGGGATTATTGTTGAGGTTGAGGTTCCAAAACTAAAGGAGTTGAGAATAAATGGGTGTAAACATTGTCACTCATTCTAACGAGCAGCCTAAAGCCTTCAACCACATTACAAAAATTCCAGCATTAACCTTTTTTTTCTTTTCAAACAGCATCCATTACTGATAACAACAACCACCAGTGCCTTATTGCTTGTGAGCAAGTAGCAAAAACAATAACAGGTCTACAACTTACTTCTCCTTTCTTTGTCTCATCCAGTCGGCTGTAGAAGCGTATGACATAAACATCCTACAAAAGTAATAGGGAAGAATTGAAGAAAAGCCACGGTCAAGACACCATTTGGTTCCAAGTAAACAAAATTGAAAGTACAAAGGACAACCTGCATTCGCCAAATCTAATACAGATATATTAAAGAGGCATACCCCTTGATTGACCTTCCGACGCCCTAGCTCCTCGACCATTAGGGTTGGCCCTACTACACCCCTTCGAATGGGCTTCTGCGCAAGCAAAAAGATTTAACATCGGATGTGCGCACCAACCTATCCCCACACCCAATGCTAAGACAAGTACTAAGGATTACTAGCCAAGTTTATATATTGTACAATGTACTCCACAAAGGTAATTGCGGAAATGAACTCCTGGTTGACAAAGCACTAAAAACAGCTGACATAAAATATGCACAAGCCACCACCATTTGACATATATCAAACAACCCACTTCATGTGATCAGAGCAAACTTTCAAATTGATAAAAGAGAGATCAAAGTCGTCAACAAACTCAATCATATCAAAGATGTTACTAATGTAATCATCAGTTCAGTACATTCTTTATAGAAATACACCACCTCTCATTTTCATTAAGTTTGGTTAATGCATAATACCATGTTAGAAACCAATATGCGCACTAACATTTTTAAGCTTATATTGTTGAAGTTGTCAACAAACTCAATCCTATCCAAGAAAAATTAGCTAGAGGAAAAGCTATCTCTTCTTCCCATTCCAACTTTGTTAATATGCAATGACAGGGTAAGCCAAATAAGCACTCTAACACGTTTAAGCTTGAACAGGTCATCCTGATTTGAACACTTATTGAAGGCCAAACAAACCCGAAGTGCTGCCCCCCATGCCCCCTAATGCCAATGGAATGTCCTCATAAAAAAGAACTTTGGGTACCAGCATTGCCTCCAGGTGCCATAGATCATTAGCTAATTTGAACCGATTAGAAAAAAGGCAGAAACTTTTTTCGTTCGATCCTCCAGTTTGGCATACTAGAACGATAAAAACAAATGCCCCACTTGTTCACAAAAGTCTAATCAAAACCCAGAATATTGCTTGGCCAGCAGACGGGGCCAAGCTTTAGAATAAACAAACAAATCGCAAGCACACAAAAAGAGGAAATCAAGAAAAGGAAGAAAAAACAAAAACAGGGGAAAGAAAGCTAGATAGATTAGATAACGTACAATGCCGGGATTCTCGTTAGGATCACGCTTGTACATCTCCACATACTTCCCTCTGATGAACAGGAATCGCAAATGGCAGTACTCGTGCCCAATCGAATTCGTCCCCAAATGATAAACCCAGCCGAAATACTCAAACGCTCCTCCTTTCTCCCTATCTTCACCCACTCGCCTCCCGCTGCTCCCGCTTCCGTTGCTATCAAACAGCTCCTTCTCCGATCCCACGCTCCCAACATTCCTCACCGTCACCTCCGTCTCCGTTATCCCAGCCGCCTCCATTTCCCTCCTTCCTCCTCGAAATTTCCCTCCTCCCTCCTCAAGAAATCGGTGCCGCCAATCTTGATTCCTCGCTTCCTCCGTTCAGAAGAGCGATCTTCCCGTATTCATAGCTAGGGTTTCGAAAATTCCCCTCGCGATCGAATTCCGCGTTCCCTCCCCTCCTTCTCGAACAACAATGGAGAGAGAGAGAGAGAGAGAGAATATGACAGAGTGGCGAAAGGGCGGCAATTATTGGTTGGAGTTGTGTTTCCCGCCTTTGATCGGCTCTCCCAATTTCGGCCTGGCTGGGCAGCTGGCTCTGGCTCCCTCTGCTTCCGACAAGTGGCGGTGGCGCGGTGGTGGCAGAAGATTTTGGGAGGGAAATGCTCGGCGGTCGATTTGGTTTTGTCTTATTGGACCCTTGACCAAGAAACAGAATGTCTAGTTGGACCGGGTGGATTTATTGGTAGCCGGTGGTTGGCCGGTTTCTTAAATGGATTAATTAAATAACTAACGCCTTAACCGTCGGGTTCTCTTGCCGACGTGGCTTTTTAAATGGGCGATGCGGACAAATTAGCTGCTAATTAAGCAGATTCTCTCAGGAATTGACCATCTTTTGTCATGGTCACTAAACTTTTTTGGATATAACAAAATGGTCATTAAACTATGCGCAGGTACAAAAGGGAAGGGATGGGCTTGAACGGGCTCAAAGCTAGAGCCAACCTTGCTATGGTCTGGGCTTGTTACGGGCCTTTTGCTTGACATGAATTAAGCTAAGTCCACGCTATTAAAAATGCGGGACCGGTACGGCTTATTGGTCCACGTGGCATTGGTTGTCCTCATCAATTAGGCTGCATGAACTTGCAAGAGGGTTGATGGTGGGTGGTTGGGCCCATCGACATGAAGTATTTTTTATTTGGTCGGTAAAATATTCTATAGTTTTTGCAATTATGCGGTTAGTTATATGGTTATTTTGTTATTCGGTGCGGTTTGCAATTAGTACACAGATTTAGGGGTGGACGTTCGGTCGGTTCGTTTTGAACCGAATCGAACCAGAACATGCCGAATTTTCGATGTCCCCAACACCCCAACCGAATTCGAACCGAGTTGTAATTCGGTTCGGTCTGTCCGAACCGAATTGTAACTCAGTTCGGTTCGGTTTTTTCTCCAAACCCGAAAAATGGAAGCTGTTTGCGTTTTGGCCACTTGACTCCTACGTTTTGTGGACACCTATTTGGAAAAAACGACAACTCTCTCGGCCTATCTTCTTATTTCTCCCCTTGACTCCTCAGATGCACTCTCTCTCTCTCTCTCTTTCTCTCTCTCTCTCTCTCCAACCAACAAACGATGTAGCGACGACGAGCACAAGGTAGAGATCGAAGCAGAGCACACCAGAGCTGCATGACGACGGGCGGTAGAGATCTCTCCTCCTTCTCCGGTCTCGAAGCGGCGTAGATCATTAAGAGTTCAAAAAGGAAGAAAGTAAATCGGCGGACCACGCCAGTCAGCAACGGCGATTGAAGACAACAATGGTGACAACTTCGGCAGATGATGAAGGTTCGTATGGCTTTATATCTAAGCATGCATGTCATTTTTTGGCATACTTTATCTCTTTCGAGGCTCGAGCTTCAAATCTTCAATAACATCGTTTTAGTCTCTGTTTCTATTTTCAATTTAGGACTTCAGGTGGAGAAGAGGGTGTTGCGGCGGGGAAGAGAAAGCGGCAAAGAAAGGTCAATCCCGGCGGACGGCGGTGAAATGTTGATGTTGTCGATCGTTCGAATTGCAAGGATGATGGATAGATGGTGTGTGGTGGCTGCCCCTGCCCGCTACGCTGCTTGTGAGAGATGAGAAGAGAGCTGCAGCTGCTGCCTCTCTCGTTCAATTCATTAGGTTAAGGGTTGAGTGTTTGGTTATTTGGGTTGGGGGGTGAGTTGAGTGTTTGGATTTTATTTGGGCTGGGGTGAGTTGAGCTTATTTGGGCTGGGGGTGAGTTGAGATTGAGCCCAATCCATACTTTACGGTTTTTCGGTTTGAAGTTCGGAACATCGGTTCGGTTGGAAGAACCCTGATTTCTGAATTAGGGTAATTTCTCTTCCGAATTCCGAACCGAACAACACAAGTTCGATTTTGGTTCGGTTCAACTTCGAGTTTACCGAACCGGATGTCCACCCCTACACAGACCGCAAAACGACCAATTCTGCTAGCTAACAGCGACCGCATAAGACACCCTTTACACGATTTGCTGTTAACCACTAACCACATTTAACTATTCAATGCGGTTTCGGTCTAACCGCAAAATCAAAACCGTTTTCCCAACCCTACCCGATCATGGTGACTCACATTACTTTGACACGATCAAGGGTCGTGGCAACTCGTTGAAGAAACAACATTGTGTTCGTCATCTTCCACGGCATTTGGTTTCTGGACATTTGCGACCAAATACACAATGCGCCATGATTAATGAGGCAGCAGCCAGTGTCCATCATTACGATGTATTATGAACTAACTAACTAATAATAATCTTTACGTATGATGCACCATTATACAATTAACTATGATCTGATTCAAAAATTAGTCTAACACATTTTCAGGGACTTGGGTGACAGCCTCCACACACATAATTACAGCTGTGATCGGATCGGGCGTGCTTTCACTGGCCTGGTCGATCGCCCAGCTCGGCTGGGTGGTCGGACCGGCCAGCCTGATCGCATTCTCGCTTATCACGCTGTTCACCTCGCTGCTACTGGCGGGCGCCTACCGCCACCCAGGAGCCCAGCGGAAGTACACTTACTTGGACGCGGTGCGGGCCCATCTTTCTCAATCGTTGGTTTTGTTTAAGTGCATGATGTATTTTTATTCCAACCAACAATGAGTTTAAAATCACTAAATTTTCTTATATTTCCATACTTAATTAATAAACGCGCACGTTAACAATTATGTTATATAACACATGTTACAACACTTGTGTTATATAACAAAGTTGTTGAACCGTCGCAAGTAAATAAAATAAATTATCTAAATATTATGAAACATTTAACATACATAAAACAAGGGGTGGAATTTTAATTAAGCTAGCTATATAGCGACAGACAAAATGAATCAATCATCGTCATCATCTTAATTAAGCTAGCTAGCTGGAATTAATTGATTCATTAAGTTCTTCTCGCGTACCTTTTGCATAAGCAAAGGGAATAATGAGTTGGATACTTGCCTGAATTTTGACGAGGACAGTGGAGTAGGCATAAGTAAAGGCAATGTCGCCAATTGCTATGAAGATTCCCCAAACCTTCTGGGCTTCTGTCGCCGTCGTCACCGCCGCCTTTGTTTCACCTCCTTCAATTAATTCAGTTCAATTACTAGTTCTTATGTACATAATCGATAACAACCTGCGGCAACTTTGGCAACGGAGAGTCCCAAACCAATGACGGAGTAGGTGACCGACATCACGGCGGCGAGGATGGACAGGCACGTCAGCTTATGGAAGTTCGTGACCTAGCATAGGGATGCACAAATAATGTACGTGCATGGTTAGTTAGCTAAGCTTACGCCATGCTGATGGACGCGGTGATGGTGTAGCTAATCGTGGCGCCCACCAGGTTCGAGTATTTGGCCAGCCCGCAGAGCTGGGCCTTGTGCCCGCCCAAATGGGCATGCACGCGCCTAGGTAAGTGTAGTTCCGCCGGCCCTCTGGGTGGCGCGGTAGCAGCGACGTGAACAGAGTGATGAGCGAGAATGCGATCAAGATGGCCGATCCGACTCCACCCCATTCGAGATGGGCGATCGACCAGGCCAGCGAAAGCACGCCCGACCCAATCACCGCTGTGATGATATGTGCAGAGGCCGTCAGCCACGTCCCCACAATGTGTTGAATCATCTGGAGTCAGTTCGTGATTGACGTTAGGCTAATTAATTACTCAATTGTAAGAGATAAAATCGTCATATAAGTCGTCCATACGTATCGGTTCGGGAGGGACGCCCGTCGTCGTCGATGCTGATTATGCTTGACATCTTCGCTGATAAAAATTTAACGATACTTTATATATAAGAACAAAATTTTCATTATTGTATACGTGCAATATTGATTTTTTTTGGATTTTATAACATTGTATATTGTAATCCCCTATTTTTGTTAATTGGGTTTTATAACATTCGTTTTAACTCAAAATTTTGAACTTTTTACATAGAAAAATGTTGTAATTAAGATATGTATAATGGTATTTGTTTTGCTAAATTTTGATCAAAGGAAAAAATTACTCTTCAAAACACATGTTGAATATAATATTATCACTGTCATATTTATCGTATATCATGACATGACAGTGATATGACGACCCATCTTCTTCATTTCAACTCAATTTTAAAAAAATTGTATGCATTAAGTAAGATCTACATAATGATATTAATTTTGTTATGTTTTATCACGACTTCATACCAATACCATATCACTGTCATATCATGATATTATATCATTATGACAAAAATATGATCCCTTCAAATTATTTCGACAAACATAATACATCATATCATATCAGTATCATACCTACATCATATATATATATATATATATATATATATATATATATATATATATATATGAGGAGTTCTACAGTACCCAGGGTGAAATCCGGGGTATCGCATACCTTGAGTAAGAAAACGCTATCCAGAACTTTGAATTGACTGATCTTTCGGACATGATACTATACTCTAACCCTTAAAGATCAAAATCTAGGTCTTAATTTTCTAAGTCTTATACCCCAAGATCAATTTAATTAGAAACAATAATCGACGGTTATGATTCATCCAAATATAGACAAAAAAATAAATGCACATCTTAGGGTTTATAGTTTATGATTTAGATAATTAGGACCTAGGGTTCACTCATTAAGGGTTAGGGTATAGTATCATTCCAAAAAATCCTGCTAATTTGATGTCTAGATAGCGTTTTCATACTCAAGGTATGCGGTACCCCGGATTTCACCCGGGTACCGTAGAAGGTAATATATATGTATATCAAAATTATACCACCATGGTTTGACAAACATAACGTCCTCCCAAGCCATTATATGTATATATCTTACAATTTGAGCTGAGGGACATATATACCCTTCCAGTTCCACTATGTGAATCACTGACCAATGGAGTCCACTCAAAAATGCGCGGGCCGGGGGACCGGTTTGGCAACACAGCACAATAATGGTCAGCCTGAGTCAACTAATTGACGCACGATCGGTCGTCGGCAGACTTGACCGGCCGGCCGGCCGGCCGCCTCATCAGTCAGTGTGGGTGCGAGACGACTTGACCGACCTGACCCATATCGTATATGCGGCTAATACAAAGCTCTATATATTTTGAGGCAATTAATTTATGGGAATTATTACAAATCTTCATATCATATATTAAAAATGAGGAGAGCAATAATAAGCAGGGTAGCAGATTCTCGACATTATTGCAGCAACTGGTGGTTACTAATTGCGTTGGCGGTGTTTATTGCGACGGCGGAGTGGAGGGGCAGCAACGGCTGTTTGGAGCACGAAAGACTTGCTCTCGTGGACATTCTGGCCTTCTTCCATGATCAAGAAGTTGGGCTTGATCCCAAAAACAGGGACGGTGACTGTTGTGGTTGGGAAGGAGTTAGATGTAGCAACACAACAACAGGGAACGTGATTGAGCTCGATATTTTTCGTTTTGTGACAACCACGACGTCGGGAGGGTACCTAAATGCATCTTTGTTTCTGCCTCTTCAAGGATTGAGACACCTTTCCTTGACGAGCGCGGGATTGGTTGGTTGCATGAAGGATGAAGGTATAACAAGATCCTCCCTCTCCGTTATAGCTTTGAACTTCTATTTGACGCCCTAAAGTTTTGAAATTTTCGTCCTAAACTTTATCCCCCCGACTTGTCCCTAATCCCCAAAAAATAATGACCTCTCGCTCTGCTGTTGCTGCCGCCGCCACCTCTGTTGTTGCCCATCTTTAGGACGAAGAAGAAAAGAAAGAATTCCCGAAGGAAGAAAATGAAGGAGTCTCGTCGCCACGCCTACCTATTAATATCGGATGATTTAAATTATCTGACAAATTAAAAGATGTTTATTTTTATTTTACAGGGTTCGAGAAGTTATCGGAACTTGTTTACCTGCAAGGGTTGGAGTTAAGCTACAACCGTCTGAGTAACGATGTACTGCCGTCTTTAAGCGGACTCTCGTCGTTGAACTATCTGTCTCTCCGTAACAATAGCCTCAAAGGGGTCATTGACATTAATGGTAAGAATACTGATTGATTATTGTAAGTAATTAATGAAATTAATCTTCATGATTAAAATATCAAGCATTCACTAATCCCTTCTCATCAATGGACTCCTGAGTCCTGACGTATAAAAAGTCGTTCGAAAAATTCTTACCTCTCTATCTATCTATCTATCTGTCTATCTATCTCTGAGATGCTAATAAGTTTTCTTATAATTGATTTGTGGCATCAGAAATAAATAAACTTAGTGCCTTGAGTGACCTGGATTTGGGAGGCAATGAAATTGAAGGATTTACATCCTTTCAAGGTGTGTATTATTTTAGAGTTAATTACCGTTATTCATCTCAATTACGTAAAGTCTCGTAATTAACTACTGTCTTTTCATCTCAATTACTATACCTTCGGTTTGACATACCAAGGTTGTGGAGGGTTTTCGCAAAAAGTTACGAAGATTTGTTGTTTTACTGTCTAATAAAATAGCATTTAAGTTCTCTGCCTTTTCCTTCACATACACTTTTGATGAATGTGTACATAAAAAAAATCAATTAATTAATGCTTACTATAAAATTAAATAAACAGCTAATACTCAAATGCATAATGAAACACTTATGAAAAGTGTAGGAAGTAATGGTAAATTATTGGTGGCCGCCCAAATATGTCATCAATTTGAGATTGGTTGAAAAGAAAATTTTCGGCTAACATGATGTTTTAGATTGCAATTATGTTTGCATTTATATACGTATCTATCTATGACTTATGTTATCTTATATTCATTTTTGACAGGGTCCGAGAAGTTGCCAAAACTTGTTAATCTAGAAGATCTGGATTTAAGAGAAAATGAGTTAAGTAACGATGTACTGCCATTTCTTAGCACACTTCCATCGCTGAAGTATGTGTATCTTGATAACAATAGGCTAAATGGAGTCATTGACATGGATGGTAAGGATATACTAATTCTAGCTAATCAATTTGTTTATTAAGTCTAGAAAATTTTCTTTCTTATCAATTAAATTTTCTAGATTATAATTATTATTATTTTCATTTGTTGCATCAGAATTAAATAAGCTTAGAGGCTTGAGGGTGCTGAGTTTAGGATGGAATGAAATAGAAGGATTCACATCCTTTCATGGTATGTATTAATTGTTACTAGAGTTAATTATGTTTTGTTAATCTCAGTCAATTACTATCTAGTAATTAATTTTTTTATGATACTATGTAGGTAATGAAGATTTGTTGAAACTGGCGCAGCTGGAAGAATTGGATATATCTTATAATAATTTTAGCAACATCAGCTTATTGATCTCTACATTCAAAGAGCTTTACTCTCTCAAATGTCTATCCGTGACATCCAAAAAAATTCTGGAAGGATTAATAGACATGAAAGGTTAGAAATATATACTTAACTCTTAATTACCCTCTGCCCAATAATAAGTTGATAATATTCTAAAAAATTTCACTCAATTAATTATTATGTATGGTTTTAATGTGTTGATCTTTGGCAATCATTTTTTGGGTACTGGTACAGAATTGCCTGCTCTCGCCGAACTACAAGAGCTTTATCTAAGTGGGAATCTTGTAGTGCAAAGTATGTATCAACTGCCAAAATTAAGAGAAAAAGTTATTTAACTAACGATTACTTCATATAGTTAAGGACTGATGGTTTTTCCTTGTATATTTTGGTTCCATGAATCAACTGATATACCAAAGACTTGGCTGTCTTGAGCGATTTAGAGTCGCTTTATCTATATCGGAGTAGTCGTTTTGAACTTCAAGGTATGTACATACTTCTTGATTTATCATAATTAAATTCACTTACACAAATGCATGATTGCTTGTTGAGTTGTTGTCGTGATTGTTTTTATAAGCTACTAATGGATCTGAGGGGCCGATCGAAAGGGAAGTTTGTCGTGGGAGTTCAAATATGAGATCTTTCATTTGAAAGTCTCATTAGATCAAACCCTCTTTCTCAGACACGGTAACATACTGATTACTATTAATGTGATACATATATAAAATTAGGACCGTCGAAGCTGAAGAAATTAAAAAGCTTATCGATATCTGACTCCATTATACAAGGCAATTTCTTCGAGAGTATTGGGACTTGGATGAACAATATTACACATGTGGATATTCGTCGTTCGTCTCTCGTCAATTCCACGATTTTACAAGGTACATAATTGAATTATTTTGTCAAACTATGTTGGGGACCATGACTTTCAGTTGTCATATGTTGTACCATTTGTTTTAAGCTTACACGTCATTATTTGTTTTATTAATTTTTTTACATATTTATCCCTAATTTTTAAACATAATTAACTAGGAGGGGCTAAGCTGGAGAGATTGAAAAGTTTGTATATAACGCAATCGAATCTGTATGAAAACTTCATTGAGACGGCTGGGATCCTAATGACAAATCTCAGATTTTTAACCATTTCAGATTCATCTCTCCGTTCTACCCTTAAAGGTATTATATTTAATTGGCAATTGTTTATGACATTTTTATAGTATTATTCATTCATCTATTTAACTTGTTTTGTCATCTCCCATCTAACCAAAGACCTCTTGCTATGCTTTTGCTAGGTTTGTGCAACTTAAAACGTCTAAAAGAAATAGACCTCTCAGCGAATGATTTGATCGGTGAGTTGCCACGGTGTTTATCAAACCTGACTTCACTTCGAAATTTGGATATCGCTGCCAATAAGTTATCAGGAGATATATCGCAATCTCCACTTACAACTATCTTTTCCTTTGAAGTCATTGATATTTCTCGAAATCTATTTCGGATCCCGCTCTCTCTATCCCCATTTTTCAACCATTCTCGTCTTAAAGAATTTTCGGGGGGTGACAATAGCGAGATCTACGGAGATAAACATAAAGATGATATGAAACAACAAGACACTCTCCTACTGGCCGCACCACGTTTCCAGTTGACAGACTTGTCACTGTCTTCTTGGTACAATGGAAACGTCGATGACAGATTTCCTAAATTTCTCTACTATCAACATGACTTGGAGTCAATTTCTATCCAAAATATCAAAATGAAGGAAGCTGGATTTTTGTGGTGGTTGTTGGCTAACAACACCAACTTAAGATGGCTTATTCTCTCCAACTGTTCACTTTTTGGGGCTTTCCACAATCAGCTATTTGGAATAGTACCTGAACAATTACCAAATTGTTCTAAATTAGAAATACTGGATGCTAGCAACAATCATCTTTCTGGTAAACTTCCAATATCTTTTCAGAATTTTCCTAGGCTCCAACTTTTAGATCTGTCAAATAATAATTTTTCTGGAAGTCTGCCATCGGGTTTCATTACTCCGCGGATGACAGAAGTTTATTTGTCGAGAAATCATCTGGGAGGAACTTTCACTGAAGGAGAGCATGAGATTTCTGGTGTTGATAATGACTACTCAAGTTATCACATATCAGTATTGGATCTGAGCCACAATCATCTCAGGGGTACAATCCCGATATGGATTTCTAAACTGCCTAGATTGTCCTATCTCTTACTGAACAACAACAAGTTGTATGGTGAAGTTCTTGTTCCTTTTTGCTTGGAGCAGTTCAAGTTGATTGCTATTTCTCACAATCATATTTCTGGTCACATTTCCTCTGCAATCAATGCCAATAGAAGCTGCGGTGTAAGAAGTGACGATGGATTTCTTTTAGAAGGTCTAGAATTTGTTACAAAGACTCAGTTGCACACATATGGTGGAACCCTTCTCACATTAATGGTTGGCTTAGATTTCTCCGACAACAATTTCACTGGTGAGATCCCTCCTAAACTCGGCGATCATATGAGTGACATAAGAGCTCTCAACTTGTCGTACAACAAGTTGACAGGACCGATTCCACCATCACTTTCAAGGATGTTTCAAATTGAGAGTTTGGATCTTTCTCGCAACAATTTAAGTGGTGTGATTCCTACTCAATTGACAGAGTTGACTTCTCTAGCATCTTTTAGTGTGGCATACAACAATTTGTCCGGCATGTGTCCTCAAAGGGTTGCACAGTTTGCTACATTCGACGAGACTAGCTATCATGGAAATCCTTTTCTCTGCTGCACCTTTCCGTCGCAGCTGTCTAAACCAATATTCAGTCTACCAACTTCTCGCGATCGAGATGATGATGATGATGGAGGAGGAGGCTTCATTGACATGGAAAGTTTCTACGCAAGCAGTGGAGTGGCTTTCATCATGGTGTTGTTAACCATCGCGAGTGTTCTTTGCATAAATCCATACTGGCGACAAACATGGTTTTATTACGTTGGGGTCGCCGCAACAAATTTCTACTATTTTCTGGTGGACCATCTGCCCGTGCCGGTCAAATACAAGGTCCTGAAGCTTTAGCTGTATTTGCTAATGATTTCCGCAAATGTCATGGGATGTCGTCGGAGGTTGTACTCTTCTTCCTTACCAAATATTTTGTAATATTGCATCAAAAAAATATTTTGTAATACATATGGTACTATTTTGTGACTTATATTATATATATGTAGTCTTCGGTGACATTGACTGAAAGTATATATGTAACTATAATAAATCTGTCACATATTTGAAAGTACAAATATAGTTAATTACCTTGATTGAAACTATCTAGTAGCCTGCGTAACTAAATCCGGCAAACTGGTCTCAACCCTTCCGATGGGCCGCCGGACGTTTTTCAAGTCCATACAAACGCCTCGTCGGGGATGCTCCTCTCCTGGCAACTCCGCCGGCATCCTATATATGCAAGTGCAGTCTTTGTTGGGAAGGATAGGGAAGCCAACAAAGAGATCGTCTGCCGGGCAACAGCCGGCAGGCATGATCTGGTATCGGGGTTGTACGTACAATGGGGAGCTCTGTTTGCCTCATAAACTAAAATCAGCGATCATAGAGTCGAATTGTAATGCGAACTTTCGGTATCGATTTTCCCATATATCATGGCCTCTGAAGTACATATTTTTTTTTCCTAATACGATCCTTACGGTTCAAAATTCATTAATTAGCTTTTGTTACATTGGGACCTATCTGAGTATTGACACATGACTCATGCACATAAAAAGTTCTCATAATTACAAAAAAAAATATTGTTTCATATTTTTAACCCTCTCCCCAACTAAAACATTCCACAAGGAGTTTCGCGCTACAATTTTCAATATAAAAACCAACAAATCGGTCTATCTTTTGTCGAAACTGGAAAAAAAAATTAAAATAACAAGAGTAACTTTATAACCACATGATTTTTTTTTTTTTACTGATTCAGAAATCAGCACCCAATTAGCCCGTTTAACAGAAGATTAACCGTCTTCTACGGTCACAACCAAAAAATATTTATATTGAAGGACTATGTTAGGATAAAAATAATACAAGATTCATGATAGAAAAACGTTCACATATTAGAGGCCAAATATAGTTGGATTGGAAATTTTGTCCGACATTAGTTAGTGGGTAGAGAATTCGGTTCAAAGTGGGGACTAACCCATTGGAGAACACATGATAAAAAATTGAATAAGTGATCAATCGAGTGACCGGCCGGGACCAATTTGGTTACACAACACAATCAGTCAACTAATTTGCGCACGATAGGTCGTCGGAAGACTTGACCGGCCGGCCGGCCGACTTCCTCAATGTGGATTGTGTATACGCAGATATTGATATCAAATTAATATTCCTACTTAACTTTGCACGACCCAAAAGAATGGGCCAGACGCCAGAGGCGACTTGGACCTATTTCCCTTTCCTTCCAGATCCACCGGCTTCATGTAGAGATACGCGTAGTGGTAATACCACTAGCATAGAATTTCGAGGTTGCAGATTCAAATTTTTTAAACAGTATCTTGATAAAAATTTTAAATATTTTCAAATATATTTATATCACATAAAATTAAAGGACACACCTATTTTGATTTTATGGTTTCGCCACCGTGTACAGACCCACATATATTATGCTTCAAACTTAAATTCTCTCAATAAGAAAATGCATCCAATCAAAGATCTAACTACTATGTTGAGAACTAGTTTGTCCCAAAGGGGCATAAGGTACACAAAAGTCAATTAGTGACACGACCTGCCGTAAATCATGATGATGGGATGGAAGTAGTTGTATTGATGCATAGTTTTCCATGTCCCAAATTATAAGTTGGGTTGGTAATTTCGTGCAAGCAAAATCAATGCTGCCGAGGACTCAATTTGGCCACATATATATAAAACGGAGTCAACTCCAAGTCTCCGGGCGTTCCTTGCCTTTCCTGACACTTTTTTCTATCGAACCGAACCACGATTGACGCTAGGGATGGCAATTTACCCACCCATGGGTAATTTTGCCCAAACCCAAGTAGACCCATTTATTATGGGTAGGGTTTGGGTGATGTGTGTATGGGTTTGGGGTTTGTATATGGGTTTGAGTTAGGTATGGATATTATCTAAATGGGTATGGGTTGGATATGGATATCCATTTACTTGAGGGTGTTTTAACTACACATGCAAAAATTGGACTTATTTGTAAAACTTGAAAAATTTAGGTACCAAAATGTAAGACCAAAAAAATTTAGGTACCAAAACGTAATTTTCCGTCGATATTTTGAGGACTTATATGAAAAAAAAATTAAATTTAGGTACTAAATATGCATATCTATTAAGTTTAGGTACCAAACTGTAATTTGTATTTGGGCATGGGTACAAACCCAAATCCATTTGTTATAAACCCAACCCAACCCAAAGTAAATGGGTATGGGTACAAACCCATCAAACTTTACCCATATCCATATATTTGGATTTCATACCCAACCCAATTGGGTTGGATAGTAAAATACCCATGGGTATAGGCAAAATTGCCATCCCTAATTGACGCCACCTGCTGGAAGTAGTTATATTGACTGCGCGCATAGACGACAAGGACCGATCGATCAATCAAATCTGAGTTCCAAGTACTGCACATAGATATCAACCACAGGGAAGACTTGAATGGATAATAATTTCGACTCGACCTTTTATATCCAACTTATTTGGCCTATTTTGAAGTGGATATGAGTACTCTCATTGATTTGAAAGTCATGACCCATTCCATTTTTGACTTGTTCCCCCAAATTACATGTAATTTTACTTAAATTATTGAGCATTTTACTTTTATTAACTCATATTTTAGTTATAATGAAGTTGCAAATAGGCAAGAACCTCAATTTCTCGAATAATTTAACTATATTTATCATATTATAGGTCGTTTCTTGTTTTTTATTGAAAAATGAATATTTCTAGTGGTTTTTCTTTTAAATTACATACCTTTATAGGTCGACTTGCCACAATCTGCATCCCGTGATAAATTATTCAACCTGTCATGGGATGCATTGACGGAGGAAAGGCAAGAGGAGAGGGGTCCGGGGGACCCCAGTTGGCAAAATTTTGGGAGAAAATCCATTAGATAAATAGATTTTGGTATGATTCTTCAAATATAGGACCCCATACTTAAATCGGTATTTGCTCTACCCAAGAACCCCAATCAACTGAAAGTTTATTAGACGCACGGACTTCAGTATTATTAATTTTTAAGGATCCCAATCGTTTCAAAATCTGGCTACGTCACTAACGAGAGACGCGTGTGTATATCAAGATACTCACCCCGACATGCACCCTAACCCTATACATATATATATATATATATATATGGAGCTTCGGGCTGGAACTGGATTTCCATCATACATACCTACCGAGTGATAATTAAGTTTTTTTCTGGAGAAAGTTATTGAGAGAGAAAGCTTCGAAGATGAGGAGAGCAAGCAGCTGGTTACTGACTGCGTTGGCGTTAGCGGCGGTGTTTATTGCGACGACGGAGTGGGAGGGCTGCGACGGTTGCTTGGAACACGAAAGGTTTGCTCTCTTGGAAATTCAGGCCTTCTTGGCCAACTTAGGGTTTCCTCGGCCACAAAGCGGCGGCGATTGCTGCGGTTGGAACGGAGTTACTTGCAACGACACAGCGGGGAGCGTGGTTGGAGTTCATCTTGGATACGCCTTGGAGCCGTTTCCCGACGAGGAATACGACGACGTTCGTAACTCCGGCGAAGAATATATGAATGCTTCTTTGTTCCTGCCATTTCAAGAACTGAGATACCTCTCATTGCCATATAACAGGTTGGCTGGTTGCATGGAGAACGAAGGTATAAATACTTGAATTGATTATTCTATCAGCATTATTATTCCAATTTCCAAGTATTCATCTTTTTTTTTTTTTAATTTGTCAAGATATATTATGTGATGGAAGAAAATATAATTTTTACTTTTTTTTTTCTAGGGTTCGAGAAGTTGTCGACGCTTGCTAATCTGGAAGATTTGGATCTGAGTTATAACAAATTTGGTATCGGGGTACTACCATCTTTGAGCAGACTTTCGTCTCTAAAGCGTTTGGATCTTAGTTATAATAAGCTTGAAGGAGTAGTTGACATTGATGGTAAGGATACTAATTATTATAATGAATTACTAAATTTAGATCTCTTTTAAATATTAATACAAATATATTCTTAACGAAACCACTTTCGATATTTGGCAATACAATGTATACGCACGCAGGTGACGATGATGAAGGTTTGTCGAGAATGGTGCAACTGGAAGAGCTTGATCTATCTTATAATAATTTTAGTAACGATATCTTGTCGTCTTTAAGCAAACTTTCGTCTCTACGGAATCTGAAACTTAGCGGTATTAGACTAAACGGAATTGTTGACGTCGATGGTAAGTAAGGATATCGATTCTACTTAATTAATTTGAGTTCTACCGGACGTATAGTTTCTCTTTCCCGAGAAAATTGTCAGTGATGTGTCTGGTACTCTGGTTCTCTATGAAATTGGTTGCATCAGAACTAAATAAACTTAGTGGCTTGAGGGAGCTGAAATTAAGATGGAACGAAATCGAAGGATTCGCATCCTTTCACGGTATGTTGTGCTTGTTTGGTTGATTTGTCGAGTTAGTTTGATTTGTAGAGTTAAGTACTCGCTAGCGTCAACTACTAAACATATTCTTAACGAAATTACCTACCTGCTTCGATTTGGCTGTCTTTAGGTGGAGAAGGTTTGTTGAGATTGTCGAACCTGGAATTGCTGGATCTATCTCGTAACAAGTTCAGTAATGCTAGTAATCTCTTGGCATTGAAGGAGCTTTCCTCTCTCGAGCAGCTGTTATTGGAATCTAATAAATTGGAAGGATTTATAGACATGAAAGGTTAGATATATATATATACTTTGTTTAATTAATTATTAATTACACTGCCTATTCTAATTTTTTTTTTATTTAACTGGTATAGAGTTTGCTGGTCTCACCAAACTACGACGGCTTGCGTTAAGTGGGAATCTTGTAGTGAAAGGTACGCATCTTGTTACTCTCTCAATTGAGAAAAAAAATGTATTAAGGGTTTATTTCATATAACTAATTATTAATAGTATAATAATTAATTAAGGACTCATTAATTGTCTTTTCTCCTTCTCTATATCGAAGACTTGGCCGCTTTGACCAGCTTAGAGTCGCTTCAACTAGGCAATTATGGATACGCTGACTTCCCGACTGTTTTCACCTACTCAATGAATAGTCGGTTTGCCCAGAAAGGGAACAGTCGTTTTGACCTTCAAGGTACGTACGTACTTCCAAGATTGTATTTATTAGTGAAGCATCCATCAACACCGATGGCTATTAATTACTCTACACATTATATTACATTAAACTTAGGACTTCCAAAGCTGGAGAAATTGAAAGAACTGTTGATATGGAACTCTATTATAGAAGTCAGCTTCTTTAGGAGTATTGGAGCTTTGATGACCAATCTTACGCATTTGACGATTGATCATAGTCCGTCTCTCGCCAATTCCACGATTCCACAAGGTACGTACGTAGTTGATTTGTATAAATAATTTGTTTATTAAAACTTAGTTTTGTACTCTCCCATTCTAACGAGCATTTGTTGCCATGTTTTTTGCTAGGTTTCTGCAACTTAAAACTTCTTCAAGAAATAGATCTCTCGAGAAATAATTTGGTCGGTAGATTGCCGCAATGCTTATCAAATTTGACATCACTTGAAATGTTGGATATCTCTGACAATCAGTTATCGGGAGATATATCTCAATCTCCTCTTACATCTATGTTCTCCCTTGAAAGCATTGACATTTCTCGAAACCTATTTCGTATCCCACTCTCCTTCGCACCATTTTCCAACCATTCTCATCTTCAAATATTTACCGGGAATCACAACCGAGAGATCTATGAAGATGAACACCGTGAATATATGAAACAAGGTTCCTTTCTACTACACCCACCACTTTTCCAACTCACATATCTGTCGTTTGGTTCTAGCCAACACAATGACAACATTGGTGGAATATTTCCTAAATTTTTATACTACCAACATGAGTTGGAAATGATTGATATCTCGAATATCAAATTGGAGGGAGCTGGATTTCCATCGTGGTTGTTAGTTAACAACACCAGCTTACGTGATCTCACCCTCATCAACTGTTCACTTTCGGGGTCTTTCCAATTTCCTATTTATCAGCATCCCGTTGAGGATCTTGACGGTCTAGATATCTCCAATAACAACCTGTATAGCCCCATCCCATCTCATATTTGTGCCTTAGAAAGCTTATCTTTGTCAGAGAATCGACTCCTTGGAAGAATACCTGAACATTTATCAAATTGTTCTATGTTATTTTCACTGGATGCTAGCAACAATCATCTTTCTGGTAAAATTCCAAGATGGATTTGGAAATTTCCTCATCTCCAAGTTTTAGATCTTTCAAGGAACAAATTTTCCGGAAGTCTACCATTAGGTTTCATCACTTCACAGATAAGAGAAGTTTATTTGTCAAGAAATCTACTGGGAGGGACTTTAACAAAGGGAGATGGTGCTCATAATGACTATTCAAGCTACCCACTGAATGTTTTGGATCTTAGCCACAATCAAATCAAGGGTACAATCCCGAGATGGATTTCCATACTTCCTAGATTGAACTATCTATTATTGAACAACAACGAGTTCTATGGTGAAATCCCTATACCTTTTACCTTGGAACAAGTGAAGCTGATTGTTATTTCTCACAATCATTTTTCTGGTCAGCTTTCCTCGGTGCTCACATCCAATATAAGCACGGTATCTTACAATGGATACATCACAAAAGATTTGGAATTGGTTACCAAGACAAATTTGTATACTTACAAAGGGAAGCCTCTCGATTCGTTGTCTGGCTTTGATTTCTCAAACAACAACTTCAGTGGTGAGATCCCTCCTCAAATCAGCTATAAGGATGACATGAAATTTCTCAACTTGTCGAACAACCAGCTGAAAGGATCAATTCCACCTTCGTTTTCAAGGCTGTTGCAAATTGAGAGTTTGGATCTCTCACACAACAATTTGAGTGGAACAATTCCTTCCGAACTCGCGGCTCTGACTTTTCTAGGATCTTTTAGTGTGGCATACAATAATCTATCTGGCAAGTGCCCGCAGGCTGCACAGTTTGCTACATTCAAGGATAGTAGCTATGAGGGGAATCCTTATCTCTGTTGCACCTTTCCGCTGCCGCCTTCTGGACCATTATTGACGCCACCAGCTTCTTACGATGGAGATGATGATTATGGAGGAAGCTTCATTGACATGGAAAGTTTCTACGCAAGCAGTGGAGTGTCCTTCGTTATGGTGCTGCTGATTATTGCGAGTGTTCTCTACATAAATCCATATTGGCGAGGAGTATGGTTTTACTTACGTCAGGATCACCATCACTAGTTGCTACTATTTTGTGGTGGATCATCTCCCGGTGCCGGTCAAGTACAAGGTGCTAGGAACTTCGGGTGTAGAAGTGGATGTTTCACAACTATTGGAGGATGCCCGTTGAAGTTGTACTCTTCTTCCTTATCGCGATATTTTTGTAATATGTAGTTTGTGTGCCTTATACAGTACTATCACATATGTACTACTTAGTGACCTTGAATGAAACTACAAATAAATGAGAGATATGAATGAAATTACAAGTATATAGTTTAATTATGGCTGCTTCAAATTGCCCACGTTTGAATGAAAACGTTCAACCATTGTTGCAATTTGACAAATTACGCATACATAACACATAGTTTACACCATCAATCGTAAATTAACAGAAGGTGATCAACCACAAATGGTTCAGTTTTAGCCGAAGCACAAAAAATTAGAACTCCTTGGCAGCCTGGACGGACTTTACTGATGAGCCTTGGGCCCCGGCCTAAACCCATGAAAAGTCATTAGAAACTTGTTCCAGTCCAATAGCAAAGCCCAAATGATTTTCACGACAGGCCTGATTAGAGTCGGTGACCTACAATTAGAATACCGAAATGGCCCCTTCCCACCAAACACCCAACGGCAGCAGTCCCGTAATCGTCCAACCGCATATTTCCCAGTCTCCAAATATGGAGTTCTTCTGAGTATAGTTCTAAAAAAAAAAAAAAAAAAATTCTTCTATTTTCTCTCCCAAAATTTTCATTTTCCCAGTGAAGAAGGAAAAAATTTCTCAGGAAGCTGTGATTTCGATCTCTTGGTTTTGCTTGCCTGCTTGCTTCGGAAGAAATGGCGACGGCGATACTCTCCCCTCGCGATTGCCTGCAAAGTCGGTTCCTCCGGGAAGCTTTCGCGCTGCGATCTTCACCTCGCGTGGCGAGGAATGATGCTTTCGCGAACCCTAACCCTAGGGCCGAATCTCGCAGGCGGAAGAGGAGTCCCATGGGGAGCCAGAGGGATAGGGCAGCGTCGCGATCGAAACAGTCGCTGGTGGCGAAGCTTCCCGGGAATAATCTCGTGATGGGACAGGTGAAGATATTGAAGCGCGGGGAGTTGCTCGACTCTGTTGAAAAGAGTGAGGATGAGAAGGAGGAGGGGAAGAAGTTGGTGGATTTGCGATTGGGATCGACGGATCGGTTCGGGCCGGAGCCGGAGACGGTTCGGAAGGAGGTTAGGGTGGAGGAGTTTAATAAAGCCGTGGATGTGATGTATGCAGGTTCGGCGTTTTTCACCTCGCCGCCTCCGAGTTCGCTACCTGTGCCGGCTTTTTTGGGGAAAGGTGGGGTTGGGGATGCTAATACTGATCTCCGGCGATTACTGGGGCTGAATCTGGTTTAATTTGGTGATCAATGAGAAGATCGAAGGATCAGAGATGATGATTTGGTAGATGGTGATGTTTTCTTGTTGTTGGTGTTTTCGTTGCTGCTGTAGTTGTTGTTGATTGCTTGGTGACTAGAAGCTTGTGATCACTCCTTTATTTTTTCAAGAGGAAGGCTGATCAGAGCTCAAGCAATTTGGTGGGAAGTGCCATATTGGAGGGAAGGTGGAAGTTGAAGCTGAGATTCTCCTCCATCAATGGTTGAAACAGGGGAATGGTTAGATGGGTAGTTTTGCTTCAGTAATTGTGAGGTTAATTAGGATAGTTCTGTTTTTGTAAATGTAGTCATTACAAGTAACTATCTGTAACCTTTTGCTCTCTGTAACCTCATTGTATCGAGGTTCTTGGGATTCTGGCTTCTGGGTTTTCTGCTTTCATTTCATCCATGTAGTCACCTCTCTCTTATACACCACTTATGAAATAAAAGTTCGTATCTTTCGGTAGTATATGAGGTATGTCTCCATTATTTCTTGAATACTCTTTGATTATGAAGACTGGAATTCCTGTTTATTCCCATTTCTGTTGTAGAAGTTAGAGAAATTGTGGGAATGTTATGCTGTTCTCCCTGGAGAGATGATTGTGTCGAAAAGGTTGTTCTTTTCTCTAAAACCTCAGCCATGGATAGGTTTCTGGTTGATGAGATTCATATGCAGACCATTGTTTCCAGCGTATAGCAGCTGTAAATGTTTCAGAACAAATGTCGCCATGATTTATGATGAGCTAAAGGTATACTAGTTGTTGAAGTAATCCTGATTTCTCTGGAATCGGGTAATTGTTCAGTACATACTGGGGTTATGATTTGCCCAACTATGTGTAACATGAAAACTCTGTAACACGCCATGAGAGTCACCTAAGGACAAACCAAAACAGGAAGAAGAAAAGAAGAAAAAAAAAAGAATTACGCGAAAATTTATTCCTACTACATTGTTACTTACTCTTCCCTACCAAAAGCAAAACAAAATAGAAGGGAACTCATACGACAAAAGGTCAACAAAGAGAGAAGAAACCGCAGTAGACTACTACTGTTGTAAAGAGCTGCTGATGCATCTTCTGATCTTCACCTCTGGATGATGAAAACATCGCTGCACAAGCCGGTCAATCCAGCTTAACTGACGAGAACAAGTAATGCACGAACCAGAACGACGACAGGAACCCGACTGTGCCAGTAGCCAACATGATTGCCAGAACCATCAGCAATGAGTAGCCCAGGTAAAGAGTTGCAGAAACTGGTCCACTCAAGCTCTTGAGGTCGAATATCAGGTAGTTTATGGAGTACAAGAAAATGTAGATAGCGACCGAGCCAGAAGCGAAGAAAGATTTCCACCACCACTTCCAGTCCTCCACGCACAGGTGCATGTAGGTCAAGACAATTGACACCTCGGCACAAACCACAACCAGAAGGATGAACACGATCAAGAGGAACCCGAACACGTAGTAGACTCGGCCCATCCAGATGCTCGACATGATGAAGAAGAGCTCGATGAAGAGGGTGCCGAAAGGTAGGGTTCCAGCACCGAGAACTAGGAGCCAAGACGGGTACTTTTGAGCTGGGATTTCTCTTGGGATCTGGTTGGTGCGAACTGGGTACTCGATGTGGGGTGCCCTTGCTCCGAAGTACCCACCAATCAGGGTTAGCGGAACAGAGATGCAGAACCAGAGAAGGATGAGGACGACGAAGAGAGAGAATGGGATTGCGCCGGTACTGTGACTACCCCACAGAAGGAAGTTGAGAGTCGTTAGGATCACAAATGCGATCCCTGGGAAAAAGCAGGCAACTTTCCAGGAAACTGAAGCCCATCCTTTACCATCACCACATCCCATTGTTCTCCACAGTCGAACAGCTGCATATCCTGCTGCAATACCAAGGATCATGAAGAAGACTAGCATACCGGTTAAGAGGGTACCACGAGAAGCTGGTGACATGAACCCTAGAGCAGCAAACAAGACAGTGACAACAGCCATTCCCAGGATCTGAACTCCATTCCCCACCATAACACATAGAAGTGCCGAGTTTGTCGGGGCACGGAAAACATCACCCACCACCAGTTTCCACCCGGACAGCTCCTCGTTCATCTGAGCTTGAGCTTCCTTGTCGAGCTCCTCATAACGGGTGAGATCACGCCTCACAGTTCTCAAGAAGATTACAAGGACAATACCGGCCAGGAATGTGATCACCATCATAGAATTCATGATTGAGAACCAATGGACCTTCGAACCTTCCATTTTGAGATAAGCATCCCATCTTGAAGGCCATTTGATATCACTCTCCTGGAATGTAACCTCATAGGTGAAAACAATCGGCTCATTCTCCTTGATCGGGAGGGCTACGGTTGTAGGATCGCACTTGATCGGAGACTTGTATTTACCATACATCTGCACATCCTTCAAAGACTTGGCATTGTGGACAAAGTTACATGGAACAACCTCAAACCCTACAACCATGTAACCCGGGGTCTCTGATCCCGGAGTTCCACCAGTGGGAATCATCTCAGCTGCATCTCCAGTTCCCATCACACGAGCCATGTTGGCTTCCTCATACTTGTGAACAAGAACAGTGAACTTCAAATGGTTGAAGAGGTAATAAGCATCCTGAACTTTGATCCCAACAGGGTAACCAGTCCACCTCACCATAAACGATTCCTTCTTAGTATACCTAATTGCAGGCAAATTATCAAGGATCAAATTCACCTGGTACATCTCGTCGATCCTCTCCTTCATAAGCTTGAACTCGTCGGCGGACAAGGGCTTCGTCTGACAGAGGAAGATCTCGGTCTCGTTGGTGAACATCTTGAACTTGTATGGCGAGTTCTCGATTCTATCTCCCATCAGAATCTCCCCCAGATTCTCAGCGCTATCCTTGACGCCCTCCGTAGGTCTGCAGAAGGGCAAGCTGTAGTAGCTGAACGGCATCTCTGTTTCAATTGAAGTGATGGAGTTCACTTTGACCGACAGAGAATCGCCGACGCCGTACTTGTGAGGGTAGCTTCCGGGGAGATAGAACCCATCTCCCAATTGGAGAATCAGCAAAAGGGCAAAACCCCAGATCTTTAAACGAGCGAAAGAATCCATCTTTTTCCCGATTTCAATGCGATGCGCGTCAGATCTGGGAGACCCAGATCGTGAAACGACTGGAAAAAATCAAAACAGGGGGTAAGAAAAGAAAGCGGTAGTCGGAGCTCTAAGCGAGAGATCCAAGGTAGCCATCAACAGAAATGAATGGTTCAATGCGCGCAATTAGAAGCAGGGGAGGGATGGGAACAATGGAGATCAGGAAGATTAGAGAGTTACCCGGATGAAAGAGTTACAGTTGTGAGGAAGGTGACTGAACAAGAAGAAAAGGAGAAGCTCCCTGTTTCAAGATTTCAGAAGAACCAATGTGGAGAGGGAGGTTCCTCGAGACTGAAGAGAAATGGAGGAAAAAGCAGGGAAACCGTTTTTTATAAAGCCCGTTCTTCCTTTCTTCCCTTCTCTGCGAGAAAGGAGAGTGCCGACGGATCTCTCTCTCTCTCTCTCTCTCTCTCTCTCTCTCTATACAAGGATTTACCAGATTACCCATTCCAATTTAACTCTACGAAGAAAACAAGAATTCCAATTCACTCCAAAAGAACCTAATCTGACTATTGGTTCAATCGAGACCAAACTAATATGAGATTATGATGATTTGTCGATTGTCACAGTGAGTAATATAATGTGATCGTGTTAAATCATTATATATTTTGTCTCTTTAATTTTATAAATATACTTTTATCGCGTCGTTAGAAGTGAATCATAATTAAAAGAATAATTTACGTGTCTGAATATCATTAAATGAAAAGATTAATAAAGAGTTTTGAAAGAATATGGATTTTATATTCATAATCGAGGTACATATGGTGACACGGTAGACATTGTCTAACCTTTATAAACTGTTAAATATAATGAAGACAAAATAACACATGACATAAACAAACAATAGCTTTCTTGATGAAGCGAGTAAACATAAATTTGAGTGTCAAAATATAAAAGTTATAATTACAGTGTATTTTTCTATTCCAAGTTTCTTGTTCATGTGTATTTCAGAATCCAAATCATTAAGAATTCTAAACAAACCATTTTACTATAGATCTAAGGTAGACATTGATGACCAATCTTTCAAACTAATTGATTTCTCTTTGTCCAATCATATTTTCCTTAACATGTTTTCATGGTGGGAGAGAAAAAGACAAGTCAAGATAGATAAGGAAAGAAGCAAATTTTGTGTATTGAAATACCACCTAATAAGGACACAAACAATGTGATTCACTTGTAGTATTGTTTTTTAGTGAGAGAATAAGTTACCAATTGATCTCTAGTTCTCTACCCTTGTAGCGGGAGGATTTGTGAAACAATATTTATGCTATTTTGCAACACTCACTAGGTCTTGTTTTGTCAATTTGCTGGAGGATCATTGATAAAGACAAGAGGATAAGAATAATTGTGTTGTGAAGGAAATTAAATGAATGCTAAGTGGGTAATCTCAATTTAGAAACTTGTTCTTAGAGTAGTTTGTAATTGGTCAATTTGTTTAGCTTTTGGGACCGTCTCAAAATCTAATTCATCACTCAATATGTTTCAAGGTTTTTACAAAAACGTTACGATGTTTCATTGTGCGTCAATAACTATTGCGAAAGCAGTGACATGCTTTATATTGCATCAAAATTGGTCACGTGCTTTAGAAAAAAAGTGACGATCTTTCTTAAACCACTCATGATTATTTAACTTTTGACATCTTAGCATTAAAAATATCGTAACGTTGTAAGTTTTGTCTCACGAATGAACCTAGTAGCCTACTTCGAATATAGACATGGTGAAACTCTCTTGAATATTAGATCTTATATCAGTGTATAAGATTAGATCTTACATATTTTACAACTTCATTTGCTAACACACATTAATGATTAATTACTGAAGGAAACGGTTTCCCAACGTACCTTAACCGGAGGAATATCAGATCATGCCTCCTCCCCATAAGAAAATATTGATATAATATACTAAAGAAACTGCATTTCTAAGTTATGAAAATTACACTTTACAAACCCAGATGAAGAGATGTCACCAATTAAGGCCCCATAAACTAATGCTCTGCACATATTTACATACATTATATTCTTGTGATTGATCAGTTAACAAGCCATCCAGGTTTAACATATGACTTGTCACCCCTTCCCAGTAACATGAAGCAAGCTGGAAGAGTGGACAGATCTCATCTTACCCTTTTGCAGTTCCTAGAAGTCATGCAAAAACAGAAAACATACAATTACCCACGATTCGATTCGAGTTATTGAGTTAAATTGGTTTTACGGCAGAATAATTTACTATAAGCTATCATTTTTCTAACCTTCGGCACCCAATCCTCGAGCTCTCGGGCGCCTAACTGCAACCAAAGGGTTAACCATGCCCTGAGAATCTCTCCCCAAGCCACTTCCTTCGACAAACCCCATTCTAGCCATCATCTTCGATCCAAACCCTTTGGTATGCTTCTCAAAGTCTCCAAGACTCTGTGGCTTAGGACGATGCTTCTCATGTGTTGCTGGACGTCGGGCTCTACTTGGACGTTCGGGTTTGCTGGTGGGGTTGATGTCGGTGTCGGAGAATTGGACGCCGAGTCCTAGAGATTTCGGTCTTTGAATCACTTCAATTGGTGCAGCCATACCTTGACGATCTTTCCCCAGGCCTTCTCCTTCTATGTACCCCATTTTCGCAAGCATCTTCGATCCAAACCCTTTGGTGTGCACCTCAAAAGCACCGACCTTTGCTGAGCTGGTGACCGCCACAACCTTCTCATCCATGGATGTTGTGTTCTTTGAGGCGTTCTCCTCCTCGGTTTGTATTACTCCGCTTGAAATGAATGACACGGGTTGACTGGCATAAGCCACGTTCGTACCAGCCTTCTTAGTTGACTTTCTGGATGATTTGGTTCGGCTTCCCTGAAGATCAGGAGTGGTTTTGTTCTTGGTTATTCTCCTATCTGCACCAGCTGCGGACTTCCCTTCAATGATGGCAAAATCTTCATCTTCATTGCCAGCACCTATCAGCTGAAATGTCGAAACAAGACTAATCAAGATACATAGACTTTTTATATGTTCTCCGCACTTGGCAGCAGTTCAACTGATGGAAAACCAAATTGCTGCAGCATTAGGGCAATAGCTATCATAACTAAAGACCCAAAGATATCATACAGAAATTGGACGATAGCATCAGATGATGTATAGACCTTCTCAAGGTGGACTCGATCATTCGCCAATGGCATGGATGTATACTGAGTTCGCATGACTGTGACAAAACTGGAATACATAACAAGCTGAGTTTAGCATCCAGATCAAGAGCCACGTTAAACTGTGGTTTCATGCAATGACATATCCAACTGAACACAGTACCTTTTCTTGCCAGAACCCTGGGAACCACTACGAAGGCGGTAAATTGATGCTAACCGTTTTACCTGTCACCATATGAATGTAATCATATTGTTAGATCCTAAAGGGGAAATCACAAGATTAAGGTTGAGTTATCAGCGGAATGATAAAAAAAAGTACATAAATCAAACCACTCATTGGTGAAAATCCTCGTGGGATGTACAAGCAGCCCCAATACTAACAGGGTAATGAATTTGCTAAGCCAGATGAGAAACAAAGATTACAGGCTGCACAGCAAAAAATGAAGAACTATACCTGTGAACAATCCTTCGAATGCATAGGCGGGAAGGAAAATATATCCACTTGATTCAACACTATCTGCTCCAATTTCTACAAAAAGAACAAAACTTGTATATTCCTTCCCAAGTGCGAAAATTCTCAAATGACTAGTCAGGAAGTGAAATGAAAAAGCTTTTCCGATAGAGGAGTCCACCTAACAGCAATAAAATTAATACCGTATTGATTTGTTCCAAGTCGACCCCTCGGTTCAGCATTCTGTCACGGCGTTTCACAGCAATCATTTCTTTACGATGTTTCTTCTTTTCACCTGAATGATAGGATCGCAAAAAAAAATTCTCAAGGGAATAGTTTCAGGAGCTGCATCCATAAACTGAAAATAGAATCATCCCAAATTCTTTCTTTTAGACTCATGTTGGCTCTTGTTCAACAGAAACATTTGGAAACTCAGATTCACTACTTTAAGAAACGATGCTGTTACCTGGGTAGTTTCTGAAGCGTTTACTCTTCTGAGTAGCTGGCCAGGACTGAGGCAGTGGTGTAACATGCTTCTTAACAGACCGAATCCTGGGATCTTTCACAAACATGATGTCATCCAAGCCGGACGACCATGAGCCTCTACCACTAGTAGGAATCTTTTTCCTCGACTGTGGTGTCATCTTACCATATCCCATTGAAGCTTCTTGAAGGGCAATCCCACCCAACTTTTCCACAATAGCATCAAATCCTCCACTAGAAGAAGAGCTATCATCTTCTTCTGAATCATCCAAATCATTTTCCACCAACCATTTCGTATCCACAACACTGCGGCTGCCACCAATTCCTTCCAAGTAATCCTGTGCCACCTCATCATCAATATCCAGGTCACTGTCTGAGCTGTTCTCCTCGGAATCATCACTTCCAGACAATTCTGATTGCTCTTGTTCAGATTCAGAGCTTTCATCATCACATGACTGGAAAGCATCCACTTCTTCATCACCTTCCTCATCGGAGATATCCTGGGTGTACAATCTCATTCCTGCAACTGACAAAAATGCTGGATTTTCCCCCTTAGAGTGTGATTCAACGGGATCTTCGGTATCTGTGTTAGCATTCATTTCTATGTCGGAGGGTGATGAATCAAAAGGTGATCCTTCTTGTTCTTTGCCTACAGTTTCCTTCGATGATGACCCGACACCACCGGGAGTTTCTTCTGACTCATCATGGAACCCAAGACCTCTATGCAAACCATCAGTGAAACTAAAACTGGAACCATAATCATATGAGACATTCTCAGTCTGGGGCTCTGAAGAAGGTGTTTCATCTAAATAAGCAACAATCTGGGTCTTGTTGGAGTTAAACAACACAATAGGATGTGTTGCATCGAAGGTATTGCCCGTATTATGTCCCTCCTGGAAGAAGAAAAAAAAAACCACGAATGAGCAAAAACAACTACGATATTTAGGACCATGTTCATTTTCTCGGACACAATTCTACCACGTTGCTTTCAACAGAGAAAAAGCTAAAAGAGACAAGCATGCTTCACTTATTCATTTAACCCCAAACTGCAAGCAGAAATGTTCATCAAACTCCACTCAACTAAACTGATTACTCAATGCTTTGTAGCAAACATTATCCATTCTCAGAATAGGAGACTTGCTTTTTCTCCTATAAGAATCAGACACTGAGTTCATCAGGTGGGCACAACAAGTATTGAACTTGTGAAAGCGAAGCACAAGCTATCACTTAATACAGGGTCAACCTAGCAAGATGATTTCTCGTGCCTAGCATAATCGATTGCGCATCCTCCCTCCGCATATGCAAGTGCAATCAACGAAATTTGTGGGCCATCAGATGGATACCTGTTGCTCAACGGTTGGATAGCTAAAACCAAAAGCATTTCCCGGTGACTGAGGGATTCCACTGTTAGAGATTGAGGGTTCCTTGTTTCGCTTGTGATTCCTAGTTCTGGAACCAGACCTCGAATTCGATCCAGGGGTCCTTTCTGCGATATAAAACCGATGGTAATCCCAAATTAACTCAAAATTAAAGACCCGCGCATAAGCTCCACCACAATGTTTCATCATGATGAAAAAAGCAAACCCAACAAAATGGGCACAACAACATCATCCAGCTCGATTGATCCAATACCCAACTATCCCAGGCCATAAACCGAGAAGGCGAAAACAGAGGGAAATGGAGGGAAAAAGGAAGGACCTTGCCAATCATCTAAGGCGCCACCATCAACGAAGAGGGAGTTCCCGGTCCGAGAAGACGAATTGGATCTCCTCCCACTGCTACCACCACCACTCTTGTTGTTCCTCGGATCGCTCCTGCCGCCGTTGCTCGGTCTTCGCCGACCCCTTCCACCCATATTCCAAGCTCTCTGCAACTTTTTTCCCGACAAGCCGCTCCGGCTGATTTCCTCGTTCTCCGATTGTGCCTTTCCGGGTTCGTTGTTTTGTGAGAGACCCGAAAACTGGTGGATATTCGATGATTTGTGCGCGATTCCCACTCTCTGGTTTTCCCTTTCCCCGGGTTACCCTGCACTTCGGGTTCGGATCTTCATGGACGGCTTATAGCCGTCGGATGTCACGAGCCAGAGGGAGATCGTAGGGGCAGTATGCTGAGAGACGGGAGCACTCGAACTACACACGTTTGCGGGCCGATCGACCGACACGTAACCGAAGAATGAAAGTGGGCCTTTGGGCCCAAGGCCCATGGCGAATCAATATATCGTCCCATGACAAGATATCGCCATAATATCACGCAATAACCCAATTTTTTCATCAACCCCAACTCCTTAATTCACTTTCTCGTCAGTTTATCGTGTTTCGAATTTGGTTTGAGAATCCGAAATGTTTCATCATTTATTTATCATCTTCATATTTTTTCGAAGAGATTTTGCTTGTTTCTAATAATGTCGAACCGCTTATCTATTCATCAACTGAACTAAACATTCTCGTTCGACTTTAAACGTAATGTACGGGGTTTAAAAAGAGCTTCTCAAATTTCCGTTTGAAGCAATTAGAAAACAAGAAAAGGAGCCATGGGTATGATCCAAATTCCAACCGTTACATGCAAACCATCGAAAAACAACCCTAATCCTAGTCCAAACAAACTCAAAAACGGGAAAATCAATGTCTCTATTTTTACTAGCCAAAATGAATCAATGCTCTGCTTTTTTCTTCTTCTTTTTTACTGTTTCGCTTTCTTGTTTTACCCGCTTGTTCTGTAGCTGTTGGTAATTGCTTTATTCCAAGTTCTGGTCTCTTGCGGATTTACCGATCAAAGAGTTAATTGGTGCATACAAATACAGCCAGCAATTCGACAACTTCTTGGGGTAACCGTCGACACTCTACCAAGGAAGCCGGCCATGGTGAAAAATGGATATCCTTCCTCGTACTCTTTTCTTAATTTGGGAGGTCATACAAGGTTGCCATTTCTAATTTCTTTCAACGCACAAGACAAGCTTTTCACATATTGGATCTGAGTTTACTACATTTCCATCCGGTCTTTTTGTCTCACTTTTAAACATAGTTAGATGAAAGTCGTGAATTTGGGGCTGACCTAGGTTTGGGGAAGAGCGAGCAGACACATCTCCACCGAACATTTTGGTGAAAAATTTCATGTTTCGTCGCTATAAAATTTGAAATTGTTATCTCCGGCACACCTTACACGATTACACCTAAAAAAATTTGTAATTTACACATAAGTTGTAACTGCAAGATGTGATTTTTTTTACTATTAAATTAATCAAGATCGAGTTTCGGAATCGGATTAGGATAACTCGGTACTCTTTTGACCAACCATTTACCCATTTACGTGATCACTCGTGACGACCGATGATAAACTTGTCATTGTTGTCTACTATGGATATCCTGATAATAAGCTCCAATTTGTCGGAGGACTCGAAACTTAAGCCGAGTAGGCAATATGCATGCTTGTAAAGTTGGAGAATATACACCCTTATTAAAAAATGTGGTTGTTTAACCACACACAAATATGCATGCTCTTTTTCATTCGTTTGGTGGTAACAAATCATGAAGTAATATATAACATTTTAGTTAATTTGCACCAAACATACTTTGCATTTCATGCATATATGTTTTTCTTCGACCGATAGTTAAGTTCATGAATTTCATGCGTTCTTTGACTGATCGAGTTAAGTGAGAAGGGGATATCTCGTGTAAGTGCTTAACTAATATAAACAAGCAATACTGAAAGGTATTAATTAATATGGAGGGAGTAGCCAAACCAGTGAAGGACTTAGCAAATTTATTAACAATGAAATTAAATAAAAATTAGGTCACGTTGTGTACGATTTCAACATTTATTACCGTGATTCTCGAAGACTTTTCATATTCTGAGAAATTATAAAATGCATTCATATTAATTTTTGATGAATGTTCGTAGATGAAAATATTTTATTTTACGCAAATAGCAGTTGCAAAGAAGTAGATTCAATACTATGTCATTGTAGAAGCAAGTAAAAGTATCATTTCTTGTCTGTCTCCCACACATTTGTCTAGCTAGCTCATCAATTCTTCGTAATTCTTTGAAGATTTCATCACGCTTTGCATGAGAAATGTAACCTCTCGGCTATCAATCAAGACGCATGAGCACAAACGAACGGGAAAACTCATCGGAATATATACAACTCAACAACGATTTAGTTGGAGTTTTTTTGAAATTAAACTAAAATAAAACTACTCATATATACACTCTCCGTAGTGGGGTTTCCACAAAAATTCGCCTATATCTCGATGAAAATATAAACAAGCGAAATCTCAAGGCAAGTCGAGATGTGTTCTCATCAAATTCTAATTAATACCGATGAAATCGAGGATATTCGGTCCGAAATAAGACGTGCAAGTCGACACATCTTAATTGGTTAAGTTTCAACTCAAAAGAATTTCAAAAATTCGAATTCTAAAGGTGTCATTTTGAATAATCTAACACTTTATCGCACTTCATCGAACTTATAAAACAAAATAAAGTGCATATATATAATATTCATTTATTCCCCAGAAATTCATTCCAATGTCGAGCACATATCATTTTCCCCCCTTGTTTGTGTTGTGGAGGGGAGTTGTATGCTAATAAGGCTAAAAAAAATTTCAGGTCATGACAAACACATAATTTAGCTCCCTTTTTGGCCTCTTCCAAACATTTTGACAGTCGTCGTTGAGTTCTTGGCCAGCTTCCATCAGTCTCTGCGCCATTTTTACAGGACATCTAGCACAAAAGGACACGACCAGCATATCTAGGTTAGCCATATATATATATATATATATATACCTGAACTTCCACGAAAGAGTTTTTTAAGGATTCTCGTTGGAATCGCCGTGGCAAAAAACGACGACCAACCAACTAAACGGCAACCACACGAACTGTGGAAAACGAGACACGTATAGGGCGTGAGTTACTGTAGTTGTTGTTATGAGTTTGCTTAGTGGTTGGGATTAGTTTACTTGTTGTTTTCTTAATTATGTGGGGGCAATCAAAGCAAACTATCCCATGCAAGACACGAGAAGATCGAGACTTCGAGAGAGAGAACGCCCTAAACTGTTCCTGTCCAACCTATCAAATCAACCTGTCGTAAAAACAAACGATAAATTTTAGGATCATGAGCACTCGTTAAATTGACAAGAGCAGTCGAAACGAGCACACAATTCTGATGGTGGCCACTCTCAGGTGGATATAGCGCAAGGGAACGGTGGATGTCGAGACTCGAATATCGAACCTCGTCCGGATATATATAAACTCGCGCTTTTGAATTTATATACCATCTTTGACCAAGTACCCCTGGCGGGTTTTCGTGATGAATTCTTGTGGGTGATTTCGAGCTGGATTGGAGTTAAAACGAGGGTCTCACGCCTTGTTGATAGATTTTTCGACTAATCGTCTTATCAGTCTAAAACCAACGTTTTAATAGAGCTCATTTTGCAAATTTGCAACTATAACAACCTCCATATATGATGAATCATAAGATTGAAAAATGTAATGAATGTTATTCTCCCAAATTACCAATAACTCTTAATGGTTTTTTTATAGTAGTACTTTTTCCTTGACAAACCTCATTATTTTATTTCTCGAACTAATTAATCGATTCTTTCTTTCACTCTCCTTCCTGCCTCTATAAAATGGGGGATTCCTTCGCTGTCCCAAAACAAATAGACACCACCAATAATCTCTCTCTCTCTCTCTCTTGCCAACATGGCAGCCGACGGCTTCCTGTTCCGAAACGTCGTCGCTTGCCTGTCCTCGGCGGACTCCGACAAAGACCGGAGGCCGTACCACCGCAACTGCGGCTGCGCGCTCCACGCGAAATCTCCGAACAGATTCAGCGACGGCGCCGCCACGACGGGCGTCGCCGGCAGCTACTGCCGAGCAAACACCGTCTCCTACAGGATGAAGAGCGGCAACTGTTACAAAGGCAGCAGCTTGACGCTGTCGTCGTCCTCCTTCTCGGCGACGTCATCATCGTCTCCGTGTGCCGGCGTAATGGATTCACAGTAGCCGCCGGCGACGATGGAGACATGTACATCGGAATTGAATGATATATTAAAGGGATGTGCCGTTTTGTAGGGGATAATATGGGAATCTCATTGTGCCGCATCCAATGTATATTATGTGAGATGAAAATAACGTCACAATTTACTACATATAAAAAGAAAGTTTTTGACTTTAATTTTGAGTACATTGTTGTCATTTTTGCAGCACCTTGATACGATCGGGGTTGCTCTGCTGCCAAAACGAAATAACAGCCGATTGCCCCTCATTTTCTCCAGATCTTTGCTTTGGAAGTTTGGCAGCAGTTGAGTCACCTTTCGGTTTGAACAATAAGAATAAAGAATCGGAGATGTGTTATACTACGATCATCCATGGCAACAAACACGATGGAAAAGGACAGCAAAAATTGGAAGAAGAAAAATACTTCATCATACCAGACATCGTAGATGCCGTACCCTAAAGAATCTTCACATATGTCCTCCTCTGTTTCTTCTTCATGATTATATTCTTCCGGCACCGGAATCGGAGTCGGCCAAAAAGGAATCCAAGGCTGAAACACAGCCCAGCCGATTGGGTCGCCTACTCCGAACATGCCCCAACTTTTGAACCTCAGATGGCTCGCATTACTCTCAGCAATTGGTATAATCTCTCCCACCACCTCTTGCTTAAGCACGTCGAAGGGGACAACATAGATGGGATCATAGGCTTGATCATCAGGTAGTTTCGGGCCGTCAACGCCATTATCATCATCATCTCTGAAATGATGATTGAAGTCGAAGAAGAATGGGTCATGTCTATGCTTTTTAGTATAATCACGACACTCGAAATAGATCACCTCTGGCCTGCTTGGGTGAACGCCCAGTACCCCCAACCGCGTCGTTCCCGTCCTCCTCCTTCCTCCTTCTATCTTGTTTATCTTATGTCGTCGGACGATAAGGTTGTAGAGTACTCGCATGGGCACCTTATAATCCAAGCTCCATTTAAACCGGCCAGCCTGAAACTCTTCCATCTTCCAAAGACTAAAGGATCCTTCTTTACTGTTGGTTGATGGACCTGGGCGTGGAAACACCATCCCACGCAAAAAGCCCTGCGAAACCCCAACCAAGAAATTGTTGTCAACAGTGTCATTCAACCACAAACTAGAAGAATCGATCAAATTGATCTTTGGCCGAGCTTCCTCGCTGAAAGGATCGAAAACAGCAACTTTGGCATTCGAAGACTTCCAAAACAGCTTATTTCCACTACCAGCAATGGTGGTAGAATGGGCATTGCCGATGCCAATATAGGGTGCCGTGGAAGGTACAACGGTCTGTTCATATACCGGCGGCGCCGCCTTGTACCCAAAACTACCAAACTTCCACTCCCACGTCTCAGAGCAGAAAGTGGTCACTCCAAGATCGAACAGACCCTTGGATATGAACACTACACGGAATCGGAACTTGGGATTCTGCCTCACCACATTACCATCATCATAATAAAAGCAGGGTTCGCAAACGAATCCAATTAGGGATGCTTCCAGCTCAAATCTTCCGTATAGATGACTTCCAAATAGGAACCGGTCTTTTGCGAGGTCTAGAGGGACCAGAGGGAGAGCGACACATTGCTTTGTAAAAGGATTGCAAACAAAGAACCTCCTGCGGTACCTGTTCTTGGGTCGAATCCGTCCGCAGAGGAGCAAGTCGTTGCAGCAGGAGATGACTTGGAAAGTGTAGCGGTCGCCATAGAGATCATTGGTGATGGAGAGCAGATTTGGAGGAACGGTGCTCCTAACGATTGATTCGTGTGTTTGGGGCCGATCGAAAAATATCAACAGCGGTCGTCGCTCCTCTATTTCAGCGCTGCCGGTCAGATTGATCTTCTGGCGAGACACCAACTGAGCGAGGGTGTCCGGATCGGAGATGAGCGAATTCCAAAGCTTGCAGACGGATTTGCACACACAAACCGATCTGGGATTCGGAAGGCGTTGCAGAATGTGGATGAGGAGACTGTCGGGGATATAGCAGCTGATGGGGGAGTCCGATTTTGAACTAACTGGCCGCCGTCCTTCAGCTACTCGCTGTCTCTTGCGGCGTAGGTTGCCCTGCTTGGATCTGCAAACATCAAGTTTCCAAGCATTTGAACGAGCTGCTGCTGCTGCTTCTTTTCGTAGGTTTCCGCAGGCGCGGAGGAGATGAGGCGGCGGCGGACGGGCTGAGCTCGTTGCTACTGTCGAGTCGATGCCACTCATCTGAGATGGCAAACTGTTCTCCAGAGATACAGCCTCTGGCGGCGGCTGCATCATGAAAAAGTCAAACCCTAAAGATAGGAAACAGCATCCAAGGGGTTTATATAGTTATCGGTAGGAAGGGTGATAACCGGTTCGGTTCAATGTCAAAAAGGATAATTGAAACTAGTAATTAGCTCGCGCTCTGCTGCGGGATAAATTTGATTTTATAATCATTTGTCAATGAAATGCAAAGGCTGTAAGAACAAACACATGGAAATAGCTAAATTGGTATTTGTTACCACATTAACTTAATTATGCAAAATGGGTCTACATGTTGATCCAGCAATGGCCGCATAATGTAGTGTTCAACAATTTTTAACCAACCACCCCACCCACATTTAGTCTCGGGTTGGGTTGAGCGAATGGTGGATGATGCGGGTGAGTTTGCGGGTTCACCCACATCACAAAGTACATAATATAAAGGAGTCCACTTGACATGATAATCGGTGGAGAGAGTTATCCGGGGGAAACAAAAAGATGGAATAGGAAGAAAAATGTTAAATTAGTTCTAAAATTATATTGAAATTCTATTATGGTGGAGTTTTCTACAAATGGAGATGATTACCATGTGCATGTAACCAAGTAAAATAATTCAACAAAAAAGAGAGAAGTGATCTAGGCAAAAAAAAAAAAAGGAAGAAGAGGGGATTACAATTCGAAAGATTGGCTTTGAGGCTCAATCTCCAAGAGCAGTCTTAGATTTCATCTAATGTCTCCACTCTCCGGGAGCAGTCCTAGTTTTCGTCTAATGTCTTCACTCTCCAGCGCCTACGCCTTTGTTCTTTTTGCTGTTGGGTTGAGCAGGTCACCCGCACGCCCGCCCAGTACCCACCCGCCACCGACTGATGGCTCCCAGCGCAACCCTTCACCCACCCACGGACCCATCCACATAACAAAATTTGGGTAACTACACCTGTCGCCCCACTGGCATTGCCTCTCCCAACTCCGGAATCTTCTCCGCAAGCACCTCCTACTGCGCCGCCAGTTATACAGGTTTGGATGTAAAAAGAAAACAAGATGAAAATATAGCACCATCTTAAATTCTGGGAACAACTTTGATGTTCTTTATGTGGCTAAATTACACATTTGGTCATTCAAATTACATAAATCTTTCAAGTTTGCCACCGAAATTACTTTTCTTTCATATTAGCCACTAACTTTATAATTCGTTTCACCGTTAGCCACCGTCCGTCAAACTCCGTTAACGCCGTCAAATTTTTAATGATGTGGCAAACGGGAGTGCTGACTGGGCAGACAGAGAGGCTGAAAAAGACGTCCAGTCAGCAAAATAATCTACTCTAATTATACATTTAAAAAACTCGTCCAGTTCGCCGTCGACCAGGAGAACCAGAGTCGCCACGGTAAGAATCATCTCCGCCTCATTGCCCATTCCCGCCGCCAGCTTGTAACCCTCCATCGCTCAAGAATCCAACATCGGTCCCTCCAAATCGTGACCCTTCTCCCTCCAGCTCGATCCCAGATTTGTGACCGATGGGAAGGTAGAACCCAGATCTAGATCAAGCGCGTGGAAAGGTACACCCAGATCGAGAAAACCCAGATCGCGACGCCGGAAAGCAAACCCAGATCGAACACTCCCAAATCGCAATTCCAAATCGCGCACACGTCCTATCTGGGCCACATCACAACTGAGAATTGGTCCAGCAAAATCAGAACAGAGGAAGGCATAAGGGAGAGGGAGGAGGCGGATTGTGGTGCAGCGGCGCTCAAGCTATGCTCATTCTGTGATGGCGAACAGAGGGGAGCGGGAGTGGGAGATGCTGAGCGGCGCCGATAGCAAACAGAGGGGAGCGAGAGATTCTGAAATGGAGGTGCGTCACGGCGGGGGGAGAATACATGGGTCGGATGGAATGCAGCTCTGGCGACGGTGTCTAAGTGGCAACGAGGATGAGGAGGGGCTGGTGTGGTAATTGGCTTATTCTTGTTGTAGTTATTTTTAGATTTGGCTTGAGGGTTAGGGTTTGAGATTTGGTGGGGTTGTGGTGGGGGATTTAGAAGTGGTTTTATTTTTAGGCGGAAGTTGATTAGGATTTAAAACTTGAAGGGTTTTGATTTTGGTAGGTGTGGAAGTGGAAGTTGAATTAAGCTGCTTCTTGTCATTCTTCTTGTGGAATTGGTGTGCTGGAGGGCTCAAAGGGCGAAGAATGGACAAACAAGGATTGTGCAGGAGGAGGAAGAAGGCGGCAACAGCAGTGGAGGTAGGTGTAGAGTGATAGAAACCTACTTTTTAGGTTTAATCATAATTATCATTATTGCATTTATTAGGATATTATTAGATATGGTTAGTAGTTTTTGAGTCATATTAGGATAGTCTATTAGGTTTTCCGGTCTTTAGCTATAAATATGTACTTTAGGTATTCTGCTCGATTAAGCAAAGATTAATAGACGAATTATCTTCCCAAAACCCTAATCCTCTATCTCCTAATTTCTCGTTCTCTAGCCCTCTAAGGCTTCGGCCGATTCTATCTTCTATTCTTCTTCTTCCTCTAAATCCCTAATCTCTAATTCTGTTCTTCCCCAATCATATCCTCCAATCCCTAAATTCCCAATCAACCTCACAACCTATAGAACCCTAGAGATAGAGTTCTATCATTTGGTATCAGAGCCCGGTTTCGAGAACGAGTTCTTCACAACTCTCAACCGGGGACGACTCCATCTTAATCCTAAGCCAGAATGAGCGCATCCAAGCTCTTTGATCAGGAATGGTTTCAATTGCAGGAGCTGCTGCATCAAGCTCTTGATCGACGGTACCGAGATGCTCGGAGGTGTGCAACACCATCATCGATTAATGACCACACCAACGACACTGCTACCATCAAACTATCTTCACCGCCGCCCAAGCATGACGTAGATAAGGGCCGGACGGCGCAAAAATCACCCGTTGTCGATGACCAAGTCCATGCTGCATCAAGATCGGTTCAAATTCCACTGATCCTACGAATCGACGGCTGGAAGTTTAGAAAAAAGGAATCGGTGGAAGACTTGCACTTGAAGAAGAAGGCGATGGACCGCAGGGTGGTCACACCTGCATCACCAATCACACAAGCAGCACAACGATCTGGCAAGAAGCCGTCGCGGGGAAAGGAAGAGGAGTCCGTGTTGGGTGATCGAAGGAAGGATTCACCGGAAGCGCGAGTAATGCAAGCAAGACGACGACAGTTGGCGGTTTCCCTTGCAGCTACGACGAGCGTGAAACCTTCCTTGGCAAGGTCGGACAAGAAGTCGGCGCAGCAGACGACCGCCTCTCCTCCGGGGTCACCCAACCGCCGACAGACCAACTCGCCGTCGAAGAAAGAAGAGACGACGAATCGGGCGACAACAACCTGTTCACCAAAGAGGAAGCCGCCGATGAACAAGATGACAGAGCCAGGGATTCAAAAGCCGGTTCTGCGAGTGCCCAGTCAAGGTATGGCATCTGGAACGCGATCCATGCGAGGGGCGCCGCGACCGGCAGCTGCCTCCGTCGAGTCGTCGATCGGGAAGGAAGGGAGACGGAGGTGTGTAGCAACGGAGGGGAGTTCTCGTGGCAGGGCGCGCTCAACAACAGAGATAGAAGAAAAGGAGGAGGTTGAGGTGAAGAAAGGTTCGCCGCCGAGAATATTGAAGAAGAGTGGCGGCGACTGTCGAGGGGACGAAGCTAGAGTCGGGCTTGACCCTTGCCGTTGGGAGAAGAGTTCGCCGCAGAAGATTGCGTCGTTGTCTCGAATCGCGCGAATTTTGCCAGCATCCTCATTCTTGGCAGAGACCGACAAGGAGAGGGAAAGGACGACGAAGCCGATGATCCGCCAGGACGTGCTATTGAAGGCGCCTCCAACCGAGGCAACGACCGACAGGGAGGAAAAGAAGATGCGAGGGCTGAAAGCTGGATGGCCTTCTCGCCGGTGCAAAAGCTCATCGCGACTGGGAATGGATGCGTCGGAGAACAAAGCGAAGAAGAGGGAGGGCGGCGCTGCTGCTCTTTTCGCATGCCAGGGTTCGCCAATCCTAGGGCGAGCCGTCCAACATCCAATTCCTATGGGCTTCGTGGCGGGTCGGCCTGTCGAGCTGTACGGGTGGACGAAGGAAGGCACCATTGGGCTCGGTTTGGGCCAGACAATGATGACCAGCCGCACAAGGATGAGAGACGGGTTGGGCCGACCGTGTCAAGTGAGTGGGTTGTTGAAAGGGGAGGCTTGGTTTCCTCCTGGGTCAATTCTTGGGCCATGCATGAGCAACCTAACGTGGGCTCTTCTCTATGGCGTTGGGCCAGATCCCATGGTTGATACAGATCAACTAAGCAGACAAAAGATTGGAGAGGAGTGGGCCAAACAAGAGCAAGTGAACGGGCTAAGGGGAGCTATGAGGATTCAAGAAGTAGTGGCATCTGTTTCCTATGGAGTGGGCCTGAAAGAAAAAGAGGGTAAATGTGTGAGCTTAAATGCTGGGCCCTCAAGGAAGAATGAGTCATTCACTATTGAATGGTCAACTAAACAAGTCGGTGGGCTTCATAGGGGAATCGAGCCGTCAATGAGAGTGCATGGGCCACCTTGGAATGAAGCTAAGGAGATAGAAGGCCCAACAATGAAGAACCATGGGTCGGAAATTGAAGTAAGGGGTGACACAGGCTATTTGGTGGAGTTGGAAGGAATGGCCTTATTGGTCCGTGGTCACACAAACCGCGATGTGGGGAAAGGATTGATGACATCGGGAACTGGTAATGTTACAACCACTCGTGAGATTGAGCATAATTGGAAGAAAAGGAAGCGCAAGAGGTGGAGGAGCAAATGGACGAGTTGCACAGACAATGTGAAGAAGTGGGTCGAGTTGGTCAACCTTGAGGGCAAGGTTGGTCTCAAGGGGGAGGGGATGATAGAAACCTACTTTTTAGGTTTAATCATAATTATCATTATTGCATTTATTAGGATATTATTAGATATGGTTAGTAGTTTTTGAGTCATATTAGGATAGTCTATTAGGTTTTCCGGTCTTTAGCTATAAATATGTACTTTAGGTATTCTGCTCGATTAAGCAAAGATTAATAGACGAATTATCTTCCCAAAACCCTAATCCTCTATCTCCTAATTTCTCGTTCTCTAGCCCTCTAAGGCTTCGGCCGATTCTATCTTCTATTCTTCTTCTTCCTCTAAATCCCTAATCTCTAATTCTGTTCTTCCCCAATCATATCCTCCAATCCCTAAATTCCCAATCAACCTCACAACCTATAGAACCCTAGAGATAGAGTTATATCATAGAGGCATGGCTGCAGGAGTTCGAGGACAGATTTGGTTACGGCCGCCGGACTGAATCGGAAGGTGGTGCGAGGAAAGAGAAGAGAGGTTGCGGCGGATTTATCGGAGAAGTCTGTGATATTTTTATTTTCTTTTTTTATGTTTTTGAAATGATATGTCATTAAGTTAACGGTCCAGTCAGCACTTCCGTTTGTCACGTCATTAAAAATTTGACGGCGTTAATGGAGTCTGACGGAGATTGACGGCTGGTGACTAACGGTGTAATGAATCATAAAGTTAGTGGCTAATATGAAAGAAAAGTAATTCGGGTGGCAAACGTGAAAGATTTATGTAATTTGAGTGACCAAACGTGTAATTTAGTCTTCTTCATGTAATTTAGTCTTCTTCATGTTCTTCAGAAGTTAATTAAATTACGTTTGAGAAAACTCTTTTGATCCATTGAGTTGCAACTCTCAACAAAATTGTGTTTGTTGTAAACGAACAAGCCTGCCGCCGTTTCACTTATCAGCCCCTGGACCTAAACATATTGATGGCCACAAATGGGCCGAAGTTGGAAGCCCATAAAGGCATATGAATCCACATTATCTTTCCAACCAGTATTATATTTCACTGTCGCGATCTGGAAGAGAACAATACTGCTTTGCACTTTCCCTTGGGCCAATCAACGACATGTAAATCTCTTGAATTGTCAGCCAAACTTAGTTCATTATGGGAAATTGGGAATGCATCAATTAAGGGGTCGTTTGCTTGTGGGATTTGGGTGATGGATTTGGAAGCCAAATCCCAAGCATCATGGAGTTGACACAAATCCTTTGTTTGTTGAGGGACACAAATCCGTGGGGTCCACGGATTTGGACCCATTTTTTAGATCCAAATCCGTGGACCCCACGGATTTGTAAATCCCACATTTCATTTGGGATTTGACAATAGAAGGAAAAAATGTGAGACAAATCCATCACAAATCCATGATAAAAAATCAACTAAACAAACAATGTACTCTTCCAAATCCATGATGCAACAAATCCATCATAAATCCAAAGGTTTTTAAAACTCAAAACCTTCATTTTCAAATCCAACAAGCAAACGAGCCCTAAGTCTCCATGGTGCCTTTCACTAATTGAATCACCACTCAAGTTGACTGTCTCTACTTATTAAAAAACAGCTAGATCAAACTATGACTAAAATTGCACTATTTCTAACCAATATAAAACCATTTTCAGGTACAGCATTCTCTGTTAGATTGACTTATGAAAACTGCTTGGGAAAACTTACATTGATGTAGACTCTGAAATACAAAGAAAATAACACAATCTACTATAGTTATGTGAATATGAAAATAAAAATGTGAAAATCATATATCGCTGAGAATACAACTTCATTCACCACTAAAATCGTACTAACCCATTATGCTCAGCTAATAGTCAGGTACATAGACACATTTTTTTCCTAAAATTAGATTGACAATCCCACACATCCCAAGAGATCTTTCCAGAAATAGCACTGTTTAATTTTTTTTTTCCAAAAATAGCACCCAACTCCGAAAAATTCCAAAAATAGCACCATTTTTGTAAAACCGCAACCCGGAGGTGCGTTTTTCGATGAAAACGCCACCCGAGGGCGCGTTTTTCGATGAAAACCGCACTGGTAGGGAGCGGTTTTGCAAACCGCACCCCCAGGGTGCGATCTGCCTTTTGTTTTTCTTTTTTTTTTTGCAAACCGCACCCCCAGGGTGCGATCTGCATTTTTTTTTTTAATCCTAATTTAGGTGGAAACTTCAAACGAACGTATCTTTATGTTCGGGTATCCGATTGTCGCGATTTTTTTTTTTGATTCCGCATAACTTTTTGAGATCTTGCAAGCCGAAGACTACCAAAGGTGGTTTGGTCTCGCCTTCGTACAAAAAAATGTCATTTGCTACCCCGAACGAGCTTTTTTCCGATTTCGTCAAACTTTGGACAACCGTAACTTTGTGCTCCAAATCCAAACGGCATGATTTTTTTTATTTCGCATAACTTTTTAAGGACTATAATTTTTACTAGCAATGTATTTTCAAAATAGGAATTATTTTTGGATATACAGGATTTTGGGAATAGCTTATCTTCCCTTCTCAGCAATCCACATACATTTTGAAATTATGTCTATGATAAAAATTGTATTCTTTAAAAATTTATGTGAAATAAAAAAAATTTTCATGCCGTTTGGATTTTGGAGCACAAAGTTATGGTTGTCCAAAGTTTGACGAAATCAGAAAAAAGTTCATTCTGGGTAGCAAACGACATTTTTTGGGACGAAGGCGAGACCAAACCACCTTTGGCAGTCTTCGGCTTGCAAGATCTCAAAAAGTTATGCGGAATCAAAAAAAAAATCGCGACGATCGGATACCCGAACATAAAGATACGTTCGTTTGAAGTTTCCACCTAAATTAGGATTTTTCAAAAAAAAAAAAAATGCAGATCGCACCCTGGGGGTGCCGTTTGCAAAAAAAAAAAAAAAAGGCAGATCGCACCCTGGGGGTGCGGTTTGCAAAACCGCTCCCTACCAGTGCGGTTTTCATCGAAAAACGCGCCCTCGGGTGGCGTTTTCATCGAAAAACGCACCTCTGGGTTGCGGTTTTACAAAAATGGTGCTATTTTTGGAATTTTTTGGAGTTGGGTGCTATTTTTGAAATTTTTTTTTAAACAGTGCTATTTCTGGAAAAATCTCCACATCCCAGCGGAGAGCGCGGGCACTAAGACCTCGTTGTAATATAAGTGGTAATACAAATCGTTCAATTGAACTAACTTGGGAAAAGGCATAAAAAAAACTAACTTGGGAAAACACTAACTTTTTGTTAATTAAAAAGAAAAATAACAATTGAACTAACTTGGGAAAACACTAACTTTTTTGTTAATTAAAAAGAAAAATAAGCCCAAATAAAATCTACCTAAAACCTAATAATTATTACCGAAGTCCCAATTAAGGGAGGGCAACGGAACAGGACGAGATATCAGTCCCGTTTGGAGAGCAATATTCATCCCATGTTCCAAACCCATACGGGTTAACGGGTACCCGTTACCCGTACGGGACGGATAACAGGTACTCATACTACCCGTAAATACCCGTCTAATTGGTGGAAGAAACAACAGCAACACCTTCTTCGTTCTTTGGCTCCAAAATCCCATCAAAATCTATTTTCCACCATTTGTCATCCGTGTCAGATACTTCCTCGTCCGTGAGACCAATTAGTGAATCAGCCTCAGTTAGTTTGACATACACAACTTAATTATTCGTGCTTATTACCATAATACTTATACTACTTCAAAATAGTTCTTTGAAAAGCAAAGGACCTTTATGTAGAAGACATTGTAACAATAATTTGGAACAATAAAATGAGAGCTCATGTGGAATTAAGTACCACACTACTGATGAGGGGCAGCAGCGGCGCCTCCGTCAGCCAGAACCGCCGCCGCAGCCGCCTGAGCAGCTTGGCGAAACCTCGGGATGTAGTGTCCAGCAGCACCACCTCCACCTCCAGGTGCCGCCGGAGCAGCAGCAACACCATGCCCGGCGGCGGCGGCAACATGCACTAATACTCCAGCTTGCCCCAACCGAGCCTCCGGCCTCAACCTCTCTCTCTCTTCCAGCTCTCTTTCTCTTCGCCTCTGCTTCTCCACCATTATGGCAAGCATCTCTCTCCGGCGAGCTATTTCTTCCTCCCCTAGCCTCCCGGCCTCTGCATCAAGGTTCCGAGTCAAAAAATAACACGAGGGCAATCGGAAATAAAACCATACCAGAGATTGTACCGGATAATAAGTCAAACGGGTACAATATTTTGTACCTTTAATCGTTGTACCGATAAAGTCCAACATCGGTTTGGACTTTGGTAGCAAATTTTTTCCTGATGGAATCACGGTTGTAATTTCACAAACACCAAAATATCACGACCTATAGATTCTCTCTGTCTGTGGAACCCTCGTGAATTTTGGAGGAACGAATTGTGAAACATGGCGGAAGGTTTGAAGTCTCTAAAATTCAGTCTCAAAAACCTAGAGGTCGTAAGTACATATACTTCCAATCACTTAGAAATCACTAACTATGAAAATCTATACTGTATGATCACTCTTGTAAACGAAATTATTGTCTTAGAAGCGTGGAAGACAGTGAAATCACCGAAGGCATCAACACATCCTATAAATCTAGTTGTGGCGTTTATACCACGACATAGATTCACTATCGCGATAGCCTCACGGCGGAATGCTCTAGTCGATGGAACACAAAATCAAGCAAATTCCGTATAAGGGTTTGGTCAATTTTCCAGCGGAAGGTTTCATATTTGGAACTCTTAAATAACACACACACACCAAAAAAAAAAAAACATTCTAGCAATCATTGTACAAACTGTGGAGGAATGTATATAAAGGAAAACGTTGACGAACAAATAACAAACCTTCAGCAGGCTTCGACGACGCGTACTCCTGTTCGCCGGACATGATGGATCGGAGCAACACAATCAGCCTTGGGAAACGACGCCGGCGGTGGTTGCGGTGGCGACTGCGATGAGTCTGAGATTTTTTGTTTCTTTGTTCGGGTTTAGGGTTTCGAGGGGGCGCGTTACTTATATATCGTATCCCCACAGAGGTATACGGGATTCGGAAAAGGATTATTATCGGTCCTTCTCTAGTTCGGATTCGGTTAGAGGGGAATTGAACTACTGAAGGATGCGCCTCGTCGGGAAATCAGCTAGTCCTCGTTTTCAATTGGGTCTAGCTCGTTTTGCAATCTTTTTTTTTTTGTGAACATCAGAGCACAGAGGGGCGCTCTAACCCTTATCTATTAATAAAACGAGGGGTTTGAATCCCGATAGAGTCAAAGAACAGCCAGTAACTCAAAGTAGGGCTAGGAATATAAAAAAACATGCACCCCGATCGGAAGAGAATGTCCAACTGATGCCAAATAGTCTGCCACGAAGTTCGCTTCCCTGAACACGTGCACAAGGGAGACTTCCCATTCCTTCTCCAGCAGGCGGCGAATTCCAGAAGTCACTGTGAAGTGAGGATGGCAGGAGTCCGTCGACTGAATTAAGGAAAGGGCTGCTGCTGAGTCAGTTTGTAGCACCACTTTCCTCGCACCTTTCTCCCATGCTAGCCTTAATCCTTCCGCTATACCTGACAATTCCGCATGAGTTATCGATCCACCTCCCAGATTCATCGCATAAGCTCCCATAAAACGCCCAAGTTCGTCCCGGAGAATACCCCCTGCGGTTGAGCTACCCGCCGCCAGATTCACAGAGCCATCCATGTTCACACACATCCAGCCAGGCGGCGGACTTTGCCAGCTAATCCACTGTTGTATCTTCGCCGCACTCCCTCCCACTACAAGCTGTCTTCTGCTCAAGGCTTCTGTTGATTGATGCCACATTTGACTAGCCAAACGGATCAACTGCTCCTCCCCTGATAATTTATCTTCAAAGACATATTGGTTCCTATTCTTCCACAATTTCCAACACAGGATAGCAAATAGACTTGGCTCAATAGCCTTACTCCTTCCCGACAGGTAGTGAAGAACCCACCTTGTAACATCAACTTCAAAGAAGTCTTCATCCGGTTCGTCAGCCAGCAGTGATGACCACACACTTTTAGCATAGGGGCAGTCCCTAAGGACATGGATAGTTGTTTCTGGTCCGCCCCCACACACCTTGCACAGCTCCGAATTCGTCAGATGCCTTCTCCGGCGTTCGCTGTTCGTCAGAAGCTTTCTGTGGAGCACCAGCCAAAAGAACGGTTTAGTGCGTTGGGGGCCCTCGATCCTCCAAATAGTCTTCTAGACTGGGTGTTGCTCCCTCACCTCCCCCTCCCTTAGGAGCTCGTATGCAGTATGCATAGTAAACCGCCCCGACTCAGAAAACCGCCACATTGGAACATCATCTTCAGTCTCCGTCGGTACCGGGTGTAGCGACACTTGTAATGCTAATGCCTCCGGGAGGTATGCCCGGATAAAATCCATATTCCAGTTCCCATTCAAAATTACTTCCGCAACTCGCATGCTTCAGGCAGCAACAGGAAGATTTGGGGCAAATTCCGCAAGTGGCGGTCCATCCTGTAGCCACCGGTCGGTCCAATACAACGTCTGCCTGCCGCTTCTTATGTTCCACATGGTCCCTTCCGGGATATAATGTAAGACTCGCAGTACTCCCCTCCACAGATTCGATAACCGCCCACTGCTTCTTGGATACCAAACCCCATCTTGCACCCTAAGATACTTCTCTCGGATAATCCGTGCCCATAGACTGTCAGGTTCTGTAAACAATCGCCAGGCAATTTTGAGCATGAAGGCATCGTTCATCTTCGTCGCATTCCTCAGTCCCAAGCCGCCTTCAGCTTTAGGGGTGCATACCGTATCCCAGTCCACAAGATGTATCTTCCTTCCCTGTTCCGAGCTGCCCCAAACAAAGCCTCGTATCTTCTTATCAATGTACTCCTTTACTGCAATCTAAATGAACTGAATAGAAGAAAATATAAATATTAAATAGAAAGCACAAACTTGTTTTGTTGGTAATCATGATAAATTATATAAGTTGACAACAGGAAACAGAAATGCATTTAGCAAATAGCTACTTACTTCGCATTAGACCATGTTTAGTATCAATGCTGAGACGGAGACAAATGTAGGAAAATAATGGGAGCAATAATATGGCATGACAGGTTATGAGGAAAAAATGAGGGTATTAATTAATATGAAAATAATATTGGCAATTTCGGAGATTAGTTATGCGAAAATAGAGTGGAAAAAAATATGTTGAAAGTGGGTCTAGTGCAATTAGTTTATAGACTCTGTTGAATGAAATGATTTCGACAACTTATAGAATCTCATAAGAATGGAAAATCTGGAAACAACAAGGAAAGTATTTAAAGTTGTTTATGCCAAGACCTCCTGTCGCTCCTTCATGCGCCTCCACACACCTCTCCCAACTCACAAGGCGCCTAGCCTCCTGCATAAAGAGCGCACCACGGACCACGATGGTCCGTTAGTTCTTCAACGATCAAGGTAGTGCCTAAACTTAGAGAGAGAGAGAAGTAAATAGAAACTTCAGTGAGAGAGTTGCGAACTGAGTAAATGAGGTTTGCCTACTTCCCAATTTATACTAGGAGCATCGCCAACCAATGCTCCCCAAATCCGCCCTATGTCAGCATGGCAATAAATGCACTGTACCTTCCCTTTACCATGCGCCCTGACCATCTGACACCACTCTTAGAGGTTCTAGGCTCATGACCTCACGCATTCAGCTTTTCGTAAGTTTCCACCAGTTACATGTCTTTTATCTTCATGCATCCTTCGTCAGGGCATTGACCCTACACACCCAGGCTGTCAGTCACCCCATTGGACCTCTCCAACCTTACTTGGGCTCGCACTTTGACCTTTGTCTATTTCTTTGGATCTTTATCACATGGGTCTTCTTCTTTGGGCCTTTATCACATCCCAACAAAAGTGGTTTTACTAATCTCAGCTAATTTATGTTGTGTTGTCAACTCATATTGCCACAACAACAAATGAAAACAAAACAAAACATATTCAATATATATTTTCACCTTTGAAAACACTGAAAATGATATTAATGGGAGCCTCCATCCTTTGTTTGTTAATTGGATTTGAAAATGAAAACTTTTATCAAAATTCTCATTTGGGAAATGTGCTAAATACATTATTTTACGAAGTTACTAACATAAATATATTAATATGCCACGAGTACTTGATATATAGTTTTAATTTAAGATGGTGACAACCAATTTGAGAGTATTATGCATATAAATGTATCTTTTCGTGATACTTGAGAAGTGTAACATGGAATATCCATATCATTAATCATACTGAAACTAAAGCCACAAATACCACAAAAAAAAAAAGTGAATTGTTTGGCGGAAAAAATTTCATTCAAATTGGATCTAGATCCTTGCCATATGCATAAAGACAAAATCATCAGAACACAAACTGTATGTGCGAAAGAACGTTGTTGATGAGAATCGAATAAGACCACCCCATACATCGATTAGAACGACAAAATTAAAAGAACATAAAGACGACGAAACTCTTATTATTGTTTTCTTTGACGACAAACATAAAAGAAGTAAATTAAAGATGAAAAAGTGAAAAACACATATAATGACAGAATCAAAACATAGTAATTATAACAGCTCGGTACTTAATTAATCTAATTTTTTTCGTCCATGGTTTCATCTAGAAGAAACAGCTCTCTTAGGTCTTAACTAATAATTCGTTATTCCAAAATTCCAGCTTCGGAAAAACAGGTAAAATATTAAATTAGCGTATATACTATGTTGTTTTCCTCCAGAAACCACTTTACAGAAATATTTTGGTGCATGCTGTTTTGTTCCATTGTTTTCCTCCTCTAATTTTGTTTGATATTTGACGGTGTGGAGGAAAACATGGCGTTTCTTATTGGTGGACGGACGAAGGGAACACTATACTGCCCAAGTACAAATCAAAATTTTAGCAATTTAACCTTAATTAGGTTGACTTCGATTATTCCAAGTGCGGTTGTGAAGAGTGTATGAAAGTTAATTAATTACTGTGTCGTAATTAGGGGTGGGAGTTCGTTCTCAATTTTCGGTCTAACTCATAAATCGCGAACCGTATAGCTCGGTCCGATTGTCTCCGAAACTTGTTGTAATATGATCTGATTTGATCTACGATTATAGGAGAGGCTAAAATCACAGTATAGTTTAAAGAATATAGGGATCATGTTGTAACTAATCGATGATAGAAAGGTTAATTTACTTAATTCAATAAAAAAAAAGTTGAAATGTAATTGAGTGACCACTCAAATTCACCGTCCGTTGTTCAATTCACACCCTCTTCCGCCGGTAAAATTCTCATCTCTGCTTCATCTACTTTTGCCTTACGGATCAATGGATGTGTAATGATTGGATTCTTTGAAGTCATACTAAGAACGATTTGTATATATCTTCATTAATTTCGGGATTTACTATGTTCGTCTATTGTTATAATTAACGATCCACATGTTGAATTCTAGATATGTTAAGATTTGACATACGAATACCCGAAAACTCGCCCATTGCGATCCTACTTTTTATGGTATAACCTATTCTTTGAATCTATCAATAATTCGAAAACAATTAGAACCGCTCTTTCCACCTCCTAGTAGCCTGTGGTTTTTGCAGTTGAACCAAACTACAGCCGCTGCCAACCTAGCCAGTTGTAGAACCGTTCTTTTACACCTCTTTAGCAAGCCTGTGGTTTTTTTTTTGTAGTTGAGCCGTCTATAGCTAGCCAGATGTAGAGTTGCTTCTGTGCACCTCTTTAATGGCGGTTCTTTCTTTTTTTTCCCTCATGGGTTTTTCTTTCATTTGGGTGGTGGAGGTTAGTTGGAAGCCATGACTAGAAAAGAGGAGAGAGAGAGAGAGAGAGAGAGAAGAGAGAGACCATACACGTTGAGAGGGAAAACCTCAAAGAAGCCAGAAGCTTCGTGGCATGGCTGCATCGATTGCAACGAGGTACACTCCCCCCAGCCATTCCCATCTTCCAACCCAACTCGAAAGGCTGCTTCAGTCTTACATCACTTCTTTATATGAATGAGATGTAATTTTGGGTTATGCAATTGGTCTTGAATATTAACGGTTGATTTAAACACAATAATACGACGAGCATGTGTAAATTAGAAATCTCAACGATTGATTTTCTGTTTGAAGATGCACGCAGGAGAATGATTTGGAGGTTGCATCATACTCTGGCCTCTTTCCGAAAATTGGAACTATTGAGATGACGGAGTGAATGAGTGATGATAAAATTAGTAAATAAAAATTCTATCACGAGATCGAACTCGGCACATAACATGATGTAGGAATGAGTCTGATCAAGCAACAGTCCACAATATCGTAACTAGGTCTTCTGCCAACTATTGTACTATTTGTGACAAACACAGTTAAATCTCTGGCGAGATAATTAACGAACGTGACGGTTCATCAAAGCATGAGTTTATGTACATGGCCTGAAAATATGCAATTCGGTTATAAGATATCACACTATGAATTACACGAATTTTTATAATCATGATACGATATGTAAGATTATGCACACGATCCAGTCCGGTAAACCAAATTGATGTTTGAGAATTGAGAGAGAGTGAAGGGGGAAACCATTAATTTCTCACACGCCTCTCCCCCTGAAAATCCTCCCGACCAACGCTTTTCCTCCCAACCTCTTTTTACTCCCCAACTTAAACACCTCTTCCACTTTTGTCCTCTTTCTCCCTCCCTCTTTCCTATATGATCAAATAGCACCTTTGGTGCTCGAATTCCATACCCATTATCAAAGTCATCCCTAAAATGTGAATTTGTTGGGACCTTATGATGTCCTGTAAATGATGTTTGTTCTACCGAATCATAAATTTTGCACTACCTCGTCTGTTAGGTTGCTCATAAACGAAATCAAATATCGATTAAGTTAGCTGTTTTGATTAAAAATTCGATAGTTAAGGAAAAGACAGATGCGCATAATTCTACATTTTGTTACAGCTTTGTACGGTAACAAATTAAAACCCTATATAGCAAAACAACAGAGTTGTTTCCAAATCCCATTATTGTAGTTGATGGAAAACCGGTACAATACCAAGGAAAAATACAAGTACAACCTTCGGTGAGTTGTACTTTTGTACTTCTTTGTAGCAATACTAAAAGTTCAGTGACTAATTTGTTTGTGGCAACAAAAAGAGTGATCAAATCCGTAATCGCTACTCTCCTTTTCGACTATATATATTAGTAGTCCCCACACGCCTTCCCTTCTTTAAAGCCGCCTCGACAATTCAATTCAATTCAATTCAATTAAAACCCCCAAATCAAAAACAAACACTTCTCTCTCTCTCTCTCTCTTCCTCTGTTTTCCTCTGTTTTCGATCGCCGATCTCCCTTTCTCCAATTCGGAGAAGAGAAAGAGGGAATTCAGAAGGAGGCAGCAACAGCAGCAGCTCCGCGTCAATGTCTGCGGGATCGGCCGCGGCGGACGGGTTCTTCCGCAACTGGGTCTTCGAAGGCTCGCTGTCGGGCGTCGACCACGGGATCGAGCGCCGGCCGTACCACCGCAACTGCAGGTGCGCGCTCCACGACAAGTCCCGCGACGGCGGCGCTGGCGGCGGAGGCGGAGGCTGCGGGAACTGCAAGAACACCGTCTCGTATAAGATCCGCCGGTCCTGGAGCGAGGGGTCTCTGGCCCTCGCCGGCGCCGGAGCCTCCCCTTCGTGTTCGTCGAATTCGTCCCCTCACGCGGGTGGATCGGGGTACGGCCCTCCGCCGCCGTCGCCGTCGTTGCAGTCGCTCGCGCGGAGTTTGAGCAGGGATGATCTGGCTTCCGCCGGGAACAGTTGAAAGAAGGAAGGTGGAGATCTGCCGTCTCCTGCCAGCTGGAGGAATCTTCTTTAGAAGGAAATATCAAAGAGAAAAAAGGGAAAACAGAGAGAAAATAACATTTTGGTGCTTGTTTTTTCTCTTCGTTGCCAATCCAGTGCATAATCTTTATGTAGGAGGGAAATAATGCATAAATCTGTATATGCTCTGTTTCTCTGTTCTGGACTTCTGGCCTTAGTCGGGTTTTTTTGTGTGTGTGGTAATAATTAGTGTGTAAATTAGGTGTGGTAACTGTGTTCGTTCATTGTTAATATCAATACATAGAACTCCTTATCGTCTCTACTACATCATATTGTTCCTTTTCCGAATTTCGTATGCTCGAATCGACACGATTTATCGATTGTTTGACGTGGATAAGTATCAAGTGAAATTAGTTTACAATCCTGATCTTCATCATTTACCGCATTGGGGATTTGTTTTCTCTTCCGGTAATTTCTATGGAGTGATTCCCATTTTTCAATACTTCATTGTTAATTCCGTGGGTTAAAGGTAGAAACCCAAACGGTAATTCGATGAAACCAAGATGAGGGTTGGATTTTGTTACCCCCCATATTTCTTCTTGTTTTGGACGGGAGGAAAAATTTGCATGCATGGAGTGGGATTTAACCAACATTTCTTTCTTGGGCAAAAAAATTTCCCGGGAAAATTGAGTTGGTGGGTTGGAAAGGGAGAGAAAATTTGGGAGACGGGATCGGACGAGACGTGAGAGATCATTTAACATGGGGAGTAACAAGCACATGATGATTAATTAATTTGTGTTGGTGTTTAGTTCATTATGATTAGTTGTTTAATTTTGGATTAAGGGGAAAAGGGTATACCACTTGCCAAGCCAGCCAGCGCCAGGCTATCCAGCTGCAAGAGGATACTTGCTGCCTTGTAGCGTATTCTACGTGTTGGTGGTCGGCTGCCTACTTTCCTTTTGAAGAGAAATCTTTTAGCCAGATTTGGTTGTAGTTTCACTTGTGAGTTTGGTGGACTCGTATTAAGTTTGATGGACACTAATATATAATGATTTTTTCGAAACTAGTAGATAGCAAATAGTTCTTGGCTTCTTGCTTTCCTATAGAAAATTAACAAATAATAATGGTGAAATTTTTTAAAAACAAAGCTTGAAAGATGCATGTGCTTGTTTTTATTTAATATAAGGGGAAGGAAGTGTCAAAAGGAAAAGAAGCCAGGCCAGCAATCACAAAAGTGTGAGACACCCAACTAAGTGATTAGAGGCAGTCCAACTACAAACCATATTTTGGTAGTTTGATTGTATCTAATCTAATCACATTTTAATTCAAAACGAAAATAAAATAAAAGGGAGGAAGATCAGTTCTCACAGGTGGGCCGTGGGCCTCATGGGGGAATAAACTAAAAAAGGATCATGAAGAGTTCCATTGTTAATGGACCCATGATGATGATCACCTTTCTTCTCAAAATAATATCCCACCTCACAGTTGGAAGTTGTAACATAAAAAAATATTATTCAAACTTCCAACTAATAACTAATTTATAAATGAAAAGAGGAAAAAAGGGATTTTGGGTTGGCAATCACTCTACTCGCACCATGTCAAATTTAGATCGGATAGATCAGAAATTCTCGTTAAATATAAAAGAAAGTGGGGACTCTATTTGAATCCGGATAAGAGCGGATCGAAACAAACGTGCTTTTGGTTCAATTTTGATCCTAATTTTTTGCTTGTGATACAAATTGCAATGTTATTCCAATTTGGACCAGTTCCAGACTGAATCCATCGATGTTTATCCCATAAACAACGGTTAATTTGGGTGTGGAATTTTAGTATATAACTTTATTATTAATTCTTTGGACGGTTTCAGTCTAATTTTGGCAAGGAAATATTCAAGAGTAAAGTCTCGAACAAACATGGCAGGCATTACAGATTGGGCCGATAGTTCATAGTATGGGACGAACGGTTTCTTAATCAATCAAATTACAAATTAGGATCATAGGTTTGCAAAAGTTGCATGTGTCAGCTGTTGCACATATCTGGCAGATTTTGTTGGAGGAAAAAAAATCAGCATATGGAAATCTGCATGTTGCACACCTAACGGCTTAATTACATAAATGGTCATTTAACTTAAGCGATATATAGAATGGGTTCGTAATTGCGTACTCTCCTTTGAGAGATTTTACGTGAATCTTGTCCATAGATGGGCCCCCCGACGCTGCTATTAGCATAACAGCCGATACACCATAGGTTGGCCTAACCCAGTCATCTCGTAGTACAAGACCACAGTATCACTGAAAAAAGTTAGAATTATCGATCAGATTGTCTGTCTTCAATCATCTTTATTATGGTTGAGCCAACAACTACTTAACGATTGTTAGAATTTTACCATACTTTGTAATAAAAACGATGATAACCGGACATTGTTTGGAGAAATTAAAGACTGTCCAATGGAGGGGAAGCATTGTGTTTTATTTCGTTAGACCCTAGTTTGTACCGAACAAGAATAGTTTCAATGAATAACAGAAGAAGTTAGTTATAACTTATAACTATGTCCTACCGGTAAAAGCAACGACCAAGTCCCCGCAATAGCCACGAGCTAATTAGCATATATATGTTGCATCGAAGTCCTGAAAAGAGAACTCCATAGACAAAATGTGTGCTTCGTTCTTGTCTCGGTTTTAACCCAAACAGCAACGAACATGTTCTCTTAATTAACATTTTGTTTTGTGTCCACTACTCTAATGCCGTTAGACTAGTTTACTCAACGGCCAGAAAACTAACTCTTCTTTGTCCCGTTTTGGGCAGATAGATGTGACAAATGAGTTGGATCGACATATGTGTACGATGCTAGATGAGTTTAAATGAATTCGCTAATTCATGGGTTGAGCTTAAATCTATAGATGGTTTGCTGTGAATTTTCTTGAAAATTTGTAATCGAACGATTTGTTATGGACCGGATCGAGATAATCGCCAATGCAGGAAAGACAACAATAACAAGAAAGTGAAGAATACTCAAATTTTTACGTGTGTTAGTTAGTTCACGAGCGGGAGAGAGCTAACTTCACTGTGTTCGATGAAATTATAGAGGGATTGAGAAGTATATATAGTGTAAGAGTATAAGATCCAGCATAACTTTCTCCCAACGACTCGAGTTATTGGGATCAACTGGTTTACGACATGGTATCAGAGCTGGTTTGGCCAAGTGGTCGTGTGTACAAATCTCCACGATTCTCAACATTAACAGTTGATTAAAAGCACAAGGTATGGTGGACCTGTGCAAACTTCAAACTCCTGAGTTGAAATCATGGTATACAATCTCATACCAGAATCTTTAGTTTGGTGAAATCATGGTGGCTAACGATGAAAGCTGGAGAAGTTAGTTAATAGAAAACCTATGTCGTGATGAGACCTATATATGTAATGCCGTTACTCAACTAGAATAAAGGGAAGCAGCATGCCAAGTTAGTTAAGAACAAACAACGGCTGGGGGGTGGAAACTATGCAGTAGATTCTTCGTTTCTCGTTAGTTAAAGGGCCAAAATTTCGACGGTGAAAATAACTAAGGCAGTAAAAGCCAAACAAACAGCCAATTAATGAAGCCATAACATAAATTAAACCCTTGAAGAATCAAAACAGAACATAACTGCCAAAAAAAACCCAAGAACGTTAATTAGTTATTACTTGTCTAGAGAAATAGCCACGTTTTGGAGGCAACAACAATAGGTCCAATTTTCCTTAGAGTTTCCCGACATTTGGGAGAGCTACTATTGCTCACCTCACTCACTACCTCTATATAAAACACGGTTTAGAGAGTTAGCAAAAAAACATCCATTGATCTATCAAACACCACAAAGAAAATTAAGAAGAAATACTTACCAAAGGTTAGATTTCACATCTCTCTCTCATATTCTATTGGGAAGAAGTAACATCGATCGGTCGAGAGAGAGAGAGAGAGAGAGGGAGCAGGAGGATGGCCAATGCGATAGCGAGCATGTTAATTCAGTGTGCATTTGATGGGTGTTCGGCCAGCATATCGATTCATGATACGGTGATCGAGAAAAGACCGTACCATAAGAACTGTAAATGTGCGCTTCACAAACAGAAAGGTGATTGTTCTCACGTTCGATCTGCACAGAGGAACATCGTGTCGTTTCCGAAGAAGACGGGAGGTGGCCGTTCATTGGCCATGACGGTCTCATCCAACAACTCGATTCGTTCTCATTCTTCGTCGGTACATGTTGCTAGCGAGTCATCTGGTGGCCGGAAGCAAAGAGTTTTAGTGAATTGTGTAGAGAGAATAGATGGGAAGTAAAGCTAGGTAGGTAGGAGGTTTCTGAATTTTTTCTCCCTTTCTCCAGCAATAATGCATGTAGGTTGATAATGAAGATGATGTTGTAACTTGAAAGCCAATGCTTTCTTGTAAGTTGTGTGATTGCGCAGTCAAATACAAATCAGAAGTTCATTTGCCTCACAATATTTTTTGTCTTTTACTAATACAAGATATGCTAGATACGCCCGCTCGCTCGTAGTTTACAGTGAGTGAAATATGTTGGTGCGTTGAGCGCGAGATGCATTTTATTTTGTGGTTTCTGTGTTAATCAAAGCGATAGTGTACCTGCAGAAACCTAAGAAGAGAACTATTTAGTCTTTTTCACTTATTGTTCTTCTTAGAGAGGAAGAAAAGGAGGGTGAGAAATAGTCAAATGTAGAAGGGGGTCACTAAAAAGCTTCCAAGTATATCATTTTGGATAACTGCCCCTAAACTTTGGTTTATTTACGTTTTTTACCGCTTAATGAATAGTACTATGAAAATCATGACTTTTACATACCAAAACAAAAGGATTCTCAATAGTAGTTGTTGGAATTTTGCATCGATAAAAGATGGACGAAAATTACCTTTTGTGGCATGACTGCGGAAAAAATCCAAAAGTACCACTGTTTAAAAAAAAAATTCCAAAAATACCACCCAATCCCAAAAAATTCCAAAAATACCACCCTTTT